CTGCCCGACGCGAGGTCCTCAGACTCCTCACCGGAGCAGCCGGACGTTTCGGCTACGGCGAACAGTCACGAAGATCTGCTGTGCGCCTACAATAGCTGTGTAAAGGCTGGTTCTGACATTTGCTACGAACCCGTTATCCACGACCGCGTCCGTTGTGACCAGAGAAACCGGAACGAGCGCTCTGCGCCGCGCGTACACTCCTGCAACTACTGCCACAAGCGCTGCGGGTCGGCAGCACGGCGACCGCCTCTCCGCCGCCGTCAGCTGTTTAAGCGGTGCCTCTAAAAAGAAGTGGACACTCTGCCACTCACTTACGTAACAGAAGATAGACATACTGTCTTCTATTACCTAAACTTTATTATTTTTTTTCAGGATACGCTTGCAGGGTAGCGCATTAAAAAAGAAAAAGAAAGAAACGATGCAGTACGCCGTTTTGCACGATCACGACTTTGCCAACAGTACAAATCTCACCACACGCCTTATCTACGGTCATAAAAGACGATGTAATTTTAGCAGCGATATAGCAGCACAGAAATATAATTTCGTGATCAGATAGACGTTGCGAGCGTTCAGGATTGTTAACTCTAATCACCTTTCTCAGGTGATGAAAACGCGTGAAAACTCGCATCCTTTATATGGTACGCACCAGTAATACCTTGAACCTGAGCACACGCATGGAATGTGCCAAAAAAGAAATCCGGGCAATGTTCGAGGACACAAATGCTAAGAAAGCACCACTGTAGTCGAAGTAAACAAACACGACGGCACGGGCGTTTCTGCTGTCTTGAGAGTGCCGCCACGAGATCGCCGCACGAGTAGGTGGATTTTCCCTTCTAGTACGTGCTGGGTTATCGTAACGACACACAACGAAAATTCACAGTCAAGGATAGAGCTTTCACGGGGGACGATTAACGTTCACCACGCCGTCCATGCCGACGATCACCACCAACGCCATGTTTGCAAATAGAAGGAGCCTGGCACGACCGGCATGCAACGCGCGCGACCGAGCTCTCCTCGACCTGTGATTGGTCTGTCGCTCCCGTCGTTCCCGAACGTAACGAAAAAGTTCAGCCCGGCTCAACTCCTTGCGTTGCGAACGAACACGAACGAAACGATCGTTCGGCGCTTCGTTGCTATGGTAACTCGTCGTTCCGACCGGTTGCATTCGTTCGTAAGGGTAGTGGTCGCTCCGAATGCAACTGTGTGAACGGGCCCTTTAGGGTCCTCAAAATTCGCGAGAAACCCCCCATTTGCCTTGGATGGCATCCGAAGGACCCTTCCTTTCCCCAGTCCTGACATTGATGTACCAGTAAAGCACAGTACAGGAGCTTGCAGGCCTTGTAAACAATAATGCAGACACAAGGATATGTTTGGCACATAGTAATCAGTGATGTGAATGGCCTAAACAATTTGGGAGCACCTTTCGGAGCAGCCAAAACAGTGTTTTGGAGCAGCAAATGTGGCCTTTGGAACAACTAAAACAGTGTTTTGGAGCAGCAAAAGTGGCTTTTGGAGCAGATATTCTTAGAAAATAAAAATAGTTGTTTTAAGTACTATACAAACAAAGGGCACTTCGTGTTGTGTTGTGTTCTGATTTGACGTGTTGTGGCGAAACTTGCTGCTTGTGTTTTTTCTGCTGAGACATCCTAGAAGTGTACAGTGCTATAGGCACTGCCGAGCAATTCCAAAAAACCACTTGCCGTTGTTTTACTGGTTCCCGACGCGCCAGATTTTTGTCAAATTAAGCAAACGTAAAACATGGATTGCAAGCGTCCCGGCTGGTGCCTCTGTCGTGCAATCATGTTCGCATGAGCGTGAGGGCAACTTCGGCAGGCTTACAGTTGCGTGAGCGGAGACAACGGCTGCTTGATTTAAACCGAAACCATGCCACTCCGCTCCGTCGCCAACTGATTCCTGAAATTGTATGTAAAATGTAACTGTCGAGCATACGAGAAAAAACAGTTTAGCGGCGCATGCTTGCCAGGCCGGCAAACAAGGTACAAGCTAAACACACAAAAAAAGAACCCGAGCGGATCGATGCAAGACGTCACGAGCCAGGGTCAAAAAGTTCTTGGAGCGCTTTGCACAACGACTGAACTCGAGACAAACAAGTGAGCAAGGTTTCTCTCGGTGGCCTTTCTTTCGACACGTACCCGGTACGTGAAAAATCTGCCGTGAAAGAAAGTTGGTGAAGAGAAGTGAGCTAAAGCAAAGAAGGCAGTGAATTCAGCGTGCAGACATTGCCTTCTTTGCTTTAGCTCACTTCTCTTCAACTTTCTTTCGCGGCAGATTTTTCACGTACCGGGGTATTTCTCGAAAGAAAGCCCACCGAGAGAAAACTAGGTAATCAATACATCGACACAGCAGTCTCCGAGTTGAAGAGGGATTTTTGTAGTAACGTACGATTAAAACAAGAACAGGAATGTTGGTGAACTTGCGGCGGTACTTAGTTTTATTTTAGGATGCGCCATATCTGCAGCGACGTGGGGACGGCAAGACCCGACGTCTTGCCGTCCCACAGGAGAGCTTCAGCTCACAAAGTAACTCCTGCCGCACAAAAACATGGTCTTGTTTCAAAGCATGACGGCATGGCCAGTACCCGACATCCTAGCTTCAGAGCGTCCGCACACACCTGCGTCTATCGTTGAAAATCTAAAAAAAAAAAAAAAAAGCGAGACGAGACCCACGAGACAATGAGAACGCGAGAAAAACCATGCAAGACCGGATGGACAAATGATGCAGGTTATTTTGAGTCGGGCGGCCGCTTGCGCCACATAACACATGCATGCTCAATTACGGTAATCAGTCTAATTTCGGTTTTGAAAGGCGACCGAAATAGGTTTTTTGGCGCAGGTTTGGCGCAGAATACCCATATTTTGGCAAAATGTAGCAGGATGTAGCAGGGTTAGCCCCTTGGGGCAGTTTGGCACAATTGGCACAGCAATCACATCACTGAGTAATGCCTCGGTGAGTGGCTCTGGGTCTGCTAAATTAGTGCCCAAACCGGAACAATTCTACACAGGGGCAGGGACGGTCAAGGAAGTCTGCAAGCTCGGGGAAGCCCCAAAAAGTACATTTGGGAATCCCCGTGCGGTCCTAGGAATACAGTTTGAGAACCTGTGGTTTAGACCGGTGGTTTTCAAGTGGGGGGTCCTTGAAGCCTTCGGTCAAACCGAGCAATAAAACTTTCTTTTTAGTGCGAAAGCATTAACTGTCTCATGGAGCGAGCCGACGTCATTGGTTTCAAGCGCGAAAACGGCACCTAGTTTCCCTGACCCCAAAGGTCCCACTGGCTGGCGCGCAGTGACGAGGCTCCCATTGGCCGCTGCGCACGTCAGTTTCAACAACTGCCGCCAGATCGCGCTGCGTGTTCGTGCCACCAGCGCACCGATAAAAGTGACCACCGCAACCCCATGCCCACTATGGGCCTCGCGCTGGTTAAAATGGACATGTTGGTGCACGCTTGGAGGCTTCTGCTCGTCTCGCCGCCAATAAACACGGCGCCCCCTCCATCATCTACATCGTCGCCGGTGCTTCTGCTCTTCTCGACGCCGACAAACATGGCACCGCCTCTAGCATCCACATCGTCAGAGGGGCTTCTATGCTTTCGCATTCACAACTCATAAGAACTGCTTAGGTGTACCTCGAGCTTTTTACTGGTGCTGGCTGTTCCACAGAGCTAAACAGAGTAAACCATGTACGTCGAGTGAGTAGGGCTGATTATTCTTTGTTTAAGGGGAACACAGGTCTTGGGAGCTTTTTTTTCTTAATTTCTGACCAAACCCAATGAAACTACACTAGCTTGTGCAGTTTCTATTGCTAATTTAAAATATCTGGTCACTTATTAAACCAATATATTAGTCATTAAGATTATTATAACTTGCCCACTTTTGTTTGCAAGAACAGAAAAAAAAAAGATCAACAAAACATTGTTTAGTAATACATGGCTAGATACTACAAAGTACAAAGAATACAATGTTGGAAGTGCTTTTGAGACTGAACCATTATTAATCGGTTTACAACACATTGAAGTTCAGAGTTCAATGCATAGCCACCAGCAAATAAAAAAAATGACACGTCACATATAGGCCTAATTTGAAGAATCTGCTCTCAGTGTTGTATGCTTTGCAGATTTACCCACATGTTGCAGAAAAAGGCTCAAGGTACACCTAAGCACTTCTTATGAGTTGTGAATGCGAAAGCATGCAAGCCGCTCGTCCGCTCCCTTTTTCGTCTGCTGCATACTTTTCGTCGCCGGTCAGCGTGCGCGCTCCCCTGGCGACCTTAAATGCTCCGTGTTAATGGCGCGCTGATAGACATGCAGCGCCATGGTGTGAGTGTTCGTGGGAACTGACGAGAGCAGCGGCCAATGGGAGCCCTGTCGACGCGCGCCAGCCAATGGAACCAAAGAATCGGAGAAACTATGTGCCGTTTTCGCACTTCAAACTGACGACGTCAGCTCGCTCCATAGGACCCCCAGTTAATGCTTTCGCATTAAAAAATGGTTTCTATCAGCCCTAGATGCGGAAATGTCCTTCCTGGAAATTTGCTAAGAGTCAAAATCTGTGCTCGGAGAAAGCACCTTTTTAGCATAAATTTCAATGCAAATTCAGCTTGCATAGTTATTATAAAATGATAATATGGTTCAAATATCGGTCTCCAAAATTAGAAACTTGGGAAATCAGAAGAGAAATAGTTGCAAATGTCAAAGAAATCATTTAAAAAAAAAATATATGTATATATAAAGTATATATTTTATATATTCTTAGGAATTTTTTTGTTTTGAGGGTTTATGTCTCCCCGAGCTTCCTTCAAAGTTGGTTTGCACACATAGTTTTCCTCGTTTTTACCCTTCTGTAATAGTTGCAGTCGTCCAATAACCCCCCCCCCCCAGATGGGTATAGTCCCCGATCACTTTCGCCAATCCAAAACGTCAGGAACCAGAGGGGTTCAGACAGTGAAAAATTTGTTCACTAGTGCCTCTGCTGCAGAGCTACAATTCAGCCAATGACTGCTGGCTGGGGATCTTAAATGTGAATCACACAGCATGCAGTCAGAACTACGGTTTCGTGTTTTCGAGGATAATTTTTCGGGGTTTATTTTTTCCCATAGTCTGTGTTTTTCGGTGGGTACTTTTAGTGCCGGACAAAAAATCGGCGTCTATTGGCACTCATAGGGAAGAAAACAGGACACGACTGTGGAATTCTGCAACCTTAAGAGAGCCATGCTACCCAAATATACTCCGAAAATGTCCCGGTGCCGATGAGAGAAGGAAACGAGATGAAGGATGTGGTACCCCAAAGAAAAAAAGTGAAAGACGTTTACAACTCCCTGCAATTGCCGAATCAGAGCGCAGCTTTTGAGGAAGAGGAGGGGAGGGTACGGTATGCTCCTCCTCCTCATCTGTACCCTCTTCTCCTCCCTCCTCATCTATTCCTCCCGTGCTCCTCGCCGCCGCCGCCACCTCCCCCCTTCCTCCTCCATTCCACATGGTACATTAGGAGAAACGTCCCCTAATGCAACGTGCGCATCACCACAGCGCAATATGGGACGTTTCCCATAATGCACCGCGCGGTTACGCCGACGCTGCTCAAGCCGGAAACGGGTGCCTAAGAGCTGCGCTCTAAAAGCAGCATAGCACAAAATTTGGTGCGGTGTGGGTTCCAGGTCAACATTGCTTTCTGCGAAGCTAAGATTTTCCTGATTCAAAAACAACTCTAATTAGAAATTTTACGGCTTTCCCCGATTTTGATAAAACTTGTTTGGGGGTTACCTTTCAGGGTTTATTGGTATTCCCCCAAAAGATACAACCCTTGTCATAACACAGAGGCAACAATACCATACTCCTCCGAGTCAAAGTCGGGGAGGATAGCATCTAATCCCTGAATCTGGAGCACGAGCTTCGGATCTGTGCACCGAGTTGCGGTGCGCCAATTCGCTCGTTCACCAGACGTAATGCACTGCGTCGACTTACCATGCGACTCTTTGGCTGTCTTGCGCTTCCTGGCCCTCATGGTGCGGTCTCCAAACTGCAAAGGCATCAGTGCGGGATCGTCCTCCCCGCAGTTCTTTTCCGGCTGAACCATGAAGCTCTCCATCTTCTTCACCAAGTTCGAGAATGTGGACTGCTCCAGCCTCTGGCAGACTCGCTCCACCAGAGGGCTGCGATAAGTCGTGGCGTCGCTGCTTTGATTTTTGCGCCAATGTTACAGGCCGATTACCGAGCAAGAAGGTTTAGTTTGGATACAATGTTGCTGCCCAATACTGCTTAGAAGACGAGGCATTTGCATGACATCATTGTTAGTGGAACTCCAATCCACCCCAATGCGCTGAAGTTTGACGAGTTGCCGCAGAGCGGCAGACACATCCATCACAACAGCTATGAGCATGCTCTGTTGCTAGCCTTCTGTGGACTAAAGTTATGACAGCGTCACGCATGCGCCGACCGTTTGGTGAAATTGGTCTGTTCAGAAAGAAAGCTTGTAAACTGCGGCAATGCAGTCATTACTACAGTCAACTCAGGTGCAGCTGCCAGGCTGTGTGCTCCACAGAAATTCTCTCTTGTTCTTGGCCAGAATGTTGATTTAACCGAACCTTCAGGTTGTGCCATAGCTGCTGAGGGCATTTTCAGGAAGAAACAAAATCTGCCTACTACTCATACCAATGCTTACAGTTATAAGAGTTAGTCTGCACGAGGTCACAATGCAACTGCCAGTGCCAAGTTGAGTGGGGCTTTTCCTTGAGATCCATGTGGACGCAAAAACAGACACAAAAACAAACAAAGCTGGTTGCTTACTAAGACAAACCACCTTGGCCATAAAAATCTGATAAACTCTGCTTGTCATGTTTTCCTTTTTCTCATTTTCCCTCATTGCTCAGATGCAGCCCAAGCTTGAAAGATTGCCTTTACAGGGTGTCTAACAAGTTGACATTTTCAAATTCCCCGAGTTTTCCAGGTTTTCCCTGAGTACTTTTGTGAAATTCCCTGAGTGACACAGAAATTTGTTTTAGGTCAAGATGGGCTGACACCATGTCGCCAGATGCTGTCACTCTCTAAAAAGCATGTTATAAAAAAAAAACAAAAAAACTACATAATACAGTTTTCATGGTAACGAGTAACTTTTATTAGATTCAAAAAGAATAGAGAACGGAGTGGTTAGTAAAATTCATAGCGAATAAAGTATAAAAAAAAGGTAAACTGAGGTTTATGTGACCCCCCCCCCCCCCCCCTTGACCTCCTGAGGGAGGGGGGGGGGGGGGGGGGGTGTCACGTGACCTCACGGTTATGCCGACGGTGACGCCGCTCAAGCCGGAAACGGGCGCCTAAGAGCTGCGCTCTAAAAGCAAATCGCAAGCAATAACAGGGAAAGAAATAAGTAAACAAAGATAAGGCGTTCAAAGTGCGATTGTTCAACCCTTGTCGACACACCCCACTTGACAAATATATTTTTTTGTTTTGCTCTTCATTTTGGGGCTAAGGAGTCGCGCAGCGACAGCAGTGTTCGGGGAAAAGAGCGCACGCAACCGTTCCAACAGCGGGCACTCCCTGCCCTCCCTACGCGCACGGGTGCCCTTCCCCTTGCTTTTGCCATCCTCCACTTTTTTGTCTTTATTGGTTGCTTTTTTATTTTTTATACAATTGCGTTTTCGCTGCGTATCCTCGCGTGCGTGTATGCTGTCTTGGCGGTCTGCCAGCCCTGCAACCCAAGCTATGTGCTCCCAGCCGGCGCAATCCGACCCCGGGAGAAGCGAAGGACGGCCGTGCTTCGTCTTGGTTCGTTACATCGAGTGTCCCCGCCATGGGAGCGATCGATACAGAAAAACAATGCGATTTTCTAGGGGAAGTTTGGACTGTTTCATATAAACAATAATTCGAAATACATGGGTGTGATATAACCGGGCTTGACTGTATGTTTGGCCCATTCCATTAATATCTGAAGAATTCTGAACTGTAAAAATCCATCTGCAGCACTTTAAAAAAAAAAAAAAAAAACCTGATAGAAGCACAAATTCCCTGAGTTTTCCAGACTATTCAAAATCCCTGAGAATTCCCGGTTGGTAGACACCCTGCCTTAGCCTCCCCCCCCCCCCCCCCTCTCTCAATCAAAACACACGAGTGTAAACTCTCCGATAACATTAAAGAAAGAAAAAACACTTAAAGCATTTTCATCACACTGGCAGTTGTCAGTGGTGCATATGCAGACACATTGGGCACTTTTTTGAAATCCTAAGGAGAAGAGATTAACCTTTTTCTCATCTCCAGATAGGCAAATATACTAAAAACAACCGTAATTTTTACCTTCCAGATTCTCTTAACTGTGGTACTTCAAAAAGTGCTCAGAAAATGTGGTATTGATCACAGCCACTCATTACCAAGAGTGCACTGCTCTGAGCCATTCTCTGAAGCTGCATATGTGCAAGTGTGGGCGTGATATACAAACAATAGTGTAATACTCTGACACATGCGAAAAAGCGAAGAAGTGAAACAAAAAGTCTGTGTTCCTTACAGAACAGAGAAAAGCAAAAAGAGGACACTGCCTCTTTTCTATGCGGGCAGAAACCGAGAGAGTGGAGGAGACTAGAGCGTCCGGCGACGACAGAACGCCGAGCTCTGGTTGGAATGATCAGTGGGTAGAGGCAGAGCTAGCTGCCTTCGTCTCCACTGCACTCGTCGAACGCATTCAAACGCGAATGCCCAGTGCCGGAATCCTAAGTTCTAAGGTATTTGAACAGTGTAGTGGTGACAAAAGATGCCTTTGTCCTCACTGCGCTCGTTGAACACGTTAGAATGCGGAAAGCCGGCATCCGGCATTCGACGAGAACAGCAGAGACGAAGGCAGCTAGCTAGCTTGCGCCTACCCAATAATCATTCCAACCAGAGTTCGGTGTTCTGACCTTCCCATGTTTTCTTGTCTTGTCCTCTCCCCCAGTTTCGGCATGTATAGGTTCTCAAATGTTTTAACCTTGAGGAACCCCTAATTGCCTCGATTGGCAGCCGAGAAAGCTCTTGCGGTCTGGACAATGATCCACAAAAGCTGCGCAGAAGCTTTACAGACCTTGTAAACTATAATGCACACACTGAGGAGTGTTTACCTCCTAGTTACGCATCAATGGGTGCCTCAAGAATGTTTGAATAGTACTTAAACTGTAAAATTGCTTTACTTAGACGCTGGTATGGTCAAATATATTTGGGAGCTTGGGGAACCCCTGAAGGTACTTTGGAAAAGCCCCGAAGGCACTTTGGGAACCCCTAAAGGCATTTTGAGAAACCCCTGAAGGTACTTTGGGGAACCCCTGAAGGCACTTTGGGGAGCCCCTGAAGGTGTTAGAGGGTAAAAGTGCTAAAAACAATGGACAAGTGAAAGGGACCAACACCATTAAGCCCTTTGTAATCCTGGTCTCTTTCACTTGTCCATTCTTAGTGCTTCTAAACTATGAATCACCAACTAGCCCAAGAGCACACCCTTAAGGTACTTTGGGGAACCCCTAGAGGTCCTTTAGGAAACCCCTAAAGGTACTCTGGGGAATTCCTGAAGGTACTTTGGAAAACTCGTGCTTCTAGAAACCCAGTTTGAGAGCCCATGCCCAAGGTTGGTGCCCAAGCACAATCTGCAAAGGAAGGTCAGTCACCCACAAAATCTGCCAAGATCAAGGGCAACGACGGAACAGAAGACTCACGTGAGCGGAAAGGTTTGCTGCGCCACGGGAGAAATGCCGGACATCTTCGAGAGCAATGACATCGTCGAAGTGGTGGAGCAGAAGCTGGCGTTTGACTCGTCGGGAGTGCTCGCCATCTTGCAGGACTGCTGACGTCCCGCGAGTGCGTCCCTCGGGGTTTTCAGGCCGGTCTGCGACGTGTAGCGCCACCGAGCAGGCGTCGGCGCAGGCGTGCCCCGAGACCAGAGGTTCTCTGCAGGTTGTGCAGAAATGGGCGCACTGTTCACCTCCCCACCGGCAATGCTGGTGCCAATGCTGGTGGGCGCACCCATCCAATGACAAACTAAACAAGCATGTTGGTGTAACGTTGCATACAAAAAAACAAAACATGGACACATGAAAACGCCCATTTCTGTCCTTCCGTGCCCGTAATATTGGAGGTTCATATTTCGCTCGAGTGTGGGGCACTAACTGAAGCTTTATTTGTGCTGCTAAATGTGCTCAACCGTAACCCCCACTGCAGTGCATAAAGAATGATATGTCCTTCCTAAACATTTTGGCTTCAAATAGCGAATCTCTAGGTCACGGGTTCTCAGACTGGGTTACTCCCGAAGTTTCCCCAAGCACCTGAATTTCCTCGACCTTCCCCGCATCAGAGTAAACCGTTTTCCTGGTTGAAGCAATATTTTTTGTGAATTTGTGCCAGCCATCGATGCACGGCTACGAGCCAGAACACCCAGTATTACGTGCACCACTGTTTGTAAGGTCTGGAGGTTCCCGCACTGCTTTACTTTCTCAATGCTGAGACCAGGAAGGGTCCCTCAGCTCTCGGTCTTGGAAAAGAGGGTTTCGTCTGCCAAAACAAAATTTTTGTGGTGACTGGAGGGCGTCCCCGTTACCATACCTTTGTTGCTTCGGTTGATGACGGGCTTTGTTTTTATTTGCCGAGCCCTGTCCGCGTAGCGCAGTGTTTTCAAGGTCTCCATCCAGTTGCTGGCAGTGGGACTGATGCAGGCAATCATCACCGTGTGACTGGTACCATTGAGGGACTCTAGAACGGCATAGAGGAGAGGACAATGTTTAATCATGAGGGGATCGGTGTTGCGAGTCAGAGCCAGTAACACATGCTTACAAGCTGAAGCAATGTCATAGCTAATGGCATGGCGAGTTTATATTAACTAGTATGCCACATGGACGTACCAGCCAGGAGACGAGTGAGGCAGGAGTCCCTGTAGGGAATGTGTGGAGTTTTGCCGTGGTGGGAGCAGAGGGCATTGATCACATTTCCCAGGGCAAGAAGTCCCAGGTTGATGTTCACACCTGCGTTGAGAGAGCGACAATCGAAATAAAGCCGAGGCGGTTTACAAGAGAGTGTCGAGGGTCCCGAATGGGCGTTTTCCACAACAAGGCTAAAGAAAAGGACTCTGATGAGCAGCGGTTTGCACAGTCTGCTCGCAGATGCAAAGAAAGCCGACATAAACTAATAAAAAGGGTGCAGCAGAACTGGGTAATGTTTACCTTGCATATGGTTAAACCCCACACAACCTACCAATTGGGGAAGTAAAAAATAAATAGGTATTCGGATGTAAAACATCGAAGAGGATGGGATAGTAGACAATAAAATTCAAAATTTCCTCGCAACACTATAGACGGTTTGCAGCAGCTGTGCATAGGTGCGGCCATAACCGACCTTCAGCTCTTGTTTCTTCTTATTCCATTTATTTCACTTCAAGCAGAACAGGTTATTGCCATCTTAGATTTGACTGTGCAAGCCCCCGCGGTTGTTGCCGCGTGGGAAGTCAACCTCCACCTGCTCGTGGTGCGCCCTGCCAGCTTTATTGCTGCAACGGAGGCTCTGGCGAAAACCCCCCCACCTGGGATGGGGAACCCTAGCACTGGGGTTCCGCATGTGGACGAGGGGGACAAAAAGGGCCTGGGAACCCTAGCTTACCCCATGGAAGCGGAGCCACTGAGGCGGGGTCCATACCAGGGGAAGCTATCATAAAGGTGGTGCCCCTCGTAACTTCCCACGTAGGGAGGTGCCCCCGCATGGTGGCGGGGGTGATCTCCAGGGGAGCCGAGGGATATAAAAGTGATCACTGATCGGCGGGGCTGGATGGTTCATGGTTGCCATTCAGTGACCGTCGGACCCGCTGTGAGACGCACTCATGTCTTAGTAGCGGAGCCGGACAGTGAGTCGACCAAGTGGGTACTTTTAGTACCACTGGTTTTCCCGGGCCGTTCCACTGGCTGTACAATACAATAGTTGGTTTCATTTATAACCCCTTAATTCCAATTGGCTTTTTCCTGAAATTTTCACTTGATCACATGATCCTATTCATTTTTATTGGAATTGGGTTAAGCCTGCGGTGCGAAAGCGGGAGCGGGCAGGGGACAAGTTTTTCTTAAATTTTTTACAAGAGCCCCGACTCAAAAAAATCTGTGTCCTCCCCAGCATTGGCCCTTGTGGAGGCTCGTCGACGCCCGCTTCAGTGGCTCAGCTTCTCGGTAAGACAAGAAAAGGTCAGCAACGTCGGCTGTAATCTGGCATCTGTGTAAAGTATCTACAACTTTAAAAAAATTACTACCAATAGAGTGGTTCAGGAAAAAAAGAGTCTCTTCAGGAACTGCCAGCCACGGCAAACATCAAAAAGCTAAATAACTATTGTTTTAATTAGTGAAAATAAACATACAATTCGAATTAAAAACTTGCTTAGTGGCATGAAAAGCCCCTAAATTGGTCAATCTTAGACACTTCTTAAAGCATGTGTGAAGCACGGGAGTGCTATAAAGTTCACAATCGTGCAGCAGGCACAAGGCTGGTGGTGCGGAAAAGAATATCACCCGCGTTGTAGTCTCCTGTAGTAACGACAAGCTGACATATTGTAGTACGTACTACCGTAGCATACCGCGCGTCTGCCCATTCCACACTAAGCGCCCATTCCCAAATTTGTAAGTTCTGAGGAAATACGCACAGCACATTAGTATGTAAATTGATGACCGGACAAGCACCCAACCCACATTTTTCCGCTATCATCTCTCAATTTTGAGTGGGCACTTGCCCGGTATTTGACGGTAGTAAGGTTGCAAGGTATTAAATATGTATATTATGAAAAGACGAAGCAGAGAAAAATTTATGGCAAATTGCTAGGCAACTGTGTTTACATACGTGAAATATTCTGGGATCACAAACATTCAGCGATACTCTCAGTTTCCAAAACCCAGACGTCTATGTTCACCACACTCTTCATCAGATGGTTTAAATGCATAACATGTGTGCACTCTATAGTTTTTCTTAGAATGAAGCAATACTACTGCTAATCGGGCCGATAAACCTGGCGATCTTCCAGAGCCTTCTATACTCTCGAGCTCCTCTCCCTCAGTGTGCGCAGGTGGTCCAGCTCCTCCTCGCCTACCCCTCTGGTCACACGACCTCCTCGTTAACCAATTAGCGCTGAGCACCTCGCTCCTCCTCTCCCACCCGTCAACCAATCTGTGTCGAGCCTTGCAGCCATGCTTTTATCTGGGCTTCACAAAATGCCGAACACCTAGCCAAAAAATGTTTCACATAAAAACAAATACAAGATCTTTACTTACTTAACTCGGGAGCAACGCTGCCCAAGAGCTTGAGCATGAGCATATTGCTTGTGCAGGCAGTGCGCATTTGTGAACAATGATGATGGTCCCATTGCACCATTATAATGTACCGTGTTTGTTCATTAGTTAGAGTGACATGAGCCCGACTGCCATGCTTTTCACCGCGTTTGCCTAATGTCGGAGAGGTGACGTCTAGCAAAGGTAAAGCGAGACATATGCCATTGTTAAAGGTGCTGATAAAAATGCCTTCACCACAAAATGACTACATAGCTAAACAAAGTAAGATAACTCATCTCAACAGCAGAACTGCTGCAGTGAGGTATTGCACAGCACATGTGCTACCCCGAGTTTGCACCAATTGCCCAAGTCAGGAATGCTAAATCAAGATTGTGGAATCTTCTACAATGCCATGCACAATACAACTCTCAGTTCAGAATGATATAATTTTTATTTTAGATAAGAAAAGTTTGAGGAGCTAGGGCAAAAGAATATGAAATTGCCTTCTGACTGGGCCTTAGCACCTGGTTACAGCACTTAGTACGGGAAAAGAAACAACAGTGATGGAAGTGGCATTTTTAGCTTTTGTAGCAGGTTCTGTAGCTCGCAAAATATTCGTTTGGAGCAGCCACTGACGCTTTTGGAGCAGATGCCAACGTGTGTTAGAATGTCACTTCAAAATTAAATGATGATTGCATGGCTATATGAGAGTCAATCTATGGTAATGATTGAGAGTTCATCTACCATACTGAACATATATTTCATCTGTCACTTGTGACAAGAATAAACGGAATGCAAAAACAACACACAGCCTACTTTTTAGAACTTTCAGGTCAGAGTGGTTATGGGGTGGCTGGAAGGGTAAGTGTGACGGACAGGAGCGAAGGGCTGCACAAAGTTGCGATGAAAACGACTCGCCTGCAGAGTGTTGCACCCTTCACAGTGGCGAAGATTTTCATCGCAACACACGTGCTGCCCACAGCGCGTGAGTTGAAAGGTCCCATAGGTTCTTTATATTTTGACTAGGGTTTTTGCAACTACACGAATGGCACACGTTTCACCCGTTAAATGAGTCATGTGCCTGAATTCAGCGATAAAAAGTCAGCAAAGAAAATTTTGGGGACCACTAGGGGAGCTGCAGCCATCAGGCGAGTCAGCAGTCCCAAAAATCTTCAGATCCTGCATTACAGTTTAAAACTGCTTGATCGGGGTCACGGGGTGTATGGGCCCCGTTCGCAATATGAGCTGCGAGGAGCTGACGAACGCGTCGGTTGACTGAAGTGTTTCAGCCTTTCTGCCTTCTTTCCTCCTCGCCACGTGAAAACGCAGCGCATGCACACTTGCGACCAATCTTCGCCGGTGGCGCCCGTTAAACTGCAAACGCAACCCCATGATTTCAGATGGACCTTCTCTACAATCTGGGCTCTCAAAATTTCAAATGGCTGAAAGACGAATCATAGCACGACACTTCAGTTGCAGCAAAATGCCGGCAATAACCATCATACGCACTAAAACGTCAATCAACAAAAATATGTTTCCCCTAACTTTTATGAACTCAAGAACACAAGATCCTAATATAAACTGCAAAAACAACCCCCCAAAATATTATCAAAGCCGAAATTTGTTTTAAAACTGACACTGCGCTTTAGTGGCGTTGAACCAGAGTTGAGTGAAAGTTCGCTGCCCTTTCGATTGACTGCATGCTGCACGAGAACTAACTTGACTACCGTATTTACTCAAATAAAGACCATTTTTTTTTTCTTTTCTTAGCATAGCTTTTTAAAACTAAAGTTTGACCTTCAATCAGGACCGAAGATGGTCGATCTATAATGGTACTCAGCATAATTTCCGAGCTAATCGCGCTAACGCAGGTGCTCCCCCATGCTAGAACACCAGTGTAAAGCGGTGAAGCTTGACGTGCGTGCTGGTGAGAGGCGGTAAAGCGGAGCAGGTGCCAAGGTGCACTGCGGCTACGGCACAAAAACATGCAGGAGACATAATAATCGAGTGATCTCATCAGGACTAAAAGACCATGGTCCTGTCTTATCACAGTAACCTCCATCCCACAATTTTGCAAATTGTACTCCCCACTTTTAGTTCCCGAAATTGACAACGTCGTCTGAAAATTAAGACGATGATGGGGCCAATGCGGTTGATGAGCAATCTCTATACTTCGCTTCGCTTTAAGCCGAAGCGCTGCCGACGCTACGAGCCAATGGGACCAATCAAACGGCATCAAAAGCGTGACATTGTGGCATTCGTCATCTCTCCGTAAGAACCCTGGTTCCCACAGAGTGTGGGAATCAGGGGTTCCCACACTCTGTGGCTAAGGGACCGGATTTGGGATCTTTTGCAGCCTCGACGGCCGGAAAATAAAATAGGTGAATATAGATCAGGAAAAACTGAATAAACAAACCTAGATATGCAATTAAAAAAAACAAAAAGTCCCGTTCGACTAAACATACAAAAAGAATTCAAGCTAAATGAATGCATTTAATTTATTTCAGAATCAATATTCAGCTAGTTAAAACATTATACACTAATTGTGACCAAGCAAACTAAAAGGGCACAAATTAAAGCACATAGAAAGTTTGGTTTACTCACATACAACAGAAGAACAGTAAGAACAGTAAAATAGACCTTATTCAGATTTGCCCGCCATCTATGGGACGTGGCGCCAACCTCCCTTCCGAAGCCATCTTTGAGGCGACGGGCAAAGTGCTGCCGCCGTTTGCAACGTGCGATGCGCAGCGATTGTTTGACTCTCGCAGTTCGAGAAACATTTTTGAAATATAGACGAAAGCACAAAAGCGGGCTCTTGACTGCTAACCTGGACTTGTTGGCGAATTTAACAGTTGCGCTTGCTCACTTCTCGAAAAATCGGGTTCGTGCTGCGGGAGAAGCTTTTTTATTTGTAGCCAATACTGTAAGCAACCGCTTTGATGAGCACTGGTCATATTCTATGGCTAGTAAGCATGAAATTTAACTCTATGCAACCGCGCTACCAGGAGGAACAGATTAAAATGTCGCTGACATTTATTAATGCATTTTCTCTCAAGGAGCCAAAGATATATGCACAAATACTGAACCTATTTTTTAGTATTATTATTATTATTATTATGATTATAAAAGGAAAACGTTTCCACTTTCCCTAAAATAGTGTTTTTTTTTAATACGTTACTTGCACCGCGGCGACAAGCCAGTCATTTCATTTTACGTTTTTGCGCCTCGCATATGCTTTTGTGAGTATGGTAGTGTAGATCTTCAGCATAGCTTTTATTTTTTAGCTGCAATGAAAATACTACTTTCATAAATTCGTGCTGTATCACACACACTCTTCATAATGATGTTTTGAGCTACTATTCGGTGATCTCGCCAAGGAACTAAATAAAAATGTATGTAGTAAATTTAATTTCATGTTTTTTGTTGTTTTTTTCGTGTGTGTGGAATCATACAGCAAAACTTCGTTATAACAAAGTTGAAGGAACAATCGTAATTATTTCGTTATAACCATTCGTTTGTTATAGCCAATGTCCATTTCTTCCCACTACTATTAGCAAGCAAGGGGAATTATGATTGCTTTGTTATATCCATTAGTTTGTTATATCCCTTTTTGTTATAACGAGGTTTTACTGTATTTGCAATATTCCTCAGGTTAAGACAACGGAGAAAAAAGATTAAACGTTCAACGCCGCCATCATAGAACTCTGCTATTCGGGTCTGCACACGCTGGGTCAAGGCGCACTGGGCGAAGAACTGTTCACATTCTTTAAACTCGCAGCCGCAAACGCCAAATAAAAACAAACTCGCACGGCGGCTGACGGCCCTGCTAAATATATCATACAAATCGTCCTTGCGCAAAAAGGCATAATAAGTTGGTCAGGCAAGTTAACGCAAGATTCTAAAACAGTGTGTGAATCGGCCTGCTCTGGTGCTGGAATAAAGCTCATTTTTATAAAAAGAGATTCTCAGTAAAACCACTGAAAACAAACTTTAGCTTAATATTCATAATTTATTCACGAGTGGCTGACACCATCAATACACAAAAAAAAAAAGAACACACAGAAAAAAACAAAAAAAACAACAACAAGAATGTGCACGAATGTAACGCGGGGAGAGGAGTTCGTACTGCGGCGGGCGGCGGGGCGGTGGTGAAGCCTCAAAGATGGCGCCGAGCCTCTGATAGTGCCCGTGGCCACCGAGAGATGGCGCTAATAATGAATAAGGTCTATTAATTATGACAATATGCAATAATTACAACACAGGACACCGAGTACTATTTACACAAATTCAAGTCTGTTACATCATGCCGCGGTGGCGACGCGTCGGGCACACTTCCGGTCTGGGGCTGTGGCCAGAAGTCACCGTATGAGACATGCATTCCTGTGTTCTTTTGGAAAAAAAAAACAGGCAAAACATCTGCCTTCTTGTCAAAATGCTGCGACGGGGGCAGTACCAAAAGAGTCGGGAAAGGTTTGAAGGTCAGTTTTCGTGTGTTTTCTGCCTGCTCGGTTCATCCGAGAATGGGAATGGAGGCTGTGAAAAGGGCAAACCAGATGCTGTCGAACTACAATTACTTGTGTGGGCAACACTTTGGTTTGAATTCACAGATACACGTGGTCGCCAGATGCATTTGTTTTGTTCCAACATGAACAAGGGAAAACCGCAAAGTTGTCCGGACCACCAGTGAGTTCAGTGTGTCTTCAAATTCAAACGGCCGCCTAATCGTTCGAACTGTCGTCTGCTCTTTCAAACTTGTCTGCTTTTTGTCGTCGGCTCAATCAAACAAAAGTGGCTCGTAAACCAAACTTTGACCCGGTGATTGCGATAAGAAGTAATTGCAGGTCTCAAAAGACTTTTAAGTAGGCTCGGTGTAAACAGTGGATACAAGATGTTGATCATTGGCACCAGTGGCCATTACCGACTTGTTACGCCTGATTCGCTTGGTCTCTTCCCACTTCCGATTTTCAGTATCAACGTCGATCATCGCCGCTACTAGTGCCACTAAATAAGCTACGCTTCAGAGTAACGACACTTGGCCATGTTGTGTCTTAAAATTATGGTTGCCAGTTATCTGAAATCACAGGAAACGCTTTTCCGCCCTCCACAAATGTTTAAACAGTTCGCGACAGCTCTGTCGCGTCACTCAGCACGAGTGACGTCGCAACCGAAAATAGCTAGAAGAATCTCATTATGGTTTTGGCGTTCATTCTGCGGCGTTCACGCGAATGAATCGCCGCACGTATAACTATGCAAAGTTTAGCGGCGTAACGAGCCTTCATAATTTCGTTCAGGCGATTAAAGTGGCAGGATATTATTATGAGGACGTAGAATCGACAATTCCTACTCAAAAAAGAGTATGCGGACTCACACAGATGCTGACAACGTGACATTCCAACGGTCTGTTAAAGCGGGACGCGGTGCTTCTTGCCCACACTCCATTGTGCATGCGTTCGAACAGTCGTCTGCTCTTTCAAACATGTCTGCTTTTTGTCGTCTGCTCGTTCAAATGACAGCGGCCCATAAACCAAACATTGACCCAATAATTGCAATAAGAAGCAAGTGCAGGCCTCAAGACACTTTTAAGTTTGAAGGTTGGTTGGGTTAAGTAGGCTCAGTGTAAACAGTAGATACAAGCAGATGTTGATCACTGTTACCAGAGGCTATCACAGACTTGTAATGCCCGATTCTACTTGCGATTTTCCGTATCGACGTCCACCATCTCAGCTACAGTCCACGCTTTTGCAGCCCGAGCGACGTCGCGACTGAAAATAGCGAGCAGAATCTCATCATGGGAGTCAGGCTTTAGCGCCCATTCTGCGGGGTACACGTGACACAAATTGCCGCAAGTCACGTTATTCACGCAAAGTTTAGCAGTGAATCGAGCCTCGTTAATTTAGCTGAAGCCACAAGTAGTCGGACATTGTCAGGAGGACGTAGAATAAACCATTCTAACGCGAAAAAGAGCACGGGGACTCGCACCGACGATGACAACATCCCATTTCAAAGGTTTGGTTATGGGCGACGGCGAGCTTCTTGCCCACCCTCCATCGCGCATGCGCGGTGCAGGTGGCATCCGCTAGGGGCACTCCGGTTTGTTTGTAAACATGAGTTGGTATATACATGGGAATGGTAATGAATTTAAAGCTAGTTACACAGACATGGAACCAGGGACAATGAGTGATAATACTCAATATGACAGGGCGCAATAAATATTCCACGGAATACCTATCAGCAGCTAGGATATGAATCAGAACAAATACGATGCGTCTTGTGCGCGTCGCGGTGCCATTTCTTTATTGTGCACACATTTTTGTGCCCGTAGCAGCGGACCTACTGGAAGCGTGCCAAGAGGCGGGCATCATTGCAAAGATCGCTGCCAGCCACGTGTCGGTCAGAAGGCTTCTGCGGGCCGCACCTGGCACGCCGGTTGGGGCGTGGAAACCCACGGGCTAAACTACCATATTTACTCGCAGAATGAACACACTTTTTTTTCCGAAAAATCAATGCAAAGTTGGGGGGGGGGGGGGGGGGTGTTCATTACGCGAAGTGAAATTTTTGCGTCCATATTTACTCGCATAATGAACAGACCTCTTATCCTGAAAAATCAACATAACTTCTTATCTCTTTGCCCGCGGCACGCGGCCCCGTAACCAAATTAGGCTGTGCAAAAAAAAAAAAGCCCCTTTTTGTTTTTTCTTTTAGTTCCGTGGTTTTTTTTTTTTTTGTTTTTTTGCCGCCTTTTGCAAGCTGTTTTGTTTGCATAGGCGAGGACTACTCCGCTTCTCTTTCTTACCTTCTTGCACGCGACCCTGCAACCAAACTGCGCTGTGCAAAAAAAAAAAGCACTTCTTTGTTTGTTTTTTTCCTCTTAGTTCTAAGGGTTTTTTGCTTAGGCAAGGGCTTCTCCGCTTATCTTTCTTATCTCCTTGCGCGCGCGACCCCAAAATCCAGACTGGGCTGTGCAAAAAAAAAAAAAAAAGCTCCTCTCCATGTTTTTTTTCTTGCTTCCATTGAATCTTTTTTTATTTTTTTAACACCTTTTGCAAGACGTTTCGTTCGCCCACGCTGCCCATGCATTCGCGACCTCGCTGCACCAGGAAAAAAAATTGTGTTCATTTCGCGCGCGTGGGGGAAGGGGGACAAAATTTTGACGTCGGAGTTGGGGGTGCGTTTAATATGAGAGTGAAAAAAAAAGTTGAAATTTTGAAAGCCGACTTGGGACGCTATTGGACGCCAGCTCCTTTTCGTCCACTAGCGTCTCTTGGTTTCGGTCATTAGTAAGGGTGTGTCCCTCTCTACAGCGTCATGTCGTCTCCAAAAGCTTCCTACCTCCATGGTTCGAACCTTTGACTATGCTTTGACCTAACGTGAAACGATGTACACAACGAGTAGAAATGCTGTCAAATACATTTGGTACCATTTTTCTTGCCTTCTACTTCTTTCAATATTTAAGTCAAGCAATAAAATATTTTTTTTTTTGTCTAAGCCTATTTTGGTGCAGGTGTGGTGCAATTCTAAGCAAAAATGACATTTTGGCGCAAAATGTAGCAGACTTCTGTACACAGTGCAATTTGGCGCAAATGGCGCCGCACTTCCATCACTGAAACAAACGAAGAAAAAAAATATTGCTCACAAACACCGACGGGACATAGATGCATTTTGAGTAATGTGGGTAGAGCAACAAGTTAGACCTCCGTGGACTCACCTTCCTTGCGCCTGGCTCCGACACTTTGAGTGTTCTTGATGGTTTCTGACCCTGCCAGGTCCACCAGCTGAAGCTTAGACATGAACAGCGTTCTGCAAAAATTGCAGTGCTCAGATCAGCCCAAACACAGGTTTTTATGCTACCACAACTTCCTTGTGGAAACATAAAAAATATACAACACAAAATTATAATGGCTCCCTGCAGTTCAACTACCGCGATATCCCGAGTCGTCACCCACCATCTAGCCACCTCGAATTTATCAGAAAAGGAGGGTAGGCGATGTCTCAATGGGACCAAAAAGAAAGAAAGAAGCTGAATTTCTGTTAGAAATCGCGTCCCATGGGCGATGTAATCGAACAAGAGCTTGAATTGTGAGCGCCTGCTATTTCATGAAGGAAGCAATCGACAATCCATTTGTCCAACTGTCCGTCCGCGCATTTCCAGCTATTTTTATGTGACCTAAACACAAATTAGGTTACCCCGCTACTTTTAGCGGGAAAATTGATGTTACCTGACCTTAGGCCACGTGACCAATACACCAATTCAGTTTCTCCCATAAATTTGACGGGAACATTGATGTCACGTGACCTATGCACCAAGTGTTTCCCTGTCCCATTTAGTGGAAAAATTGGCGTCACATGACCCAATGCACAAGCGTATGGACGAAGTCCGGAAAGGCTAGAGAAAGCCTGTTTTCCTGTACGTATTTTGTGTGGCCAGACACAGTGACAGATTTAGCTGGCCGATTCAGGTTGTGCTAGCAGACGACCCCGCAAAAAAAAAAAACAAATCGGCCAGCACCCTTTAGACGAGGCGTATGCCATCTGTAAGCAGCACTTCTCATTATGTGTGCATTGTCTGTAAATGGCCCAAAACCGGTTTCTGTCTTTTAATGCGAAAGCATTAACCGTTCCATGGAGCGAATCGACGTCATTAGCTTTAAAGCAGCGCCAAACGGCCCCTTCCCCTGTCCCAATGCCGTCTGTAGCAGAAATCTGATGGATAGGCTCCCAGTGGCTCTCGTGCAGCGTAGTTCCACAAAACGCCACCAGGGAAGCCCGCTCTATGGCAGTGCAGGCGCAGCGCACGCAGCGGCCCGGTCGCCGATAAGAGGTGCAGCAGCGCAGGCCTGGCAGCAAAGCCTGCCCAGGCAAACTCCGGAGAGGGTGCATGGCAGAGCCCAGTGCGGCGCGGCCACCTCACGAGTGCGCGCTCGGCCGTCGGAACGTGACCGTTGTGCCACTACGCCGCAGATGAACTAAGGGAGCGGAAGAACGCCATTCATGCTTTCGCATTCACAACTAATAAGAAGTGCTTAGATGTCCTTGGATTTTTCCTTCTTTTGATTGAGGCAAGCTTATTCCTAGTTTTTGTTTGCCATAAACTTCCACCACCTGCTTGCACCTCTATAGTAAATTGCAGCACGACACGTTGAGAAATTGATTTTTGCGGGCAGTCTAAACTGCCTTAAAAGCGTTGCCGTATTTGCATGAATATAACGAGAGGACAAATTTTGATGGCATAAAATATAAAAAAAAAATATTACCATTATACACGAACTGATGCCACGTAATGCTAGTGCACTTGAGGAGGAGGAGGAATAAACTTTATTATGGTAAGCCTTAGGTGCTGATGTCTGGACACCCGCCTGGTGGGGGGTTTTCTCTAGCCCGGGATACCCTGGCCTGTGCTGGTCACTCCTGCCCTCTCCACCAGGCTACGCTGGGAGGAGGTCGGGGCTGGTCAGCCGTGCTACACACTGCTCGTATGTGGATAGGGGATTCGGAGTAAGGGATGGGGTTAGTTGACACTCTCATACTAGATGGCATAGGGTGCCAGGGTGGGGACAGTATTTACAAGAAGCGGGGTATAGGAAAGGGTACATGGCGTGACGTAGGGCATTGTGGGGGTAAGAATTAGTTTGTAGTCGTCGGATGATGGTAGCTCTGGCTCTGGATAGTTGCGGGTGGGGTGCTGGATATTGTTGGTGCCCGTGCCGGTAGTGGGCGAGTATATCGGCTTATTTTTGAAGTGTGGGCTTGAGGTTGTCTTGAGCTTGGAAGTCTGCTCCCTCTTGGGAAACGGCCCAGTGTGTGTGGACGCGGGCAGTGGCGTGTGCTGCCTCTTTTCCTTCGAGATTCGTGTCCAGGAGACCAGACAGTGTGTATTTCTGGAAGCTGTTTCAATTGTTGTAGGATAGCCAATGCTGGTTGTGTTATCCATCCGATGAGGAAGTTGCGGCATGCAGCTTGGGAGTTGGTGAGTATAGTTAGATCTTCTTCGCCAGTGGTGGCGGCTATGGCGATGGCAACCTCTTCGGCTGTTTCTATGGATGCCGTAAGGGCCGTGACTGCTGTTAGTTCTTTTCCGCTGGCGTCGGTCACACTGGCAGCGTGGGTAGATTTGGGGGGGTATGGAGATGCGTCTGCATAGTGAGTGAAGGGGAAATAGTCGTACTGTGCACGGATGGCTCGGGACCTTGCTGCTCGTCGTGCCTTGTTGTATGTCGGGTGCATATTGCGTGGGATTGGTGCCACTTTGATGGATTGTCATATGGCTAGGGGAATGCATGTCTTCTGATCTTGTTCTTGTGGGGTTGAATATCCTAGCCGGTGGAGCGTGGCTCTACCCGTGGAGGTGAGCTGGAGGCGTGTATGTTGTGAGAGTCGATGCACTTCTTAGATTTCTTCCCACGTGTTGTGGATGCCTACTTGTAGTTTCTCTGTTGACGTTTTGGGGGGCAATCCCAGTGCGGTTTTGTAGGCTTGCCGTATCGCAGTGTTTAGTTTGACTTGCTTGGAGGGTTTTAGGGCTAAATACGGAGTACCATATGATATTCGGCAAATGAGGATGGCTTGTTCGAGGCGAAAAGTACTACCTGTTTCTTGGAGGCCAAATCTTTGGTGAGAGACGCAATGGATGAGGTGCACGAGTTGTGCGAGAGTTTGTTGCAGGGGAGGATTGTTTGGGCACCCGATCCGTATTGGGGTATGGTGGGCCCCAGGTATTCGGAGATGGGGTACGTTGGGGACGGGTTGACTATTGATGCTGAGTTACGGATTGGGTATGGAGTTGGCGCATTGTTTAGGTGTTCCTTTGCATAGTGTAAGTAAGGCGGATTTTTCGGGGGCACATTCCAGCCCCTGTGCTGGCAGGTATTGCTGTGCTACTTGGATGGCAGCTTGGAGGGTGTCTTGTTAGTCACCTATGGAGCCCATGGGTGTCCAGAGTGTGAGGTCATCCGGATATATGGCGTGTCGGAGGTTGGGGATCGTTTGTAGTAGAGGAGGCAGCTCCTTCATGCCTATGTTGAAGAGTAGTGGAGATATATCACTGATCCTTGTGGGGTTCCTTTAGGTATAGTTTGGAAAATGTCGGAACGGAGGTGCCCGATACCCACTGTTGCGGTGCGGTTGGTTAAGAAGGAGATAATGTAGCTGTAGAGACGTTGGCTGCAGTTAGTGGAGGCGAGATCTTGAAGGATTCATTGGTGCGTTATGTTGTCAGATGCTCCTTTGATGTCTAGTGCTAGGATTGAAAATTTGTGGTGATTTGTTAGTTTGCCTATGATGTCTTCTTTCAGCTGAAGAACATCTTGGGTTGAGAGATGTGGACGGAATCCATACGTCGTATCCGGGAAGTAAACGTTTTCCTCAATGTGGGGTGAAAATCGGTTGTGGACCATATGTTCTAGAAGTTTTCTGACACAGGATGTCAGGGAGAGGGATCATAGATTTTTGGGGTTTAGGGGTTTTCTCGGTTTAGGTATGAGAGTTATATCTGCATGTTTCCATTGGGAGAAGAAAGAGCAAGCTGTCCAGTGATTGTTGATTTAATGTAGTAGGTTTTCAGGGGCTCTTGGGTCGAGGTTTCAAAGTAGTTTGTTTGGAATTTTGTATTTTCCCAAGGTGGTGTTTCTTGTGAGGTTGTGCACTGCGGCTTCGATTTTGGTGATGGACAAAGGTTCACCTAGTTCTGGATTAGGGGTACCGGTGTATGGTGGAAGAACTTGTGGTAGGTTTGATGATGTTGCTTCGAGGGGTTGTTTTAGTTCTTGTATAAGGTCTTGCTCAGTGCCTGGGTGCTTGTGTATAAGCCTTCGAAGTTAGTGCGCCGTAGTTGATTTGAATTCTTTTGTTCCCATGAGGGAACAGAGCAGGTGCCAGGTGCGACGAGCTCCCAGTGTTCCTTGGAGTTTATTGCAAAATTGAGACCAGTTTTGTTGGCTTAATTGGCAGGCATAGGTTTCTGCTTCGAGCGTTAGTGTGGCGATGCGGATCCGCAGCTTACGGTTTGTTTTGCGTGTTTTCCATCGTTTAAGGAGTCCGTTTTGGGTGTCCCAGAGGTGAACATCAATCACTGGGTTGTCTTAGTTAGCGGTACTTCTTTGGTGTGTTTGGCGGCTTCGGTGAGGAGCTGGATGGTCCATTCTTTTAGACTGTAAATAGGGTTGGTGGGGGAGTTTTCTTGAAATTTTTCCCAGTTAGTTAGTTGGGCCATGCCAATTCGCTGCTGGCTGTTTTTGCGGTGGGGGATTTGGAGTTGAATGATGTAGTGGTCATTACCTAAGGTTTCTTTCAGGCAAGACCACTGGCGTCTTTGATGTTATAGGTGAACGTGAGATCTGGGGAGGTGTCTCTTGAAACGCTGTTTCCGATGTGGGTGGGGCTATGGGGGGTATTGCAGAGGTGGAGATTATTTTGTTGTACAGATTCTTGTAGTTGAGTGCCTTTTCGGTTGTTTTTGAGATAGCCCCAGGCTGTGTGTGGAGCGTTAAAGTCTCCTAGGACAACGACTTTGTGACCTTTGGTGCGTTGTCGTACATGTTTCAGTAGGTGGTCTATTTCAGAGAGGGGTGAGGTGGGCGAGTTAAATATATTTAGAATATAGAGGCTGGTATGGGTCTTCTTGTGGGGCAGCAGTTCAATGAAAGTGTAGTCTATTGTGGTGGGAAGGGCATGTGGTTGGGCCGTTTGGGTAGTTTGGACGAGGATGGCCGTTCTGAATGTGGGGTCTGTGGTGTATGATGTGTATCCTTGTAATGTAATGTGGTTGATGTCAGTTTTTGTAGGGCAATGATGTCAGGTGAGTGCTGCTGTGTAAGTGGAAAGAGTGAGGCTTGTTTTCTTCGGTACTATCTGCAGTTTCATTGCCATAGGAGTAGCGAGGGTGGATGCGCTGAGTCGTCCTTAGGTGGACTGGAAAGTGTCATCGTCGGATAGGATAGTGTGGGCCGTGTTGTCGTGGTTTTGGGCGCATTGCGGTGCTTGGGTTTTTTGTGGGCTTTGCGTTTGGTTTCTTCGATGTCTTCGAAGCGTCGTTCTAGGGATGCAAAACAGGTGTCAATCTGGTTGCCCATGTCATGTATAAGGCGTTCTAGGCGTCCCGTGTCCAGGGTAGTGGGAGAGGGGACATGTGTGTTTGCGGTGCAGAGGAGGCACGTGATGGCGTTAGGAGCTCCATTCGGGTTAGTAGCTGCTCAATGCATTGTTCTAGGATTGCGGTGCGTTTTTCAGTAGCTTCCAGTTGTCGGCGTAGGAGAGCATTTTCTTTTTCGAGGGAGTGCATGCGGGGGTCAGGAAATAAGGTAGGGGGAGGGGTGGGGTGCAACAACAGCTGACCAGCTCACCTGGTAATGGGTTGAGCATTGAAGGTGTTGCTTCTGTGGTTGTTGAGGCGTTGACTGGGTTGGGAAGTTGGACGGGTTGTGGAAGGTCTGCTGCTTGGGGAATGCACGTTCCCGGACACGCAAGGGTGGGGTGATGGTAGGAATTTTTCGCGACGGTCCTTGCTGGCCGTAGGGTGATCCAGGCCACAGATTTGGCATGTGGATGCACAGTCGTGGTCAGATGTGGGGTTTTTGGTGTGGCACTGGGCACATACAAGTGTATTAGGGGTAGGACAAACGTCCCGTCTGTGTGCAGCATTGCACAGTTTGTCGATACAGGCGGCATCGTTTGAAGAGGCCGTAGGCTTTGATGTAAAATGGCACATGGGGTCCTTCGAAATCTACGAGTGCAGAGGTGGAGGCGCGCCCAGCATTCGTGCATGCAGTATACTGGGTCCGTTGGGTGCGAGGATGTAGGGTAGTTGTTCCGTGGTGGTGCCCTGGTCCAATCCGTACCTGGAAGCGGCTTTAGGTATGGTAGGACTTTGTGCGTTGTTGTGCCCAGTTGCAGCGCGGTAATTTCACTGAGTACCGTGGCACAGTTTTCGTCGGGCGTGCTTGTGACAATGAGATTTTGCGATGCTTGGGCTTGTATTGTCACGTAGGTGTTGAACTTGTGGTCAGGGATCTTACTTGCCTGTTGTATGCTTTGGGTCATCTGCGGTCCTTCCAAGCAGCTACGCAGAGTCCTGTGCGAGGTCGGTAGATTATTTTATAGTCTGTATCAGGGAGTCGAGGCACCGGTGTGGTTCGTGGAGAGGTCGGCTGAGTGCGGGGTGCAAGAAGCGGGGGTGTAGCTGCGGCTTGTTTGAAGTTGCGCCGCTCTTGTAGTATTTGCTGCCAGGGGCTGAGGGCCGGGATTGTGCTTCCGCTGAGCGCGTCGAATTCCATCGAGTTTTCCGTAGTCGTGTGCGTGTTGGCGGGTGCGGTGTGGTTGTGCGCCGGGAGCAGAGCGGCAGCTGAGGCTTGGTTGTGTGCTGGGAGCACCGGCGAGGAGGCGGTAACAGCCATCTGGGTGGGGCGGGAGTAGGCCCGGCGGTGGCTGCCGGCTTGGTTGGTTCTTCAAAGGGCGATTTTGGTTGGATAAGTGGTCCTAGGTCAACGTGGATGGTATCAACGAGACAGCCATGGTTGTAGGAAGCCGTTAATAACTATTTAAGGGTGATAAGTGGACTTGGGCAGCCATGAACCGTTGAAAAAGCGGGAGCTCATGCAAGGTCCGTGTGAACTGCATGGCCCCCTGGTGGGGTCCCCAAAAGTCTACATACTTTTTTTTAACTTGTTGTTGCTGATCACCTTGCCACTGTCCATGAGCACTGCGCCGTTATTTGTAACATCAATGTTGTTGGAGAGGCAACACTTGAGGAAGGCGTGCAACACAATTGAGCGCGGCATAGCCTCCCATGCGTTCACAATCCACTGGGCGACTTGTGAGATCGATGCCCGCTTGACGCGTCCCTTTGGTGTGAGCGCCTTGTTATTTTCGGCAAGCCACTCCTCGTACTCCCTTCGTACACAATTCATGAAGGGTTTGTTGATGCAGACATCGAGAGGCTACAGTTGGGAAGTAATGCCCCCATGGATCGCCACGAGGTCGCTCTTGGCCTCCCTAATCACGTTCTTGATTTCGTCAATCAAGTGTCCCCCGAAGGCGTCCAGCACGAGCATGAACGTCTTCGCCAACGCCGCACCTGGACAATTGTTTGACACGATGCAAAGACACTTGTGCACCATCACACTGTTCATCCACCCCTTCTCGTTACACCTGATGTGCATGCGGGGAAGGAAAAACTCATTTTTCAGAATTGTCTTCCTTTTGAAGATGAGGAAGGGCGGCAGCTTGTGTCTGTCAGCTGTGTACGCCAGCATTGCCGTCACTTGAGTTTTCTCATTGCCTGTTGTACGGAGGTGCACCTCCTTCGTGTCACGAACGTCCACGGCATAGTTGGACGGCATATCCAAGAAGAATGCAGTTTCATCCGCATTATTATGATTGGGGTTTAATGGCGCAAGTTTCATCCGCATTGTTGATCTAACCGATCATGTACTTGCGGTGTGTGCGTAAGTGGATCACGACGTTAGAATGCTATCAGCTTTTCTTCCTAGTCAACTGGGAGCTTCAGGCATATTGAAGTTCCCCAACGAAGTGAAAAACCAGCGCAACGCATGAAAACTTCTGGACCCAACGGCGACTGGCCTTAAAGGTGTCACGAGAGAGACCAGCCTCTCGTGCAAGCTACCTCGCTTTCAGCTGAATTGTTTCCGTACTCACGTGAAAAAATTGGCAGCGACGTTCCCGTACAAACTCTGCGAGTCTCTTCGAGATCAGAGTAACGACCGCTGTTCGGTCCACGGAAGGCCTTTCGGGTAGATGCGGCATGGAAAATCCGATCGCGGTTTTGTCTCCATCCCCGGATCGTCGACTCGCTCACCCCGAGACGCTGCGCCGCACTCGAATTACTGACGTGTTTGGACACGAGGATTGCCTTCTTTTTAAAAGATGCGGCATACTGGGTTCTCTTCTCCATTTGAGGTCTGTTGGTGTGCAAAACAGGAACGACTCTAGATAAGACTGGGAAAAAAAAAGCACTTCAACACACGCGGAACAAAGAAATTCAAGTTCCGTTTGGCGCTATGCTGATGATGCTGTGTTACAGATACTCGAAGCTCGATACGCCACCTCAACTTGGTGGGAGTGGCTCTCGCCCTCGTCCCTCACCCCACCCTAGGGTTCCCATCCCGCTCGCAACTTGCGCTCTTCTCGTGCCGTGTTTTTGAGTTTGAGCGTGTGCGTCACAAGGGTGACAAGATCTTTCCAGATTCGCTTTTACTCCTTTCACATGGTGCAATGTTCCCTCCAACTCCCTTCATTCCGTCAAAGGGATGGCTTTCCCCCCTTGCTCAGGCGTCTGGTGACCGAGCTCGATTCCGAAGATAACACGCAAAGCGCATTTTGAGGCAGACGATTTAAAAATATATCTCGCCTTATATTTGTGTAAATACGGTAGTTACATGCTATATATGCATACTGCAACGTGCTTTTCCGGCAGCTTCTCGAGTTAAGACAAGACTCTGGCTCGACCAGAAGCCCGAACTGCGGCGATGCAAGGGCAGAGGCTGACCCTTCGAGCAGGCACTTGAGGTGGACGGTGAAGATGGCATGGGACCGGCTGGAGCAGCTGTTGACCAGCGTGGCCCCTGTGCTGCGTGTGCAGCAGCCCTGCTCCAAGCACTGCAGGGCCTCGGCTGGCGTCTTCACCTCCCTCCGCACCAGCCCTGGAAGCTGAGATCCCGCCACCCTTTCTCTTTTACATGCATCATAACTTGCGTTCTGCAAGTCATATTGTTGTAGAAGTCGTACCCCCTATAAATGGTTGTCTCCACGAAAAATTTGGTATACTGTGCAATCCACTTATACCGACACCAGATATAACTATTTCCTGCTTATAATGATCAGTTTCTAGAGTTTTTGGAGTAGAAACGCTCGGAGTCTAGTCCAGATACAACGATAATCGGTTATAACGACTGACTTTTCGGGTTTTCTCATTATCGGTATAAGTCGTATTCCTTTGTACAAGTCACTTTATTTTGCATAGGCCTGCAGCTGCAAACTGTCTTTGGACCGCTGGAAGTGCGGGCCATCAACAGGTACTCTGCCATTTTCTTTGCCATAAATGTTGATACAGCCTAATCTTGCACAGCTAAGGTGCACATTTAAACAAAAAAAGTTTCAGCCTTTCCACTCTCGTGAAGAAGAGCAGCGGAGCTGTACTATATGCTACCATCTATGAGCGACGGCAGCAACCAGACAACCAATTACGTCTGGTTGCCGCCGACACTCATAGATGGCGGTAGCTGTCCAAAGCGTTGTGTCGAGATTTATTTGTTCACGGACATGAAACTCTGAAAACTAGCCCTTAAATGCTCCGCTGTAAAAACACATAAGTTGCACTATTGTATATAACACATCAACGAAAAATTTTGGGGAAGAAAGCAACCTATAGACCAGTGGTTCTCAAGCATGGATGTATCTGGGACTCCGTGGGGACACGCCAAAGTGATGGGGGCCCCATGCCAGTGGGGGAAGGGGGGTATAAAATAGGACAACTATAGTCTGTTGCAACTCAAGAATGAAGGGCGAGGGTAAGACGGGTCGAGGAGGAGGAAGCAGACGGAACCCTAAAGAGAGGAGGCTTCCCCATCTCTCCTCCAGCGTTCCGTCTGCTTCCTCCTCTCCGACCTGTCTTACCCTCGCCCTTCGATCTTGAGTTGCAACGAACTATAGGTAATTGCAGTGTAAAGAGGGCACCCTCTACTGTAATAGACAGAAGCGAGAAGCATCAAGTAAAAGGATGAATGGATAGAAGGATGGTGATGGCTGTACCTTTTATAAGGTGACGGCTGTACCTTGCACAACCTTGCCGGGGTCAATAAAAACAATTTTTTTTTAAAGAAAAAAAAAAATGTGTGGGTGGAGGGATGTTGAGGGTTGAGGCGAAAACTTTGTGGGCCCCAGCGAGCCCACAGCACCACGTTTGAGAATCACTGTTGCATGGTCGCTGCCATCTTTGAATCACATGACGGGGACACCATAAGCTGGCTCCAAACTTGCTGCTTAGCTCTCCCCTTCATGCTTTGGTGAATGCTTGTATTTGTGTTTATTGTTTAGTTTCACCACAACTTTACGCCTTCCTCTGTGAAGTGTCGTTTGTTGCTTACCTTTACTATCTAATTCCATGTCATGATAAGGTGCAAGATTTATGCACTTGATTTTAAAACAAGTTTTCACTAATGACGTCAGCATACTGGATACACGTGTAGAGGCTAGAGGTGGCACAGGAATCGGCAATAGCACTGGTGCACATTCAGTATGAGGATGATTTTAATGGGGAATTTTTTTTCTGGATTTGGAAAGGTTTTAGAGCACTTTTTTTGTTGGCATCTTATTGGATATGAAAGCGCACGCTCACATCTACCCCACGAAATGTGGTAGCATGGAGCACTTTTGGATCGCTCCAAATCCACCAAGAGAATTTCACATACGACAGTACAAGGGTTGAGAGGCCACAGCGCAGGTTTTCTTAATGATAGTCGCGGAACATCTGTGATAAGAAATGCAAGGTAAGTTTATGATCGCGCATTTAGGATCTTAATCTGTGACAAATAGAACCACTGCGTGCGTTCCTCGAAAGGATTGTGCTTTACCTTTATAAAAAATCAAAAACAGTTGCTTTTGCTTACTTATACGGGAACATTTTTTTTTGTATAAACATTTGTTTGATTAATTTATATACAAATTTAAAGATTCTTTACATTGTGCTTGGTCCCAAGTCAGCGATCACTCAATTGGTTTAATTATTTTCATAAGAAATCTAATATATTTCATTTATTTCAAACTCAAAAGGTAGGGGCATCCCGGGTGAAAAATTTGTCCCAAATAGCTTGCGAGCCCCTGAAGTATGCATTATGTGACTATGAAAAGAAACCGTCTTCAAAGAAATCAACCGAGTGTTGCTTTGTCGATGTCAAATTTTTTTAGAGGCTGGCGACGCAGTTGAAAGTAAAAAGTGCTTCTGTTTAAACAAATAAAAATCTGTCCACACAGATCCATGAGATGGTGCCTGGAATTCGGCTTTAGCTAAACTTGCCGAACGTCATTTCTCTTCAACCTTTTAATTTATTTACAATATCTTTGTGGAAAAACAGGTTTCAAACTTTACTTTAAGGGTCTGTCACTTATCCCTCATATTGTGAATATGCCAAAGGACATGTGCTACGCCAGCGTTCTGCGAGACTGTACCAGTCCAGAAGTAGTACCTGGAACATGGAGGTATCTGTCTTTGAAGGTTTCACGGAACATTCAAGCAAAGTGCAAAGTTTGAGGCTTATTTACACAATTTAAGTTTAGCATGGGCAACCATATCAGCCGGATGACATGCTTCCTGGCAGTATTCCAAGTATGAAATCTGCCGATTCAGATGTAGAATATCTGTTAGTTAAAGTCTAAAACCCTCGAGGGGTACCCAGAGTATAGAACAAAACAAAACGGACGTACTGCCCTCCGAGAGTGGCTCTTACCATAACCACCTTCCCGTGTTCGCGGATCTGGATGGGCTCCCTGCTCTTGCGGTCAGTGAGCAAGTCGTAGACACTTTCGTTGTAGATCTCAAGGAAGGACACTTCAACGGACCAATTGCAGGCCTCCGTGTCCAAGATGCTTTCAAACAGATCGTTTAAAGCCCTCGGAATTATGCCAGGGCTCGCTCCGTTCCCTCCGCTTGCCCTGTAGTCGGTTCCCATCGTGTAGGTCTTTCCGGAACCGGTCTGGCCGTACATGAGGACGGAGCAGTTATAGCCTGGAGAGAACCAGAAATTATTCCAACCCCAATATAGTGTACTATGTATACTTTTTCACCTTACGACGGAGCACAGCAAATGCTACGAACTGTCGAAGCCAATCCAGCGTCGTGAACGGTTCACGTGACTGCGCTTTCACGAGTCGCTGCGCCCCTCGCGTAGGTCACGTGACAACGACACGGCATGAGACTGGCTTTGAGGGCTCGTAGCTGTGGGCAAAGGTGAGGTGAAACGAAGTATGATACAGGTGTTCTTAAACTTCTCGATTTCTAGGAGCCTTTATTTTGTCATGCCTGATAGCTGAGGAACCCCTCGTAGTCTCAGCACTAAAGTAGTGCAGATCTTGAGAACAACAATGCACATACTAGATAGTGTTTGGCTCATAGTTATGCACAAACAGGTGGCTAAGATACACCAAAAAGGTGCTTAAACTGAAAGAATACCTAATTACTTAGGGTCAAGAATAGTCTATGAAATTTCGGGGTTCCAGGAACCCCTGACGACAGCCTGGGGGAACCTACAGTAATTGAGAGCCCATGAACGTGCATATAGACAGCACGGGATTCACTGATTAACTGGCTGGAGAGCTCCTCTGACTGGCAGAGCTTAATGGAAGCCGGGAAAAGTGGTCCCAGTCATAAAACAATGCCTACCTCATTAATATGCGATTCCCAACGTCCATTAGGTAGAAGGTTAGGTTAGAGAATAACTTAGAGGATAACTTAATTTTACACATGCATTCCTGATTTCTCGTTGCATAGGGACAACATGTTGGTGCATGATTAGGGTGAGCACACTCCTCAAAGCAGAAAACAGGACATCAAGGGAAAGGGGAGAAGAAGGGGGCCCCCCTTCCTTGCAAGGCAAGAAAGAAGGAAAATGCTCCGATACTATTCTGTCCATCGATAAATCGCTAAAACGCAAACTTTTCTGGGGCCTTTCATTGAGCAGCCGAGCACACAAGCACCTTTCTTACCCCCTTTGCAAAACCTAAGCATGCAAAATGTAGCAATATAAAAAAGGGCCCAGTGCACAGATCCATGTGAACAAAACTTGTTGGCAAGTGGAGCCACAGAAAACGCTAAATATCATACTCTACTGGAGATAACGTTTTTATACTAGCATGTTCATGCTTATACACTAACACAGACAAACATTTTGTTTTCTTTCACTCGCTTGGTACTGAATTAGCAAGCAAGTTCCCAAGAAAATGGGGCATTTTGTTTTATTCAGACAAAATGATGGGACTGCACGTAGAAACGAGGGTATAAAATTTAAAACGGGACTGTCCCGGCCAAGCGGGAACGTCTCATGACTCTATGCATGATCGAAGCAGGATTTGAAGTTTGCCTTTGAACCCTGCAATCGTTTGAAAGAAAAAAGCTTTTGTGCAAAACCTAAATATGTGCAGTTGTCAAAACATGCTTTAAAGAAACTATTTGGTTGTAACCTATACCCCAGTGCACAACATGCTCTACAAAAATCTGTGAGCAAACTGCAGACTTCCTAAGTAGCTTCTACATAGTAGTTCTCAAGCAGTTTTTCACGAGACACTGCTATGGTCTGCGAAGTGGTTTACTAATATAGATTTTCAAAGCAGACATTTGATTGTTTTCTGGCTCTAGGTAGTCTATCAGAGCTGACCACTGGTAACATTTTATGCTCTTAAGAACACTGATGGTCAATTTATTGATAGCTATGCATCCTTAGCATATAGACAGGAATTTTCTTACCGGCAGTGACCTTACTGACGACATCAGCGACACACTTGTCATAAATCTCCTCCTGGGTGGTGGCTGTGTCGAACGCATAATCATATGTAAATCCATAGTCGTCAACAACCACCACCTGGCCTGCTTCTGGGGTGACCCGAATGATCCCGTCCAAATTGCGGTCTCGCTCCTCTTCCGGAAAGGGCGGCCGCACTCTCACTGCAACCTTCACCGTGCCTTCGGCCATGGCACTGCAGGGATAAGATGATATCAAGGTATTCCCTTCAAATAAAAGCTTTAGCAACTTCATCACTTTTTTAGGTACTCATAACTCTTAGGATACCTAATTTTTGGGTTTTATGTTAAAAAAAAAAAAAAAAAATCAGGTGCTTTGTTTTAAGTTGGTAAACACACTGATGCAATTGACCTGAGTCATTTTATAGCACCTTCTGAAGCAGCCAAATATCCATTATGGAGCAGCAAAAAGTACTTTTGGGGCACAAGCACACACATTTTTATACATACCAGTGTGAATATTATATGTTAAATTAAGATTTGTGTAACGAAAAACATGCCATGCTTTGCCTTCCTACTTCTGCGCAACAGCAGACCTGTTTGATTTCCTCAGAGACAGAACTAGCTGTTTAGTTGCACATAAAAGCACTAGACATGGCAACAAGATACTGACTAATGGAGGACAGTATGGACTGCCGTGAATGGCCATTATAGGTATGAAATAAAATGTAAACCAAAAAGCCGATTCCACTAAAATAATGTTAGAGCAATCTCGAGCACACGAATTGATGTTTCACACAAATTCTAAAGATTGCAATAAAAAATAAATTCTTAATTCACATTAAAAAAAAAACTTTTTTGTCATTAAACTATAAAAGTCAATGACATTTGGTATGTAGTACCTCATAATAACAAAGATTGGCATGTGAATGATATGTATGCCTTCTCAAAACAATCCAGACAGTCATTAAGGTTATTCCCAAGCTACCTTCTATTGATTCACCTCACTCGGTTATAATTTATTCAATTTATTGGACCTCAAACAGGTAAAACATATATAATGATATGTTTTCTGTATGTAAACAATGGAGTACAAATAAAAATAAACCTATAGAGCAGTTCATATACATCTCCTTGCGAGCACCCTAGCTAAGTCCAGAATTTCAATGAGGTATCTCCAGAATACTGCAGTCTATCATAAGTAATAGCCGCAGTTTAATTAAAAAATGTTTACTACAACTAAGAGCTGTTACATTATCACTCAAGAAGTTCCTTTTTTTTTGGTATACCCGACATTTGCGCGTTTAACATCCCGCTCTGGGGAAATGGCTTCCCATTAGCACTCGAATGCATTGCGGCGAAGCAAGATAAACAAAATTTTGATGAATACTTCACGGTTGCCGCTTCACTGCATTACACAAGAGCACTATAAGAAGCGCACTCAACAAGGCTACTTACTTACACGCCAGAGCAGACTAGGTACATAGGAGATATAGCGCAAATTCTGAGTACTGTCAGTCCTCGACACTGAGAGAGAGATCAAATAGGATAGTATGTTATTTGTGGCTAAAATCCAACGAGGTAGAGGGGCTTTAAGAGCGATAAACTGGTATCCCGTTCATCAGGTAAAAGTTACCCCCACTTGGCTGCTGCCATGTTGTACAATTTGGCCACTAGACACATGATTGTACCAAGTCCTGAAGCTTTAATGCAAAACTGAGCCATATTTGTATTGCAATCGCTGTAAAAAGCATGATAAATTATTTTTCCGATACTGTTAGCCCCAGAGATCAGTGTCTAGCTCCGATAAAAACCCAAAATAAAGCACCACAGCTGATGGCATCTAGTAGAGGCATTGCAAAGCTGCCCGAATTCTTGTTGTAAAAGCACATTCTTTGAGCTACCTCAACTAATTATATTTTTTGACTCCCCGGCCTTTACCCTTTTTTGTATGCTATTTAGTATCGTGAAATTCATAATAGTTATTGTGAAATCGGCAAATGAAAATGATGCAAAAACCAACATTTAAATATACCCGCACTTTTCAGTGCCGTGACGTCAGTGGTGGGCAGGCTTGCCAATCGAGCAAGCAGTCTAAAGAACAGAATATGCCAATCATTTGTTCCGTGTTGGAGCACGAGTACTGGAGCGAGCTTCCAAAGCATTTATTTGACACCATGAAACTGCTTCAAACCAGATGGGAACCGTGACTACAGTCCAAGGAGTGAACCCCTGCCTTCCACTGACGTCACTTTTTCGTTGTTGCCAGTAGAGACTTTCAGTTTGAAAAGCACTGTGAGGACCAAAAAACTGTGAATTCGATAACTTCGCGAAAAACATATATTTTGACCTAATATTTAGGATTCTATTTTAACGGTGTTTGTTGGCGAGCTTAGCAAAATTTCAAGAAAATCTGAAACCATGGATAAATCGCTGGAGTACCCTTTTAAAACGAATGAAACATAACTTATCTTGTCAGTACAGTTATTAAAAATCAATAAGCAATTATCTGTGCGCGGTACCTCGTTATAATCTATACGTAAAACTATAAGTTCACGTGTCTAGTGGTCAAAAATGTGCAACATGGCTGCGCCCCATTGGGGTCACTTTCAGCCGCCAGTTTAACACCCTAAGGCCCTCTACCTTGTTGCTAAAATCGAAAGTTCTGAAAATTCATACAATCTTAACATACCGATCAGGACATGTAACGGGGCCCAAGTCATTATATTTTCCGTATAAGTAAAGTGAAACCAAGCTTTGGCGCAATGTTGGCAGAAGTTCCTCGCAACTGAACTTAACCTCGTGGGACCCGAGAAAAATCCGGCATAGGAATTAAAGATTAAATAACATTAACTGCTTCATTAGGGGTTAGTTTGAGCATTTGTGATTTTTTTTTTGCACTATTAGTATGCAGGTTCAGTAAAAATTGATGTCCACCCACATGGACAGTGGGACTTTACACTTCAGTCAGGAAAATGAACACAAACTTTATTCAACATTTTGCGAGTTAACGTTTTCAGGTTAGGCTTTGGGAGGACAAATAACAAAACTGGAGCGATACCGGCAAAGAAATGACTCATTTCTTGGTATGGAAATCAAAGAAGCAGTGCCGGTCAGTTTCAATGCAAAGGTAGATGTCACAGGACGTGCAACGGTGCCGAGTCTTCTTTGAGCAGCCAGGGTTCCTGCACCGTGCAGCGTTCTTGATGCTTTCTTTCTTTGGCATGTGAAGTGCCTGTGACGTCCGGACTGGCAAGCTTGGCAGCGGCTTGACTCTCTTGCGTGGAACTTCAACCGTGTCTTCATCGCTGGAGTTTGAATCCTCTTCAAGTATGGTACTGAGAAGTGACTCAGCCACACTGATTTTGAATTCGATGTACTGCATGGCAGGTTGCTTGAGATACTTCTTGTTTGCACGGTACTCAATCCATGCATTCACGCAGGCCAGGTCAACGAGGTGAATCATCGTCCTGAGGGTCCATCTTGAGGTACGGCGACGTTGGCTGTAAAACGACATCATCCTGTCGCAGAGGTCAACGCCTCCCATTTTTTCGTTGTACTTTTGGACCACCATTGGACGAGGGACTGCGACCTTTCTGTGCTCCTGCTTACTGTATCGCTGGCATGTACCAACGGGTTCAACACCAAATGCTGTGGATGCAGGTGTGACTGCCTTTTTGTCATACCACTTGGTTATGGAGAGACTGCCATCGTGTTTCAGAACAGCATCTGATTTCCCACGAGATTCTTTTGCTAATTCCTTGTCTGAAGCCAGCTCTGCTGTTTTCGGGATCCGATTCTTCATTATCGTTCCAGTTGCGAATATCTTCTTCCTAAGCAGTGTTTCGAGAAGTGGTACAGACGTGAACCACCGATCAAAATAAAGTGTGGAATCCTGTGGGATGGTTTGGCACAGATGTACGACGGAGTTTCCTGACACCCCAAGTCCATAGTCTGGAAAAGTAGATTTTCCTTGGTACAGATGAAAATCGTAAACCAATCCATCCTGTCCCGCAAGGACGAAATTCTTGAGGCCTATGGGGTGCGGCTTGTTTGGAACATACTGCTTGAGTGATGTTCTTCCCGTAAAAGGGACCATCTGCTCATCGATCGAGAAACAGTTCGGCCGCAGCAGAGAGAGGCATCCATCCCGAATCATGGTCACAAATGGCTTCACTTTCTACAGCCTGTCCCCCTTCTTTACTGCATCAGGCACCTCGATCTCTGTTGTGCACGTGAGGTTAGAACGGATCCGGAAAAACCTGTCTCGGGCCATGGCGTTGATTATCAACTGCACTCCAAGTCCAGCCTTCCAGTAGTAACGAAGACGGGGGTACCCAGTTGTACTCATCAACATAGATATTCCAAAAAAATGTTGAACCTCTTGCCTTGTTACTTTTGCGATCGTCCCATTTCGCTCCAGGATCCTAATGTTAGTCTTTTCAGCCAGTGTCTCATACATGCTGGAAGCGAAGTACTGCCGAAAGTAGTCGCCAGGTGTGAACGTTCCCTTGCTTGGATCATGTCGGCACCCAGTCTCCAAAACTTGTGCGCCAGAGTTTGATGGGGGGCTGGCAGAGGGTTTCCAAACTTTCCTGGCAGGCGGCCGCGATTCATCTTCATCACTTGATTCGTCGGAAGACGAAGAATCTTCTCTAACTTCATTTTCTGCTGCCACAAAATCAATGTCATCGTCAGAGTCGTCAACGTCAGAACTTGTGGCACCGCACACACTGTCTAAAATGGCATCAGCCTGACTTGTTGTTAGTCCTGAAAAATATAACAGAGTCAAACAAACCAATTGCTTTCAATTCGCGAGTGTTTGACATTGATAGCGAGCAAAATATGGTCATCGCGAAAATCAAGTCACAAGTTTTGGGTCCCAGCGTCCACCCACGCGGACACACATTTGGAAAGCGACTACTGCAACCCATGCTAATACTGTTGTCAATATTAAGCATTATTAACCATCTCTGAACTTTCAAGAGCACTAGAAATATAAATTTACAAAGATTCTGTTTATGTAAATCATGTAAACTGATTACATACCTTGGCGTCGGCCGTAGAACGTGCGAGTGCTGCAGGTCGCCATTTGCAACTACGAGCAGCGAGTTGTTTTCAGTGCTGTTTGCTCCACACTCCACCAGATGGCAGCACAGAATATGTCCATCACGATGGACTGGAGTTCTTTCCTATGTGCGGCGCCGTTTTTTTTCAACAATTAAAAACCCAATGTCCACACTGGTGGACGCAGGGTCTCAGGAGGCTAATGTAGCAAGATGTAGCAGAGTAAACCCTTTGGAGAAGTCTGGCAGAAATGGCACAGCGATCGCATCACTGCAAGCAGGGAGAAATCGGGGTTTTTCAAAAGCTTATACTGGAATTCTGATTTTTCGGGTTACATATTTAGAAAGATACAAGTACAATTAACAGTAAAGAGAATGGATAGGTTTTAATATATAGAACTTGTTTTTTCTTACACATTCAAGTAACTGAAGTGCACAAGATAGGATTGGAACAGAGTATAAGAGCTCACTTGGACTTTTCGATTTTCTATGATCCTTGATACTTTTTTACGCCAAGAGCATCTCTATCTCCATCCCAGTCCTCTTCGGTTTTAGAAATGTCTGGATCGAGATTATGTTCTCTCAACAGGACAGTTTACGTGTGCATTTGCCAATGTATGGTAACATCACTTCAGTTAGACAGGAAGAGAATATCTGCCGTTTCTTTCAAACCAAAGCACTGAGAGTAGTTTATCATCCTTCTCTTTTTCTTGCAATGGTTGAAATGGAAAGCAAAGGGCAAAGAATACTCCACAATATGCATATATTTAAAGGCGACATTTTGGGGCACTCCAGTTCAGTGAAGCCAACCGAATCTAGGCTTGTTTCCGAAGTCTGAAGCTAGTGCATGCGTTCCTACCAACCCTTTGTTCCCTACAAGATATTTTCAGAGCAGAGTAATTCAGAAAATGGTGGAACTTAATTTATGAATTCGGAGAAAAATCGGGTTTAACCTTGTTTTCAAGAAACATGCTCGAGGTGTAAATATTGGGTTTTATCGGAAAACGAAGGACCCTACTCATAACCAATATAGTCAGGTTGGTTGTACTACAGCATGTAGATTAACGCTTCTAAGGTAGTTTAGATGGCCCGCAAAAATCAGTTTCTCAAAGCATCTTGCTGCAATTTACTACAGAGGTGCAAGCAGGTGGTGGAAGTTTACAGTGAAAACATCAAAACATAAACTTACCTCATTATTAAAGAAAAAAAAAAATCCAGCTCTGGGCAGTTTACATTGCAAAAAGAAATGCTGCCAACAAATGGCGCAATAAGAGAGTGCCGGCCGATTGGGGTTGATAGCAGACAATCTTGCAAAAAAAAACACGAATCGGACAGCGCTCCCTCGATGCAGTGTATGCCCATCTGTCGATAGCATTTCTCTCTACGCGTGCGTCGTCTGCAAAGTGGCAGCACAAACTACCCACAACAAGTCGTTTTTTTTGTTTGTTTGTTTTTTTATTGAGGAGAGTTTATGATTTTATTTTTCCCCCGTAAACTTCCACCGCCTGCTTGCGCCCCTGTAAGTAAAGTGCAACATGATACGCGAGAAAACCAATTTTTTGCAGGCTGTCTAAAGTGCCTTAGAGGCGTTCGTTTACATGTTGTATACTTCACTCCACATGACAATGGACTGCACCAGAGTCAGTCCAGTGGGGTCGAAGTGTCATAAGACCTTCCGGAGGGTCAAAGCGATGTGCAGAACGTAGGGTCACATAACATGCTCGCAGTAAGGTTTGTAAAGTACCTAGGCACAAGTAACTGGAAATCGGTATCTGGTACTTTTGTTGCACATGAGGTACAGACTGGGTTACTGACCGTCCCGGATTTGGCGGGACCACCCCGACTTTTCATTTAGCGTCCCGAGTTCTGCATCCTTCTTGCCGGGACAGCAATATGTCCCGGATTAGGTCAAGACCGTTCAGTTAAAAACTTTGCGACCCAATGCACGCTTAACACTGTGTGTCATGCCGCAAAGCATGAATCGCACGAAGCAATGCTGCGGTGGCTAGCAGTGGCTGTGAGAGGCTTTAGCCACTTTAGCATGCAAGCCATGGGAAGCCGGAAATCGGGGCGACACCGTTGCCGGGCAGCGCCTGTTATCATCATTGTTTGTATAAACCCCTTTTGTGGCTCCCTTTTCCTTTCTCGAGCTGCCCCCCCTCCCCACTTCCTTGGTAACCCTAGGTACAGACCTAGGTACTTTCAACTTTCATTTCTCGGTATCTGTATCTTAGGTACATTTTCCAGTAACTTGTCACTACGTAAAGTTACTTTTTGCAGGTACTTTTCTATTCGCTTTGCCAAAATGGTAGAAACTTAGAAACTATAAACCTTGAAGTATTAACACACTACCATGCGCCATGATTAACATTGAGTTGGGTACGACCTGGGAGGCACTGGCATGATCAAACAATGTTCTAGTGACCGAAGCCCTGCCCATAACGTTTCATTGAACGACACTTTAGCGAAAGGCGGTGTTCATTTGAGCAAACGGTGGATTAGCGATGCCGTTCTAGCGACACCAATTTATTGAATCGCTTCGAAACTCCGTTTAGGAAAAACAGCCGCCTGCTTCCTTCATCCCCCACTGAAAAATTGGGTTGTGTGTGTGTTTATACAGCCTAGAACTTGGTCTGCCTCACAGGGGCGACGAGTCTCCCAGCTGTAGATGAGCAATTTAGCCAGTGCGGCACAACCGCTAGCCTGGGGTCTTTAACGTGCATCACGCAGTAGTGGTACACGACCGCACGCCGGTACGATGCTCATCCAGATCGAAACGGGCAGGGGTGGGGCTCGAACCCAGGATCCCTGGGTTTTGCAGCGCGAGCTTTCGCTCCACGTGCTCCGAGCTGGTGTGCGCTAGATCATCCCCCACTGAAATCGACTTCATTGCGTGTTTGAAGCTCCTCTGACAGCTATAAAAGGGAGGGGATAACTTGAAAGATGTACACAGTTTCTGTTGGCAGTGTCTTACCCTGGTGGTGGCTCTTGTCTGCCATAAATACAATATAAAATATAATTGGAAATAAATTATGATTACAAAGCAATGTAACATCATGTATATAATACAGTTTCCACCCAATAAATCATGCTCAGATTTTGCAGTTATCAAAACTGAAAAGTTTAGAAAGAAAAAAAAAAAGCTTGTTTTTCTTCCCCCTAACGAAAGAAGAAAAAAAGCAAGGAAACTTGAAGCCTTTGACTCGTTGCGAAGGTTAGGTGCATATGCACTCAACCCATGCGTTTCTTCATGTGGCCGATGTCTTCTGGGCCCGTCAACGTCAGCATTGGCTCATGTGAATGCGGTTTTCCTTATTTCTTGTATCGGCACCAATAAAGCACATTTATCGAACTCATTTTTGTTTGTATCCTCAGTATAGAAAGCTCTACTTCCAATATATTCTGAAAACTTTATGGAAAATAAAGAAAGTATCTTTGAAGTAACTGTACCTGTACTTAGGTGCATCTTTAAGTAAGTACCTAGGTACCTTTTCGTATGAGTAACTGAAACTGTATCTTAGGTACATTTTTGAAGTAATTTTTACAACCCTGCTTGCAGCGCTGGATTGGCCAGGATGGCTCATGGCGTCCGGTGTAGTTCATCATAAAGGGGAAATTAAATAGTTTAATGCTGTCTAAAATGAAGAGTACAATAGCGTAAGATTGGAACTTTTGAAGATATCCTGCCAGCACCATTAAATATTTTACAACAAAAATTATCGCTAAAAGAACTTTTTCTTTATCATAAAAAAGTCTTTGGTTGTTTGGAATCCTGGGGACTGTAATGGCCTGCATTTAGACATTGTCCTTCATCTAGACAGCGGTACCGCTTTGTGATAGTCATCAAGGTTAGCCCAGATCTCTAGCTTCATCGTACGGATGGGGTTCTGATGGAGGAATCTCCAGACGATGCTTAGAACAAACATCCAACATTTTGCCAAGAGGCGTGGATGCTTCAGAACTCGATATCCTATCAGTGTTTGCTACATTCGTAAAAAGGTCACTCCAGCGATCGTCCCATTTATGATCTGGAGCAGTGGTGTAGACTCCACTGGGGGGAGGGGGAGCAGGCTGAGAAGTTCTCTGGTGGTGGGGGGGGGGGAGGTTGCGCAATTTTTTTTTACACTGGCAAGTATCAGTACTTTATTTTAGGGGGTACATTTTACAGCGTATGTACATCACCATGTGTCCGTCGCTGTGTGTGTTATTTTGTTTACATGCCGCTACTAGAAGCTCGTTACATGGCACGTAAACAGCGTCTCGATAAGAATCATGGCCCAGGGGGGGCTCTGCCCTCCCTGAATCTCGCCAGGGGGGGCACGAGCCCCGATGCCCCCCTTCCGTAGTCTACGCCTATGATCTCGAGGAACCTGGTATAAATCCCGTGGGACAAACAGATATTTTAGAACAAGCTGAAGCATGGAAACATGTCTAGTTCACACCAGTCACTTTAAGCGACTTGTAGGATATGCAAATGGTGGCCGATCGACTTTGCACTAAAATCTTCATTCTGCGCACCGTCAATAGATGGCGCAATCAAACTATATAATTTTTTTTTGCTTAAAGGGATACTGAACCAAGGAATTTAGTGTCCATAATAAGTGGCGCATGTTCTTTCCACGAGCCAGCAGCCGCCGGTGTGCGCGAGCACATGCAACAAAAATGACAACCCAGAAGACCTCCATTCGCGGTTAAGATGACAGTGAAATGTATGAGCTTCGGGCCAAAGGAGAACAAAGAGAAGTTTTTCATCGACACAGTGGTGTCTGGTGTAAAAGGTAAGCAATTAATTGGTCTAACAAGCACATAGCTTTCACTTGTAGAGATGAAAAGCCTGTATTTATTCCCTTTTGGCCCGAAGCCCATGCATTTCACTGTCCTCTTAAGCGCGAATGGAGGTCTTTGACGTCATTTTCGTTGCGAGTGCTGCACACCGGCGGCTGCTGGCTCGTGGAAAGAACCTGCACCACTTATTATGGACATTAAATTCTTTGGTTCAGTATCCCTTCAAGTTCAGACGCAGCCGACACTACGAGCTGCAGACAGCGTCGAAAACGCACAATCATGGTGTTCCTCATGTTTCTTCAGTACGTGTTCTACCATTGCTGAACCAATCATGAACAGAAAAGGGCCCAGTGACCTGCGCTTTTGACGCTGCTTGATTAGTCCATTAGCTCGTAGCGTCGGCTGCGGGACTCGTTAACCAGAAGGAGAGGTCAGAGGAGCAAGCGGCACTAATAATAATAATAAAAAAATACTATTTGGAGTGTTTATGCCGGATAAGCATTTTGAGAGAAAGAGTAAGACTCTTTCGGGTTCAGTAGCTTCAGCGACTCACTTGGTAGCCGCGCAAGAGATGGAACATAGGGATATCAACAACGCATCACAAGCTGGAGCAGCACTCTGGAGATGCGGTTGGCATCGCGGAATCTACAAACAAGACCCCATCATTACTCGACGTCCGCCAGTAATTCAGGGTTTCATTATACATAGCTTGCATGTGACATACGAGCGATCGGTTCGTTGTGTTAGCTCCACATCACAGAAGCTGTAGTTCGAAGAAACCAGTTAGTAGCAATAACCGTCAGTACCCAGCAATGGTGACACTTGCAAGCTATGTGGCCGCCGCTGACATATAGCAGTCACTTGTTTGTACAAAACCAACAGATGGCTTGACTCTACAAACCGTATTATGAAGCCTAGGACGACAATCGCCTCCATACACCGCGACTTATTAGTGACGGATGGAAATTGAATCAACTTCTCACGTTCTTGTGCAGGTGAATCACGAGAGCTCAAGACCTGAGCTCAGCCTCAACTCTTTTGCAACTCTTGAACACGTTCTTCTTGCGATGTTTAAGAAAGTAGGAACAAACTGAAGCAACTCAAGCGCTTGAACTGCTCAAACCGTTCAAAAGTTCGAATTCCGCCGGCCGGCCGGCCCGCCAGCCGCGCCAGCCAATCGGCCAATCAGCAGGATCTTGATAATAACTGGCTTGATTAAATTTTGAAGTTATAAAACAATATTTTTGTACATTAAAAAGCATTGAAACAAAAATTCATCTGAAAAGTTCAACGAAATAGAAAAATTAACATACGTTTGAAAAAATGTTTTGTCCGTTTCGTTTTTTTTGTCAGAATACCAAGTGGCATCACAATCATCATGATGTCGCTTCGATGGTTGCAGCTTGCAGCATTGCAAGGAATGTGTGCGTGCGGTGTGTGCAGTTTCGGTCGTGAAGTGAGTATCACCAGCAGATAAAAAGGACAAAACTGCAATAACCGTTGTTCTGTCGCGATGGGACGTAAAGGAAACTTCGATGAAAAACCTAAACGAGTCAAGAGTCGAAAGTCGAAATTCCAGAAGCCGCCGGAACTGCCGAAATCCCTCAAAGGTAATCCGTGTGTTTTGGCGACTACGCGCACGTGCTCGTCGATCGGAGTCACTCTAGTTGAAAATCTCAGAAATCTAACGTAGCCCGCTTGCATCAACTGGCTCATAAAATTTTCAATATATTCTAGCGGACCTCCCACCCTCGAGAAGGGCTCTAAAAAGGTAAGACTTGGGTAGCTTCTTTTCTGGACGAAGCATTGCTAACCGTGTTTTCAATCGTGCAGACTCAAGAAAAGCCAGAATCTTCGGAAGAATGATTCCAAACGTAGCAACGAGCACAAGATGGGCGCGTCGGACGGTGCGTGACTTCCATCTTCTCCTTGATTGATTAAATTGTGGCCTACTGCGTTTGGTGACAGCTCTCCCACTCATGTCTCGTATTGCACGTTGTAAAGGTTTAAATACAAATCTCGTGCTGTTTGCCGCATCAGATTCCTGCAAAATGTCGAGAATATCACATGAGGTCTGACTGCCGGGGGCCAAGAAGAACTCGATTCTTTCGCACTGTTAAACAACGAGCTTAATACAGAAGTTGCTTCATTTGATGAGACACTAGGGTCTGACTCTACGATGGTTTTATTTGATTTTCTCTGGCAGACCCAGCTTTGTTCCTGCCAGTTAGTGGTGCTGATACTAATTACAACATGATTCACTATTCACTCGGGAGTACTTTACTGCAGGGTGTCACAAAATAAAATTTACACGGTCTTTTTTACCGCAAAAATCAACTAGGCATCGTCGAACGCTCATTCTCCGCCCAAAGGTAGAGCTAGAGGTCACAACCAGATGCCAAAGTTTCAGCCTGATCCGATTACTTAATCAAAAGTTATAAGTGATTTTCTGAAAATTTCAATGGGAAAATGGAGCCCATTTTTGCCCATTTTCGGTTTCTGGTGCCATAGAGCCCCATGTGTTAGAAAACTCCGTTGGCGGCCATTTTCCCATTGAAATTTTCAGAAAATCACTAATAACTTTTGATTAAGTTATCGGATCGGGCTGAAACTTTGGCATCTTGTTGTGACCTCTAGCTCTACCTTTGGGCGGAGAATGAGCTTTCGATGATGCCTAGTTGATTTTTGCAGTAAAAAAGACTGTAAATTTTCTTTTGTGACACCCTGTATACACCGTTCCAAGTTGGGCTTCCTTGCCGGCGCCATTTTAACGAGTGTAGCGCCGCCTACCCTCATTCGGGCATTTGGGAGAATCTGAACCCACCTGAATCACCGACTGCCATTACTGGACTGTTACTCTGCTCACCGAGTCACACCGTTTGCAGCTGCTTCTGCAGCACGGCTGCCGTATTCGGCGTCCTTGGCTCATCGTCTTCGTCCACGGAGGAAAGCACTATCCTAATTTGTATGTCAGACATGGAGAAAAGTGCATCCTGTCTTCCTGGCATCTTTTTGTGGGTAATTTTTTGCGCTGTTCTGGGGCAGTTGTCACTCCCAAACCGAACTCGGCGTTTCGATCGCTAGCGAAATTGGGGATTGCTAGTGAAATTGAGGATCGCTAGTGAAATTGCGGATTGAACGAAGCCAGGATGGCACGAATTACGACCTGTGAATTTGCGCTAAACTCGAGTTGTCGCAGCTTGGGGGCGCCGGGAACATTTGAACTAATTGCGCGGTTAGCGGCTCAGACCTGCGCTGCCACGTCTGCTTTAATTGAAATAGTAGAAACCTCAAATTTAAATATGAATCGATATATAAAACCGACAAATAGAAAGTGCGACGGATCCGTTTTTTGTTTTTTTTATTTGGAATCCACTGTCACAATATTGGCACATTGATGCGCATCTCTGTAAACGCCTCGCGAGAGACTTATTTGCGCGCAAACTGTGTGTTGCGGCGTGTACTATTATATCAGTAGACCAGGAGTCACGCAGCTGTTTTCTTTTGTCAATGTCTAAGCCGCCCTCCGCTTACCTTTCGGTCGTACCCCAGGCGAAGGAACGGCACGGGGTTCTCCGCAGCTCGCCAGCCGTCCAATTAATGGTCGGAGCACACACGACTGCTCTTCGATGGCAAAAAGTCTTTCCTGTTTAAATTCGCCAGCCACCGGCGTCGTAGGTCCGGAGCAGTGGGGAACCGGTGCAGCATATACATGCCGCACCCATATTCATCCTGATTGACAGCGTGGGTCTCGCACACTGAACTGGCGTTTATTTTACGTTTTTTTTTTTGTTATTTGTACAACCAATTACAGCGCAGTGCTGCCCGGTCGATTCTTTTCTTGCATAGGCCATGTCACATGCGAATACACGCTATAATGTCAAAGCGGCGCCTAACATTGTCAAAACAACTTAACCTCCGTACACTGCGCACATGCTTTCTAACAGTCCACTTCGTGAAGCAGACGAGCTTTCAAGGGAAAGGGTAAGCAGAGCGTTGGCGCACCGCTCTGGTTCGAGAGTGTTTTTCTCTTTCTGCATCGACCTACTTGGAACGGTGTATAGGTGGTATTCACTAAGCCTGCAGGTTCGATTTTGCCTGGGAGCGCCACCGTCGATCCGCCATCTTCGAGGTCGCAATTTGGCTGGCTTGGGTATGCGATCGTACGTTGGTAGTGTGTGCTAATTTCATATAGTTGAAGGAGCTTCGTTGAACAAAAGAGAGAAAAAGGTTTATCTCGGGGGTGGGCCGTTTTAGTTTTCTCGTTGCCGCCAAAGGCTGAACCGCATGTAAGCAATTTAGCGAGTGATGGGACGAGACGAGCTACAGCGATCAGACAAGCAGCGACGACGACCTGCTTCGCTGTCGCTCGGTCACTCGCGCGAAGAGGCAAACTGCATGAAAACGATGGGAGCAAGCGACCAAGGCGATTAGCGACGTTTTCTAGAAATCCAAAAACCGGCGACACGACAGCGACGCTCGTCGCCGGCACTCTCTAAATCGCTTACATGCGGTTTGCCCTTCACTGTTACTCATCACGTAGCTCGGTTTTGGGATTTCTAGAAAAGTTAGCGCTCATCGCCTTGGTCGTGTGCTCCCGTCGCTTTCATTCGGTTTGCCTCCTCGCGCGAGTGACCGAGTGGCAACAAAGCGGCAGCGAAGTGGGTCGCCGTCGTTTGTCTCGCCAAATCGCTTACATGCGGTTTTTAAAACGCTTGGGCTAATGAAAAATGCGCCGCATTTTTCATACGCTACGCACTCTTTTAGTTGCACGGTATGTTTCTGCACAGGAACAAATACCGAAGGCACGACGTATGTACGACACAGAGGCGATGGAGCAACAAGGTTACACGGCCGTAGTGCAGAAAATCTGCTAGAGGAAAACAATACAGAAACTAGCAAAACAAAACAAAGAGTAATCACACCGTGCTACAAAAAGCATCAAAGTAGAAAAATCAGTTCTTGCAAGAGCTACCGCCGTGGGCACGGCGCGCGACACGGAGCGCTTCATGGAGCCGAGGGAGCAACGCGGCCGTGTTGAACGAGTTTGATAGCGACAAAATCGAACTAAAACACAAAAATTACTCCTATGGCGCTTCAAAAGCACCAAAGTATAAGAATAACCCTAGTTTCGGTCAAAAAGACCCTTTAAAGTTGTAAAATGCTGCTAAACCACGCTCAAAAGGTCCGGCCAGACGACACCCGCGATAGAAAAAGACCTCGAAGATGGTGACCGTGGTGGGCGATGCAAGCAAGGCGACACAAGTGTCGTCTGCAACGCAGTCATAGGCACGTTTATGGTGTCTATGATATCTGACGACATCTGCACAACCTTGGCATCAGTCCGCACACATAGTGTGAATGAAGTTCTGGGAGACAGTAATCACAAACAGCAAGACCACGGCAACCGTTGTGAAGCAAGAAATGGCTGGACGATCCGACGGCTCCCTAAGCGGGGAAGCGCGCCGCTGTGCGCTGAGAGGAGATGCTGCTCAAGTCGCCTATTACGCCTGCCCGGAGAAGTGAAAACAAACAAAACGTAGCAATGTTTAGATTTGTGTTGGCCATACCAACACCATACCCTTGACTGCCCTGTTGATTGTACCTCAGTTTGCCCATTATTGTCAGCCGATTTTGACAATTTTGCACATTCCTGTTTGTTGGACCGTTTAAAAACATTTAGATGGAGCTAGGTCGTAATATTTTGATGTGCAGTCTTTCTGGGGGATACTGAAGAGTACTGCATTGTCTTTTAAAAACAAAAATGAAGCAGAGTTGCCTTTAACTTGGCAAAGAATGAATGCTACGGCCCCCTCCAGCCAATGAGAGCAACAGGGGCAAAGTGTGTGACAGCCCTTATCAAAGGTACAGGGGTGAATGTCTCTCTTCCTGATTTCCATCGACAAAAGCAAGATGAATGTAACGCAAGCAGTTGGACGAAGGAGGAACTTCCTTCTTACTTGGACCCTCTTTTGCGAGTTGCGAAAAACCGCGTTGCGTTATACGCTGTTTCCAAACAAGCCCGCCTTTGCCAGGTGTGAGCAGCACTGCGCGTGCTCTAAAACCAGATTAGCGTGCGATGAAGCATCTGTGCACCGTTTCCAAACAAGCCCGCCTTTGCCAGGTGTGAGCAGCTCTGCGCTTGCGCAAAAACCAGATTAGCGTGCGATGAAGCGTCTCAAGGGGACAGAAGCCAAACGGTGCTTCTGTCCCCTTCAGAGGTCAGTCTGTCACTCGAAATTCCTACAAAAGCTGATTTCCTCTTTCTCGCACACACGGTTTCGACAGCACTGCATGCAACTAGCGAGATATAGTTGCACGTCTCCCTCCAACACGCCGATTGGTTCACTGGGATTGTGGCGTTTGCCATTTGCCAAGTTATGGTGAGACCGAGTGTGGCAGCATGTTTTAACGGGTCGGAGCTGTATTAACTGCTATGAAAAGCCTCGTACATTGAACGACTGCCAAGTGCTTGGGTTGTGTTGAGGGGGCATAGTTCCCTCGTCGACTGCGCCATTGACCAATTTTAAAGGCCGACGTACAACCTCGGTTTTCTGCAGGGAAAATGATCCTCTTAGCGCTCCCCTCCCCTAAGCTCAAGTAGGATATGGGAAAGGGGGAGGCGGGCAAAAGTGGAAAGCGCGAAGTGTACGTCGGCTTTTAAGGAGACTGAAAATCTTGACGTGTGACCTTTTGTGGAATCCTTTAGGCAACTGGTGCAAAAGTGGTGGCACTTTGTAGTCGAAGCAGAAAGCCGCGATGCTAGGTTTGCTCAGCTTTTCGAAACATCGGCTGCCCTTGCTGGTCGACACATGGTGCTGCAAACATTAGGCATGTGTGAATACTAAATTTTGACTTTGAAGCAAATAGTGCTTTTGGCTGATTATTTTCGACTTGAATATCGATTAATTTCTTTAAGTCTTTCACTACTGCATCATGCTAAATGGAAACACAGCTGAACTCGGGAAGGTTCTTCCCAAATTTCCACTTGCCCATTTTTAAGCTAAGTTAATTTTAATGTAGCTATATTTATCGGCTCTGGTCTCAAAAAGTCCAGTGCCCACGTTGGGATGGCAAGTGAATGACATATTTGACATTACATTAACCTTATACACGTTTGCAAGTCCGGTCTCTGGGCGTTGCCATCTTCCTCAGTGGGATGCGCTCTTGTGCGCGGCCGTAATCCGATTACGCTGGCTAAGCAAGGCTTCGTAATCGGATTATGACTCAACCAAGCACACCCCAGGCGAGCAAGATGGCAGCGCCCTGAAGCCGGACTTGCAAATGTGCATAGAGATGCCCAGCCATACTTAATCGAGGGGATGCATACATATTATTGATACAGGCAAATATTTTTTCATCTGCTACGAATGATTGACGCAGGCTGACAGGGAATAACTACCTAACATACACTCATGCATAATAGCCACTTTGATTTTGAATATTTTACTGCAATGTAGGTGGACACACGCAAAGGTTTCGTTTCTTTTTAGACACACCAGGCGCACGTGTACATCATCCCGCTTTGAATGTGTGCTTTCTTCCTAAGCACACGGCTGCAATATTTGTTCATTTCAAACTTGTTGATCGCGGCGTTTTAGCTACGTTGAGTGCTCTTCAAACCGACCACCAGTGCACTGCGGAGAAGCATCACCTGTGGAAGCGAGCTCTGCAGGCGTTTCTTCTTCACAGTGCGCCGGTGCTTGGCAAAAAGCGCGCTTAATCGGGCAAACCTGCCGCGTTCAACACTTCGAAAAGTATGAATATTGCAGTTGACATAGAAGCAAATATTGAATAGCTTATTATTCGAAGCTACTAATCGAAAATTTAAATATTTGCACAACCCTAGCAAACATTCTGTGCGGAATCCCGAATCTGGGAATACCTTTAAGGGGACTGCATGAATAGGCTTGGTAGCGTATCTCGCTGCAAGTTACCGCAGAGGTGTCTGAAGGTGGTGGAAGTATTGCACCAAAATTTCAAGGAACAAATCTACCCAAGTAAAAGATTAATACCCCTGTCAAATGGGCACCTAGAACGATCTTTAGTGTGGATGTTAATGTCATTTAAGTAGTGCCACACGGCAACTCAAATGGCATTTAGCGTAAAGGTCCTTTTCGTGAACCTGAGCTCCCGCAACTCCTTTTTGGCTGCTAAAGACATACTTTCGTCAGCAGCGGTCTACACTTGAGAAGCGAATTGAAATAAAAGATTGTGCTGATATCTTAAATCAATGTTTTTATATGTTTATTATTGAAAAAGAGCGTGTTTAATTTTTATTTTGTACAGACCTTGCCCTACTAATAGTTTTCTGTACTCACTACTCCAGCTATCTAGTAGGCCTCGTTGTCCCGCTGCCCGCTTGCTCACATCGTCCGCTTTGGTTTTCCTCCTCTCGATTTTTCTTACAGCCATAATTATCTAGCTTTTATTTCTCTACTTGATATTTTATAATTACTTTATACTCTACTTTATATTTTATCATAGTGTATTGCTAACTGTTTTCTGTGATATATTTTTCTATATCTCACTCTCGTGTCCTGCGATATGTCGAACGACGGAGGAGCGTCCATAAGTAGAAAGGGGTCACACCGAATCCACTGGAGCATTGGGCGACCTGGATGCTGATATGACTTCGAGAAGATCGGCTGGAGGACCTCCGACGCATGTGATGAACCTCAAGCGCGAGCACGACATAGTCGAAGCATGGAAAGGAGCAAGAGCACTGAATGTTTTGACTGAGTGGGCAGGACTGGGATACGCTCAGGGTTACCGCTAATTGCCAAAACACACTTTGCTTGGGCTTAAACTGGACTTTGTTGTAATCCCTTGACTGAACTCATCATTTTGTCTTTTTTATTATTTTGTTTGCTTAAGAAAAACCTAAACATTATTTATATCACCACAGTAATATTTCTTTTTGGCGTCAACGTGATTTATGCGTTTGAACGAGCTGCTAGACTTTAATCGCTGTAAACATTGTCTAAATGACATTTACTTGCGCCGTCTGGCAAGGCAGAACGTAAAGGTAATTTGAAAATCCTAAAGACCTTTGATGTAGAGGTCCTCTTAGGTGCCCGTCTGACAGAGGTATAAAAAAGTGATAATTGGTTTTTCTTACCTATGGCTCTCGTCTGCTAAACACGCACCCTCTGTCTGGCGCAACAACTGACAGATGACGGCAGCAGCTTTGGCGTTTTACGGCAGCTGCCTCCTGGTTGCACCAAAAGCAGACTATGGTTCCTAATTATAAACGGTCCATGCTTTTCCGGTGCTCTAATGATTGTGCATGATTTTTTTTGTCCCCAACAAAACGTCAACTAAAAAAACCCCAAAAACAATGGTTGGTTCATTAATTTTAGCTACATGTTGTCCGCTTTGTGGTTCTTGGTTGTCACCGCCTCTCTTTTCGCTTCTGCTAGTTTTGTCCGTGCTGTTTTAAGATGGTTGCCATCTTTATGGTGCACTTGACTTGCCAAGAACGGATGGGGGTTGCACTCTGGTTCGGCATGTACCCGAGTACGAAAGCTGTCCATCGATGCTTTTGGACTGAGTTCTAGCGGCAGCCTTTGAGCTCGCGAGCTGTCCTCCACGGGGTGAGGCGCTTCACCAAGTTTGGAGACGTCAAAGGCAAATCATCGGCCACTCATCTGTCATCATACCAGGTATTGAGCTGCCTTAAAGGGGTACGGAAACAGAAATTGAAATATTCCGATTTTGTTCGGAATTGAGTCAAGCATGACGGATAATAACCGTAAATGATAATCGCACGTTTGTATTTTGAACAATTGGCTATATTTTTCATTCCAAACGGTGCACTCGAGCAAGCGCTCGAAGAGAAGCGAACGGAGAGCGCGATGCATCATGGGATATCCGGCGCAAACAAAAACAGAAAGAAAAGATTCTCCGCATTCATGATGTAGCAAGGCTGGCGTGATTATCAGCTTTGCCCTTGGTGGCGTTGTCAGCGTTGTAGTGCTGTCAGTAGCGTCAGCGCGTTACAACCGAGCCGTTCGGAGTGCCCGTGGGGTGACGAGCGTGTGGCTGGCCCAAGGAGCACGTAGCTTCCACAACACTGTCAGCTTGGGGCTGAACGGGGTGGGGAAAGCAACTTTTGTTCGAGTTTTGAGCGGCGGGCTAATCTTCTAGGTGGAGAATGGCTGTTTCCGGTTGCACGAACGAGGGTCCGAGAAAGAAGGGAGTCCTTCCTTTCCGTCTTCTTGGACCGTTTGGTACAATGCGCGATTTGTGAGTTCAGGAGGAAAGCTAAGAAGGAAAACGCTGAAATGCCAAAGAGCAGTGCTGCTCCGAAGGAATCTGCTACATCACGACTATGTAGCAGATTCCACAACGTTGCTAGACTACCTCCCAAATAGGCTCCGCATGCATCCACCAGGTGCACATTAAAAGATTGTTTATTTACTTTAAAATTAGTTTTCTTGTGCTTTTCAACGGAAGACTGGTATTTTTGAGGTTAGGGTGCAACATGCAACACATTAAAGCTAGAAAATGAGCGCTGAAATTTCGTTTCCCTACCTCTTTAAGACATTGGGGCTGCTACCGCCGTTTGTCGGTTGTTCCACCAGTCGAGGGGTTTGCAGTTAGCAGACGGGCACCGCAGGTAGGGAAAACCAGTTATCGTTTTTTTTACTTTTTACTCAGATAAGTTCAATCTCTGAAAGTTTGATGCTATACTTCCGCCATCTTCAGGCATCTCTGCGGTAAATCATAGCACCATACATTACCAAGTCGATTTATGCGGTCGCTTTAAAAGACTCGCCCAGATTTGGGAATTTGCGATAGTTTAGCATCACTAACGCTTGCCACTTTCAAGAACACCAGTTTGTGAAAGCCTTTTTTATAGATCTTTAATTTCATTTGATGTGTGCCTGACAGCGCATCACGCCCCTATTCTTCTTGGTTTGTGGTTCAAGTTTCTGTTTTTCTCGTAAAACTTGATAAACTTTGTTTGCCAGCTTGCTACACTGCTGGTGCACGTGTACGGCGGTCTTTTGGCAATGGATCAACTTGTGGGACTAGTTTTCTTGGTACTCAGACTTTCAGGCTCCAAATCTAAAATATATTTTTTAGTTGGGCACCTTTTTCATTTTAGGGGGTGGTGCCGATCAGTCTGCAAAGACAAAACATTTCTCCGACGACAACAAGAAATGGTTGAAGCCAAAGACGAGTAAAAAGGAGCTGCTCGAGTCGGATGAAGAGGACGTCTCAGACACAGGGCAGCCACAGGTATGTGTCTGATAGTGTGACTTGGTTTTTGGGTCTTCTCGCATAGACGGTGTGCGCCTCATGTTTTGTTTAGCTGTTCCCCGCTTCGAGACAGAATGCTGTGTTCTTTCACATTTTTCCTGCACATTTGAGTCTGGAGGATTGGGACATTCTTTTTGATACTGCGATGTCTTCCTTCAGTGGTAGGTTGTTCAGTCAAAACCGCAGCGTGCGGTTGCAGCTCAAGAGGGGCTGCAGTTACCATTTCATAATATACGTGTCCCCGTGCTACTACAAACAAAAAGAGGTGTGGGGAATTTTGGCCGAGTGTGTTAGCGCATTGCAACGTGGAGCACGTGAAGCAAAAGTTTGCACTGCAGAACTCTGGGGCCTGTGTTCAATCCTTACTTGCTCGTTTCAATCTGCATGAGCATCGGGCCGGCGTGGGGTCGTGTATCGCTACTGCGTAATGCATGTCAAAGACCCCAGGCTAGGGGTGGTACCGCACTGGCTGAATATCTCATCTACAGCCGAGACACCAGACGCCCATTGAAGCTAACCAATTTCTTGCTTTGTAAGCATGCACACAGCACAATTTTTACTACAGCAACACAGCCTTACGAAACAAGACTTTAGCGACCCTTAGGTTTGGGGAACACTGAAGAAATGCAAATGAATACCGTACTTCTGTTACAAAACGGACAGTGGCACACCAAAATGCACCGCAGAAGCTAAACGTTTACTGTGTGTGGAAGCAGTTTCTCGGTCTCGTTACTTAGCTCTTTTTACTACCTTTTTTTTTAGGCTTTTGGAGACAGCTCTGATGAAGACATGGTCATGAAAGATGATTTCGATGATGATGACAAAGAGGAAAATGAGAGTGAGGATGAAGAGGTATGTGTAATTTTTCGTTTGTCATTGCTTAAGTACAGTTAAATGTAGTTTGCTGTAGGCTTATGCATTGACTTTATTTCTGCCTTTACAGCTTCCCGTAGAAAAAGCATCCAAAAGACTGCTGAAGAAACAAGCGGAAGATGCGTAAGTTTTGGTAACTCTCTGCTAGACACAAAAGTTTACTTAAGTGCTGCGATTGTTGAGGACATCAATTTATTTGCACCGGTAGCAAGCCTAAAAAAGTGTACCTCTTTTTTTTTTTAATGTTTGTTGGTTACGTGATTTTTTTACTTTCTTTAAAATGGTTGTTTTGGCCTGTCAGTGATCAAGAAGATCACAATCTTGTGGTGTCTGATGTTACAACACTGATCATAGTTGTTAGGAAGCTTTACACAAAATTAAATTCCTTTCTTTAGACTACAAATCCCAAGTATTTGAGGACAAGCAATTAGAAACCACCTAAGACGCTGCCTAACTCTTAGAAAAGGTGATATGTTGGTGTCAAATGAAAGAAACTAAAAGGGTACATTGCATTTTAACTTCCATTCAATGTTCTAAAACAGTAGCTTTCCTAGCAAACAGTCTTTTAGTTGTGTAACCTTAGCCAGAGTTTCAGTCCCCAAGGGTGACCTCTGTATGTAAGAGTAGATTGACTTACACCTGAAATGGAGCACAACTTATGTCTTCTAAGCAACCTCTGGAACTCTAATTTGAATTAATTCCAAATATCAAGTCAAAGAAAGAAACAAATTATTGACAAAAATTAATTATGATAAATTAAAGTTTTAACAAATACTGTAAGGTATTTAGTTTTCATGATTTGAAAATTAATACAAAACATTTATGTTTTGTAATGTAATGAGTATGTCGCCCCATAGTAATGAATATATATCACATCTCTCCAAACACGAAAGCTTGTGCCCGCATTGTATTAATGAAACCCATAGTTTGCATGTTTTGCAAAATGTCGTGCCCATGAAAATAAAGTCACTTTACTGACCTCGAAATATTCCAAAAAAGTCTCCAAATATTGTGTGAAGTGTAAAATTGTAATTTCAAAGTTGGAAACGAAACTGGCACAAACATATCCTTCGGGCGATCCATACACAACTAACTGCTTAATTCTCTTTCAGGAAATTGGCCGAAGAAGAGATGAAAACAAACATAGCCGAGTCTGAGATCTTCACCCTTCCCAGTGGCCAAGAAATCGAGATGGAGAATATCCTTTGAGTGCCCAGACAGTCACAACATCCATGCAGCTTTTTTTTTTTTTATTCCTTTCCCTTTGGATGCATGTTGTAACCTCTCAGTTTAGAGGAGCTCCTTCTATTACTCTTGCCTCTTCACTAATCTTGCTAGTAGTCACGTCAGTGAGGGTGCAGTTTCTTTAACCAAGCACACAGGCCGAGCCTCCCGATTTGGCGATCATCAGCGAGAGGATCAAGGACATCATTCACGTTCTGGGTGACTTCTCAAACAGGCGAGAGCCGGGAAAGTGAGTTTCACGCGAGTCATTTGCTCGCCTCCATTTTGTTTTAATGTTCGGGGTATTGTGATAAGCCTGGTGCATGAATGTTCACATTAACAAATCAGGTGTAGCTGTGCCAGGTTGTCACACCGCACATATCTTCTAAGAGCACCTTTGAAAGTTGTCTGTCCTGGCTGCTCTTGCTGTAGGTAGGTGGCTTTGGGTGCATTTTCGGAGGACCATTGACCCTGTGGGCTGGTCAAACTTAATTGTAAAATAGTCTTTTTTTTCTTTTTTTGGGGGGGGGGAAGAGACATTTGCACATGAAAATTCAGAGTTTATCGGATAAGTCCAAATTGACCGAAATTTTACCGGTGGATATTTTTCGGATTTATCCGAAAACACAGAACCCTACTTATGAGACATACATTCGACCCAAATAGGAATATGCTGAGGCCATTTGGAGCCCTACCAAATTTACTTATCCATTCTTCTCTAAGCAATCCAGAGTCACGCTGCTAGGTTTATTTTAGAAATGCGATTGGTCAATTACTGTATCCGCCCTCATGAACGAACTGAACCTTTACTAAACGTCCGCCGCAAGATAGCGTGCCTTTGCCTCTCTCACAAGATTTACCCCTCACGTTTTCCGCATCTCAGGCAGCACAACCTATTTTGACTCCTATTTTTTTCCCCATACTATTATAGACTGGAACAACCTCTTCTCGCGTGTTGCACCCCAGGCAGACCCCACCGCCTTTTGCAATGCTCATTGTTCTCGCCTCTGCTCATTCCCGTTGTAACATCTTACTTACATCAGGGTGTCTAGCGACCGGGAAAACTGGGAATTGTCAGGAAAATTTTAATTACCGGGAAAAATCAGGGAATTGTCAGGAATACCGTATTGTCAAAAAGAGAGCCCAGTCAGGGAAAATGAGCCGGAAACGTCGTTGAGTGCCTTGGGCCAAGACTTGAGGATTTGGGGGCAAAAAAATAAGCAATAAATTCTGCTTAGGGCGGAGCGCGGGCTCTGCTCGCCCGATGAAGAGTGTGCCACCCGATGCAATGGAAACAGCCGGCAAATCTAGTCCAAGCCTTGGATTGGATCGAATTGAGGGGATGACACTACGCTTGATTCAATTAGCTACTAGATTTAGTAACAAATGGGAAAGCCGCAGACCCCAATCCAATCCAGGCATTAAGCCGAAAGTATCCGCAAGGGTGCATCTGGCAGCTATGCACCGTGCTGCCATTCGGTTATGGACGTGTGTGGTTGAGCGTTGTGATTCATTGTGTTTCCGGAAGTGGCCTCTTCACTGGTGATGTCGGTGGCAAGAATGTGCTTGTTTCATCCAGACTTGGGCGAACATGAATATTTCGGAATATTCGCGACTCCAGCGACCTATAGGGGGCGCCACCACCAAACAAACATGGCGGCTGAGTCCAGGTCGCGGCGGCTCGGCCGGGCCGCCTGAACAGGTGGCGCGTTCAATTTAACTGATTTTCTTTTGTTTAATGCCCAATTTTATAGGTATTTGAACTGAGACGGTTAAGTGTAGCCGGTGCAGATAAACTTGCAAAGCATAGTTTTGTTTTGCCGGTGTTTTTTTGTTCTTTTCGTGTCAAACTTTCGTTTCGGAGATTTCGTTCAAAACCGAAACTACGGGCTCCGGAGAGACGGTAACATACTAATCAGTTTTGATCGTCTAAGGAAAGCGGCGATGACTATAGAATTGTTCCACAGAGAGTAATTTTTCAGCTAACTCGCATGCCTCGACCATGCGACTTATCTGTCCGCGAAATCGAGCTTTTGTGCGTATCCGCGTTTACGAAACAGCTCCAGTCGTCTGCTCGGCCAACAACACAGGCTGCAGGAAAATTTCGAAAATTAAGCAACCGCTTCTTGAGCCAAGGACCCTGTTAACCCGCCGGCGCCCCACTAAGCAGCTGATACTCGTATTTCAATTCAGGTTTTAGTAGCAATCGAGAAGTCATTTTGACGAGCAGGTTATGTATTATATTACGTACTATGGGGGGGGGGGGGGGGGGGGGTTCTACTAAAGCGATATTAGTATATCCTTCGGGTTGAAATATGAGCTCATTTGACTAGCTATTAGGTGAGCTGCTGAATAAAAGTATATTTGACAGGCGGAGACATACTACTTAAACTTAGCCAAATGGTTCTATAGCCGGCAGCACGGAGACAAACTGAAGAGGGTCTTCATTGAAGATCCACGCAGAACCTCTCTGCATTGAACTTTGCTTCGAATCCTGAACGGAGAAAATTAGTACTTTTTTGTGGCCGGTCAACCTGACCAATGTAGACGTATATTACTGCTGGCCTCGAAGTCCTCGTAATATAAATATTGGAGGCGTGATAGGTCAAAATGCCGTGACAGCATCTAACATTGCGAGACTTGTCTTCCACCTTTTAAAAACAGATAATTTCCCTCATTCATCATTTGCACCGAGCAGGTTTTCCTGAATCAAGTAATTGCGAAATCAGCCCAACTCCTTCAGTGTGGTCCAGAGGCTTTTTCGGCGAAAAGCAGCAAAGATGAATAGCCAACGCACCGACCGGCGTGGGTGGCTCAAACTTGAAGCTAACCGAACACAACCAAACTCAAGAAAAGCAGCTATCGAACCTTCCCATTCACTTGACTGCAACATTGATGTTCCCTCCAGTATCAGTTACCAAGCAGTCGTAACTTTGAATGTGATTCGAGACAGACAAGAAATCAAAAAGTTTTTCCGTGATTCTTCCCCATCCAAGAATTCGAAAGCACGTGACCGTGTGCTGTGGAGTAAACGGGCTTTCAAACACGTAATAGAAGAAAACAATCTACTGAGGCTTCACCACACTAATGATCACTCAGGCAAACTTAAGAAATATTCGGACCTTCGTCAAATTACATTGTTCGCCACCGCGCCGACAACACGTCTCCGCGAAAGCCACCAGAGACGCGGAGGGGCGCGGAGCGACCTGGACCGGCTGGTTCCCGGTTTTCCCGCTTGGCGGCGTCCGTTTTGCTGGAGTCGCGAATTCAAGTTGGATTAGGCTTGTGCAGAATGATCCTCACGGTGTTCGATGCTCAATGCCTTGTGTTGTAATGGTCTTATATATTTAACCGCTTCTACAGTGGCCAGGGAATTTCACCTGAAATTGTCATGGGAAACCTGAAAAAGTCGGAATTTCAAAATAATAATTTGCTAGGCACCCTTTTACATGTCTCGTGCTAACTGGTCGTGCCAGTACCGTAATGTTTCACCCTCCTTGTCACTGTGCTCCAGATTTACCCAAACTAATTTGTGTATCATTACCTTCTGTCTGTGGCGATGGTCTTCCAACACTTCATGTATTCTCTTATGATATTGTTACTGTTTTGTGCTCTCGTGTCATGACCCCCCCCCCCCCTCCCCTCCTTTATGCAATGCCTTCAAACAAGAGCCCTTAAGGTGTGACACCCCCTGGGAGGGTCAACTTTTGAACTCTTGGCTTAAAATTAATGAAATTTACAGGGTAGGCTGGTGGTCATGCTAGAGGGGCATTGCAAAATTCCAGGTTTGTCGGTTAAGTAGGAAGGCAATTAGGGCAGCTTTTATCAGCCACATCTCTACATTGTTTAGTTAATCTATTGTCGGAAAACTATCCTAATATTCTAGATTTTTATTCGCTAGATATGTACCAGAATGCCTAGGAAGTGCGCCTATGGAAAGTTTTTTGTAAAAAGTCATTGATTTCGATCAATTTTCTTTTCTGCAAAATTGGTCAACTTTTTGGTCTTCTGTGTCTCTGACAAAATGTCACCATTTTTTATAAAAGACATTCGTAAAGTGTCAAACAAACTTCATAACCACATTCCTTATTAAATTTGAGTCAGGAAAAGTGAAGAACGAGCCTTCCCTGTATTGCCATTATCAAACGGCAAATTGACTAAACTGGAATTTATACCAAAAAGTGGAACGGAGAAAAATCTGTTCAAAGTGCTCCAGACCTTACCTTTTCTTTAGCTTCAGTGAACAGAAAATACTTTTTTTAACAATTAACTATGCAGTGTAAACTAGTGAAAATTTCTGGGAATACTCTCTGGATGTAGATGGATGTAAATACTTAATTTTCCAAGATCAATGTTTTTTGCAGAATTTTTTTTTTTCTGTTAAAGGGGGTAGTGTCCCCCTTTAACAGCATTTGAATAAATAAATGGTTTGTGCTTTTTTGCCAGGTCTCGTTCAGAGTACTTGGAGGTGCTCAAGCAGGACTTGTGCGAGTACTACAGCTACAACGAGTTTCTCATGCAGAAGTTCATGGACCTGTTCTCTCCTGCCGAGGTGACTGCCTTCGGACTCTTTGCGGCGCATGCGTTACCTCATTCTTTTTCCCCTTCACGTGACGCCAACTTGTTGCTCCCATTTCAGTTGATCGAGTTTCTGGAGGCCAATGAGGTCAACCGCCCCGTCACCATTCGCACCAACTCTTTGAAAACTAGACGGCGTGATCTTGCTCAGGTTAGAGAGCCCGGCCAACTTGGCTTCTAGTACAGTCACGTTTCGTTGATATGGACACCTATGTTCTCCCCAAACATCTTTTGCATTGCGAGTCATTTGTAATAATGAGACAAAAACGCGCATGCTTACCGTGCTTGTCCCCCGTAAAGTTCTTCCATACAGCAGGTATCCATATTAAAGGGGTTCATATTAATCTAGAAATGACTGTAGTACTGTAGACCCTTTCCGAAATTCAGTCTGGCCACTGTGATTACTATCATCATTATCTGAAGAATGGCATATGGGCCATACTAATGGCAGCCTTCTTTACTGGTGAACAAAGTTGAAGATGCTCCTGAGCAAATGATGCAAAGCCCATACGTTTGAGGCATTTGTATGATGCAACTCAGAAATTGAATATAAAAGCTCCATAAGCATTCTTTTTTAACTTGTGTACAGCCAATCTGTTGGCGGTACACAATCGGCTCTAGAGCCGCTTGGTGTATAGCAGTTAATTGAGGCGTCGCTTAGTTCTAATCAGTTGTAGCTTTGTCACCATGGCAACGGAAGGAGATTTCGAAAGAACTGTACAGTGAAAAACATATTCTCACCTGCCATTGATTTGCAAAAGTTACAGTGCCCGATAAAGTAACGGCAGGCTACAGGTTCATTACCGCCGTTAGTATGGCAAAAGCTGAACTGCTATTTGAGCCACCAGATGGCACTAAATTTCGGAAAGGGTCTGTTATTAGGCACAAACGGGTGACACTACGCCATAATTCATGAACATATTTCACATCATTTGGGCACGCATAGTCGACTCTCACTGTAATTCAGAGCTATAGAAGTGCCCCAATTTGTTGGAATTTGAGGCTGGCCAAAATTAGTAGCAATATATTAGTAATTTCTTGTATCTCTGCACAGCAGGCTGCGGCAGTAACAAGTGAGGGCCATGTTGTGTTTGTACCTTCACTATAGCGAGTATTCACCTGCATACGGGTTGTTTGCGGTGCATTCTAGGTACATCGCCATCTGCGGGCCCTTGACAGAAGACAGTCGCGGCTGCTGCGCCCGCGCGGCTGCACCAGGACCAGCGGCACTATGCCACGAATCTTTCTCTGGTTTCGGTGACACCGGAATTTGCAGCGCCAGTATGGTGTCATGCGTGATGGTCGGCTGCCGCACCAGGTCGCGATCGATAGAAGAAAAAAGAGGAGGGCAAGCTTGTGAATTCTCGCTTCTTCAAGATCCTGAGAGTCCGAACACAGGAATGCGAGAAAACAGGTTCGTTCTCTGTGAGAAGGCAACTTGAATGGTTTGCGCACATCAACCAGAAACACCTCGACGAAGACGTCAACAAGTACCGAGTGTGTTCAAGGCACTTCGTCTCGGGTAAATGTCGGCTCCGTTTGCTCTCGTTGGACATCAGCGGTAGGATCTCCACAAAACTGCTCGTTGTTGCTGCTCATCGCAATGTGCGTCGCTTGCATGTACCTTCGACGGACTGAGCGAGAAGGGGTCCTGTCGCGTCGCTTGTAATCAATGAAAAGAAAGCCATAGGGAAGTGCAATGAGAGAGCGAGTTTTTTTTACAGCGGAGCTGTTAAAGGCTAGTTTCTTCAGTTTCGTGTCCGGTACCAAACAAATGTCGACATAAAACTACACAAAACTCTGTACAGCTACTGCCATCTATCAGTGACGGCGGCAACCAGACAACCAGTCTGGTGTCCGCCATTGCTCATAGATGGCAGCAACCTTTCTAGCTATCCAGAGCCGTATATGGGGAGAGTTTGGCCAGTCTATGATCTTGCCGCTGTAACGCCTCCTTCTCGAGTGAGTCAGTCAGCCCGCGGCTCAGAGCGAGAGGCATGAGCGCATGCGTGTGAACTCCCGGCTGCTTCCAGCTGAGCAGGGAAGGCCGCCATTTTCATTCATTCGCCCGGCGGAACGCATGGGATCGACATCCAAATTTCGGTTCTTTCCTTTTATTTGGAAGGCTCTTACAAGAAAATGATATAGTGTTATTCCTCGGTGGCGTAAAAAGCTAACAAATGAAGTTTCTCCACGTTTGAACGCAAACTTTTATTCAAGCGAAAAAAAAATAAGCCCATAGCAGACGACGCAGAGCCTCAACAGTGCTTGGCACCTACAGCGTTGCGTCAAAATGGGGGTCGTCACCTCTTTGCTTCCTTCTTTCTCTCTTGCTTCTTCGGCGCCCTCCCCCCTTTCCTTCACTTTTCTCCGACGCCTTCGTCACCACACCCACAGGTCAAACTCTCCCAATATACGGCTCTACAGCTATCGTAGAAGAATGGATAGTTGGGCGAGTTCGTGGGAATTCATCGTAGGAAACAGCGCGCAAAACGGACGAAGACGAAGGAGAAACACAGAGGAAGAGCTTACAGCTTCGCTGGTCTTCCTTCTCCACCAGAGTGGGAAGGCTGAAAGTTTTTTTGCTTGAGCAGTGGAAACTAAAGGGCAACAGAAATGAACTCGTAAACAAAGATTTCTTTCGATACCGGTTTTCTGTCGCTCCTGGGATAAGCTCACATTCAAGTTTCTTAAGCATGTCTCTTGGTCATGATTGAACTTTTGCCGCTACTAGGCATAAAGTATGGACCACATATGAGTGATTCCTCCAGACGAAGCGACGTAAGAGGACCTGCTGTCGCGCGGCCTGTTAAAACCACATGCAAGCGATGCACGTCACGATGAGCAGCAGCGACGGGCAAAGTTTTGTGTAACTCTTACCACTGATGTTTGACAAAAGCAGACGGTGCCGACATTTACCCGAGTCGATGTGCCTCGAACACACTTGGTACTTGTCAACGTCTTTGTCGTGGTTTTTCCTGTTGATGCCTGCAACCCATTCCCGTTGCCTTCTCACAAAAAGCGACTGTCCTTTCTCGCACTTTTGTGTTCGGACTCTTGGGAGCTTGAAGAAACGGGAGTCTGCAAGCTTGCCCTCCTCTTTTCTCTTCTACCGACTGCAACTTGGCACGGCAGTCAACCATCACGCATGACGCCATACTGGAGCTGCAAATTCCGGTGTCACCGAAACCAGAGAGAGATTTGTGGCATAGTGCCCCTGGTCCTGGTGCAACCGCACCCGCGCGGCAGCCACGGCTGCCTACTGTCGGACCCAAAGATGGCGATGCACTCAGAATGCACCGCGCGTAGCCCGCACACAAGCCGCAGGTGAATGCTCCCTATATTCTACCTGACCGGGCATCTCTGAATTATTTGTTTGCTGGGGCATATTATGACTGTACAAAATGTTGGGTGGCTTATGTACATCTCAAACGAAACTGCTTTGTTGTGTGAAGTGGTAGAATGCTTTGCTGAACTGGTTTTATTTTGCCTTGGTTTGAGTTATGCAGGGGTTTTAGGCCAAAGGACACAAAGAAGCTTAGTTTTGTTTAAGTGAATAAGCAGTTTTTCTAAATTATGGATATTTGAAATACAGTAAGGATATTGTTCTCCAACAAAAGCAGCTCTTCCATTAATTGTTTTTGTTTTGTTTTACTATTTTTAGATTTGTAACGGCCCCTTTTGCCCTCATCTCACATCACCTTACTCTTATCTCCCATTGTATGGGATCGAGGGTCTAGCAAATGGTGTATGGAAGTTGGCATTAGACTCGATTCAGATACTCATCTGTGACATTTGTCAGTCTCAGATATACAACATATTTGAGACATTAGGATTCCTTTTGAATGGCATGTGGTGGGACTTCTGGTATCCCAGTGCTCAAGTTTCTGAAGTTGGCCTCGTTTATATCTGTTGGATGTTAAAGTATGGATTGTTGTGTCCACATATTGGTTGCTTCTTCTGTCCAGGCTCTGATCAACAGAGGTGTGAACCTTGACCCTGTGGGCAAGTGGTCCAAAGTGGGGCTCATTGTCTACAACTCCCAAGTTCCAGTGGGTGGGTTGCAAACAGTTTTTCTTTCTAGAATTTTTGTTGGGACCAGATATGGCCTCACTGTCTCTAGAAGAATCAGTTACCAGTTAAGAGGATGGTCATTTACTTTGAAGCAGCACCACAATATCTTTTTTATAGTTCAGCTGTTTTGTGTCGAATTAGATACACAGTCTCCAATGCATTCAGCCTAAGTACATGGTGTGCCCACTATTAAAAGATTTTGGCCCTTTTCATCTATGCATATGTGCTTCGGTATCACATGTACCAGCTGGCACCATCACATGTGATAATATGCAAAGGGGTGGAAGCACTGCGCCAATTGTGCCATTGTGTGCCGATCCACTCTTGCTGCGCCATCCTGCTCCCAAGCGCGCATGCTGCGCCAAAACTAGCCAAAAAAGCTTTTTTACAGCGGAGCTGTTAGGGGCTAGGTTCCCCAGGATCGTGTCCGGTATCAAACGTCTGTCAACTTAAACCTACCTGGACAGCTACCGCCATCTATAAGCAACGGCGCTAAGCACACAACCAGTCTGGTTGCCGCCGTCGCTCTTAGATGACGGCAACTTTTCGAGCTATCATAAAAGAATAGATAATTGGGCGCGTTGGTGGGAATTGTAGGAAACAGCGCGAAAAACAGATGACAAAGAAGCACACGTAACGAGCGCACCGCTCGTCACTTGGTGTTTCTTCGTCCTCGTCCGTTTTGCGCGCTGTTTCCTACGCTCTTATCAGTTTCGGTTTGGACTTAGGATGGGTAATTAATCACGGTAATTAATCTAGTCACGTGGTTAACATAGAATGGTCCACTCGAGGTGTGTCCTGCCTACTCGATGTGGGCTGCCTGCTGAATGTGTGGAAGGCTGCTTGCGCGCTCTTCGCAAATGCCAGATAGCCGTAGCAATAGAAAACAAAAGTAAAGCATGAGAGCTTATCAGCAACATGCGGGGAAAAGTGAGCTGTTGATACGCACACGATAGCACGTAGCCGATATGCGAACCAAAGCAGGCGCGAAGCGTGCAAGCAGCCTGCTGCATTCGGTGGCGCCCAGTGGAGTGGTTAGGTCACCCCTCAAGCGGACTGTTCCATTTTGCCCACATGACTAGATTAGTTGCCACAAGTGCCACCAGTTTGGTGCTCGCCGGAGAAAGCCACACGCTCCTGCATTATAGACAGGTGTGATTAGCACTGTACATGCCCATTTGAATGTAACTTTGTCAGTGGTAGGTAGCACTGTCCCGGGCATCAATCCCGGCACCTCTTCAAGAATAGTGGAGTGCTCTACAGACCTAGCTTTCTCTAAATAGTCAACATCTGACCATTGAAAATCAAACACTCATCCGTTTGCTCTACTGACGGCTTACTCCCGATCATCTCGGTTGGTAGAGCACTCTGCTTGTTCTGCAGAGGTACTAAGATAGAAGCTCCGACCGGGCTGATTTTTTCAGTTGCTCACCGGTTGCCTGGATGGTGCAAATTGCGCTCCGTCTCCAAAGCAAGTCTAGTTATTTTTGCGTAATTCTTCCTCACCTTGGGGACTTCCTCTATGTCTCGGCTTCTCAAATTGGGTTCCAGGGAATGCGGGAATTCTCCAGAGTTCCGCCACATCTTCCCCAAGCTCCCAAATTTCCTCGATCGTCTCTGCTCCCTAACTGAAGCGTTCTTCCGGTCTAAGTACTACTAATTTAGTGGATCTGAGCAATCCATTGACGCGCAACTATTAGTAGCTAAACTCCCCTTCTCACGTGTATTGGTGTTTACAAGGTGTACAGTATAGACCACTTACAACATAACCGCTTATAGTGCAGGACCGGGTACAGTAAAACCTCGTTATAACAAAGTTGAAGGAGCGGTCGTAGTTATTTCGTTATAACCATTAGTTTGTTATAGCCAATGTCCATTTCTCCATACTATTAGCAAGCAAGGGGAATTATGATTGCTTTGTTATATCCATTAGTTTGTTATATCCCATTTTGTTATAACGAGGTTTTACTGTATAACGCGTTTTTTTTAAACCACCGGTTCGCCTCCCATAGAACTCCATGTATTTACATACCGCTTAAAATGCAGGCGCGCGAAGGGAAATACCGGTTATAGTGCGGTTTTTGGCACAGCCCGCCGATTGCGCCGACGACCGGAGCAGCGAGCACGCTTCCCTGTGCGACAGTAGATAACGGCGCTGACGGCGCGGGGCGAGGACATTGCTCGAAGAAGTGGAGAGAAGCGAAGAGAGAGGCTTCAGTTGCCATAGCGACGGAGGGACGCACGCACGTGTCGTTCGCTTGCATGCGTTCCTCCGCTGCGTTGGAAACAAAGAAACAAACAACCGCACCGACAGACCAATCGCAAATCGAGGAGAAGTGTTCGCGCGCGTTCATGTTGGTCGCGGGCCGGCTGCTTCTATCCGCAAACATGGCGTCGGTTGTGATAGTCGTCGTAGACGGCGTTCATCTCATCGTTCTGCGTAAAAGCGCTATCCTTGACTGTGAATTTTCGTTGTGTGTCGCTACCCAGCACGTACTAGAAGGGAAGATCCACCTACTCGTGCGGCGATGTCGTGGCGGCGCTCTCAAGACGGCAGAAACGCCCGTGTCGTCGTGTTTGTTTACTTCGACTACAGTGGTGATTTCCAAGCATTTGTGTCCTCGCACATCGCCCAGATTTCTTATTTGGCGCATTTCATGCGTGTGCTCAAGTTCAAGGTATTACTGGCGCGTACCCTATGAAGGATGCGAATTTTCACGCGTTTTCATCTCCGGAGAAAAGTGATTAGGGTTAGCAATCCTGAACGCTCGCAACGTCCGTCCGCAACCCGCGACGCCGTTAAAAGGCTGCGCCAGGCAAAAGCCCCTAATTCCTTTCAAAATGTGTGACACACTTGAGACAGAACTGTACTAGTCTGGTGAAAAAGACTTTCCTCAAACTAAGCTTTATTTTTCATCTAATATAAAATAAATTTGTTTTACAAAGGTAAGTTGTCTCATATAGGTGACATTCACTTGACGTCACTCACTAGGTTCGCTGGCATCGCCCACCACGGTTTCATAGCCTCACTTTCTTTGCACTGCGGAGTGAATATAGATTTCACATTTAAATATTCTAAGCTTAAATGGTAAAACAAAATGGCTAAGTGGCGTAAGCTACCGCCCGATCCAAAGGGCTCAGCCGTATTCATCCATCCATCCATCCACGGTTAGGGAGGCTCAAGTGAGGGTGGGTGCAACTGCTAGATCGGCGATCACGGGACATGGAGGCCATTTAATTGCTAAATTTTGCTGGGAGTCTATGGGGCAAAGTGTCGTTTTCTTTCTTAACTCGGGTCATAAAAGCCCATTAAGGTGCTTGAATAATTTACACAAGGTATAAATGATTACTTTTCCATAGCCACCAGTTTTGTTGCGATAGGTTAAGTATTTTTTTAACGCGAAAAATGGTAAATTCCGCCATCTTGGACGTTGCTGCTTGTCTGGCAACTTTGCTTGCTCCGCTCGACGTTTGCAATTCTTGGTGCGAGAAGGAAGAGAGAGAGGCTGCGCCAAGTCGCTCATTGCTTGCAATGGGAGGCGAGAGGAGGAAAGGCGCATGGAGCAACAGAGTTGCAACAGAGCGGGCGCCTGCTCTCGTGCAGGCAACACTGGCGCATATCCTTTTTCGAATCCTCTCCCTCAGGCGCCGCCATTAAATTGCAAACGCTCTCCAGGTTTTGAGTTGCGCCCACCCTCACTACAGCCTCCCTAACCACGGTCGCCATCTTCGAGGTCTCTTGCTATCGCGAATGCCATTTGGCCGGACCTTTTGAGCGTGGTTTAGCAGTATTTTACAACTTTGAAGGGTCTTTTTGATCGAAACTAGGGGTTATTCTTATACTTTGGTGCTTTTGAAGCGCCGTGGGAGTATTTTTTGTGTGTTTTAGTTCGTTTTTGTCGCTATCGGACTCGTTTACCGCGGCCGCGTTGCTCCCTCGGCTCCATGAAGCGCTCCGTGTTGCCCGCCGTGCCGACGGCGGTAGCTCTTGCAAGAACTAATTTTTCTACTTTAGTGTTTTTGTAGCACGGTGTGATTACTCTTTGTTTTGTTTTGCTAGTTTCTTTATCGTTTTTCTCTAGCGGATTTTCTGTACTACGGCCGTGTAACCGTGTTGCTCCATCGCCGCCGTGTCGTACATACGTCGTGCCTTCGGTGTTCGTTCCTGTGCAGAAACATACCGTGCGGCTCACAGAGAGCGCAGCTTATGAAAAATGCGGCGCATTTTTCATTAGCCCAAGCGATTTAAAAACCGCATGTTAGCGATTTGGCGAGCGGGAAGACAAGCGACGGCGACCCGCTTCGCTGCCGCTGGGTCACTCGCGCGACGAGGCAAACCGCATGAAAGCGACGGGAGTACACGACCAAGGCGATGAGCGCTAAGTTTTCTAGAAATCCCAAAACCGAGCTACGCGACGAGTGACAGAGAAGGGTGAACCGCATGTAAGCGATTTAGCGAGCGATGGCGACAGCGACGGGAGTCGGCGACGAGCGACGGAGATTTCTCGCGGTTGGTCGTCGCGTCGCTCGGTTTTTGGATTTCTAGAAAGGGTCGCTTATCGCCTTGGTCGCTTGCTCCCGTCGCTTTCATGCGGTTTGCCACGTCGCGCGAGTGACCGAGCGACAGCGAAGCGAGTCGTCGTCGCTTGTCTCGTCGCTGTCGCTCGTCTCGTCGCTCGCCAAATTGCTTACATGCGGTTCAGCCTTTACACACGGTACTCGGCGGCAACAAAGAAAACGGCCCGCCCCGAGACCAACTTTTCTTCTCTCTTCTGTTCTATGAAGCTTCAACGATATGAAATTAGCACACACTAGCAGCGGACGACCGCGTAGCGTACCCAAGCCAACCAAACCGAGACCTCGAAGATGGCGGATCGACGGTGGCGCTCCCTGGCAAAATCGAACCTGCAGGCTCAGTGAATACCACCTATATATGGCATGTATTTTGGCCTGAAAAATTGATGTTTTGGTTATAACGCGGTACCGCTTATAGTGCGGATTTTCGCGACTCCCGCGACATACGTTATATGCGGTCTACACTGTATAGGCTTCAGCACTACTTTACCGGGTTTAATCTGAAACCAAGAGTGGTTCCTCGACTGCCATTCGAGGTGGGTATTGGTTTCGTGAAATCAAAATGGTTGAAGACCCCTGCCCTAAATCATTAATGTCTGGCCTCATTGGGACGACGTGCCTTCCACCTGGTCACGGTTCCTCTGCCGTTGTCCGTGCCAGGTGCCACTCCCGAGTACCTGGCAGGGCACTATGTGCTCCAGGGGGCAGCCTCCATGCTGCCGGTCATGGCCCTGGCACCCCAGGAGAACGAGAGGATCCTCGACATGTGCGCCGCTCCCGGCGGCAAGACCACCCATATCGGTGCGTAAGGACGGCCCCTTCAACTTTCTCATTTCTCCGGCCATGTTCGCCGACAGCTTAAAGAGCAACCCCGGTTGAAAGGAAACCAAAATAAATGACTGGTAACGATTTAGTGGCACGAAATATGGTCACAGCCTAAATATTACTTCAGAGTGAAGCTGCATACTCCACTAAAACTGATTTTAAAGATGCGACCAGCTGCTCTTTAGCGGGTGGCAAGCGGGTTAGCTTTCAGTCAAGCAACACTGGCGCAGCACCCTTGTGACGTCACGTCGCGGTGGAGCTGCTGTTGATTGGTTGTACCGCGTACCGCAGCACCCTGTGACGTCACGTCATCGCTGTACAGCTGGTTATCAGTGTTGCCATCCCTCTAGCAGATAGTTTCGGTTTTGCCGTAGACGCCCTAAACCAAACTTAGAGCCCATGATATTTATAAAACTACACACAGTATCGAGAAAAAAAAATGATACCTTGCTATTCAGGGTCACTGCTTTAGCTGAGAACAGTCGTAATCCCAAATTAAAAAATATTGACCGGAGTTGCCCTTTAACTGTAAGGTCCGCGACCGCCTCATTCAGTAAGGATAAATATTCGTGAATCCCAGAGCCTGTGTTGGGGTATTTGTAGGGGTGGGCAATCACACTGGATTTTTTTTTTTTGTTTTCTTTTTTTAATTAATATTTGCCTAAAAGCGAGGGTAGGCGATGATTTGGGGATCAGCGATGACTTGGGATGTTACGGTAGTACTATTTAATGTACTGTGAACTTCAAGGAATAGTTCGCTTTATTAGAGATACTTCCTTGAGGTTTCCCACAAGGCACTCTTTATTTGTCATAGAAACCGATTTTAACAGCAGCCCTGTTACAAAGCAAGCAGAAGATAATCCTGATGAACAACAATACCTCTTTGTAGTCAAACACAAACACTGTTCAAGCCAGCGTTAGCCTCTTTCCTCTATAATTTCTATTTCATTCTTTCAAATCATCTACTTTCTTTATATAGTATACCCTGGCAGTCGTTCCCAGACTTCTCTTTTTATTGTAATGGCGAGAGAATTCAAAATAAATAATTGAGGAAACCCCGAAAAAGTCGGGAAATTCAGAAGAAGTGGTTCGATAGATGCCCCGATTTAGCTCGCGCACGGTGGCAAAAATCCTAAAGGTGCATCCGCCCCGTTTTGCAGCTGCCATCATGAAGAACACGGGGCTCCTGTTTGCCAATGAGTTGCACCAGGAGCGCTGCAAGGCCATCATCGGTAACCTTCATCGGCTGGGTGTCAACAACACGATTGTGTGCTCGTACGACGGTCGCAAGTTCCCCGAGGTCAGGCCCTGCATTTTCACGCTATGCCGTAGACACTATGAGAGTGGAGACGTCAGGGCAGGTCTTTCGGATGCCCGGCTTCCAGCTCGTGCTCCGTGCCTTTGATTGTGCTTTGACTGCGCACGCGCTCCGAAGGTACAACTGGAGCTCCTTCCAGCCGTCCCACCTTGTCAGTTACTACAGAGCTCGGTCAGGGGATGTAGGACAGCGGTTCTCTAACTTTTGGCCGTCACGGACCTCTTGACCCGCTCGGAGGTCTTGTGTGATGGCGTAGGAAAGCTTTTGTTTTAAAGCATTTTTTTTTTACTTGGCGCAGACCCTCGTTTGCTTGCTGAAACTGACCACAGAGGCTTGCCATTCGTGTCCAATTAATCATAGCCTTACACTTTAAAAGCGGCAGGTAAAGTTACGGCCGGGAAAGGTCAATATGAGCCAAAATGAAAGAGAAATCACGCGAGACAAAAGCAGTGGCGTTGCATTTATAAACCTGCGCTAGCGACGCGGCTACCGCACCTCTTTTGTGGCCAAGTGGCAACAGAGCTGGGACTTCTCAGTGCGGCGTGAAAGTTGCGGGTTCGAACCGCGCCACAGCTATACTTTTCTTTTTTTTATATATAAATTTATATTTTGGTCATTTGTCCTATTTTTTAACCGTGATCCTTTTTACAAATCATCCACTTGCACAAGTGCGCCATGCACTGTTTTTATTTTTTTGTCCCACCTGTTGAATCCATACACCGGGAGAAAAAAAAAAGACCAAGCTAGTAGGTTAACGCTCTAATACAATCGTTTTATAGTGTATAACAGCACCGGTGTGACTTGCATACAATTGGGATAGAAACAAGCGTTTTTTCCCCAGCAATTACAGTTTCATGTGTTTTTAAATATACAAGGCAATTGCCACGACTCCTTTCGATCACAACAGTCGCCTGTGTAGTACAAACACACACTGCAGTTGTGTCAACTAAAATATTAAAATCGTGTAGCGTGATTCGAACCCAGAACTTTCACGCCGTGACAACAAGTCGGGACTACGTTACTACGTGACTGCTGCAGATGGTGAGCAGCGCAGCTGGTGCAGATTATAAATGGAACGCCACTGGTTTTGTCTTGCGTAATTTCTCGTTTCTTTCGGCTCATGCTGGCCTTTCCCGATCTTAACTTTGCCTGGTGCTCTTAAAGTGTAAGGCTGCGGTTAATTGGGCTCGAATTGCAAGCCTCTGCGGTTAGTTTCAGCGAGCAAAATCGAAAGCGACACGGATTTCTTTGCCATTAAACAGGGACACAGGTACTTCCATGTCCCCATGGAGCTGGTCACGTGACATAAATATCCCTCTTAAAGGGAAGATGGGGCACTTGTGCATTTGAGAAAAAACACTTGCATTGCTTTCATTTGACCTTTAGAATAACATATGTCACAATTACGTTTCAATACGACGTGCCATAGAGCTATAAGAGCAATTTCAAAATAAGGCTGAGGCCGGCCCGCCTCCCTAGCCTTCGGGAAGCCAAAAAATCCGTCGATGACGTCACGTACAGTGACTGTCTTTTGCGTTTTCTCGCGTCTAACAATACTTACGCAGCAAATGGTTTGGGTATTCGGGTTCACGGGGTAAGAATACACTAGAATTCACTTCTAACTCAATTTTTTCAAGAACCTCCGTAGCTTCCCTTTAACTCTACCGCGGCCGCAGCCACCAGGGCCCGTTTGCTCGAAAGCGCTAACCGCGGCTAAAGTTAGCCCCAGTACTTAGTAGAGGGATTTTGAAATCACGTGACTGGCTTGGTAGGGATGCGGGGAAACATGGCGGTGCCCCAGTGAGTGAGCGCTGCTCGCTTTGGAACTAATATGTCGTAGTAGCTGCAATATCGGGCGCGTTAGTCAGCAATGAATGGTGCGAGAGGCTTTCGCTTTGCCTTACCTCTCTTAAATCACGAAGCATGAAAAAGACCCCGCTGCATTTTTTAAATAGTCTTTTGAGTCTGGTCATTCCTAAGCCTAAATGAATGTGATAATTGTCGGCATGGCAACGTTTGTGGAAAGTGGATTGCCCTGACTCAATCGGCCGGGTATTGATAGCACATAATAGCAGACAGCGTGATAGCACACAAAAGCAGACATTTCCCAAGCACGTAGCTCCACGGTTTGAGAACTGTCGATCTAAGACGTGCTGCTTTTTACGTTGTTTTTTTTTAATCTTTGTAATGTCTGTTTATTTGTTGTTGAACTGCGAAGTATCGGTTATGACTGTTCCATATATTCACTTTGTGAGAATTGTTTTGACCTTCTAGAGATAAATAGTGTGTAAATAAATAGGTCTGCATTAACGATGTGGTTTTCACCACACCCAGCTTATTAATGGACTGCGCAATATGCAGGGTGTCTAGCTACCGGGAAAACCGGGAATTGTCAGGGATATTCTTAAAAAGCGAGCCCAGTCGGGGAAATTGATCCGTAAACCCCATCGAGTGCCCTGAGCAAAGACTTGAGGACTTAAGGCAGAAAAATAGGCAATAAATTATGCTTAGAGCAGTGCACGGGCTCTGCTCATCCGATGTAGAGTGTGCTACCCGATGCAAAATGAACAGCCAAAAAATCCAGTCCAAGCCCTGCATTGCATTTGATTGAGGGCACGGCACTAGGCTAGATCCAGTTAGAGCTACTAGATTTAGTAACAAATTAAAAAGCCACTGACCCCAATCCAATCCGAGCCGAAAGTATCTGAAAGTGTCCATCTGGAGGCCATGCTGCCATTCGGTTATTGACGTGGGTGGTTGAGCATTGTGTTTTAATTGTGTTTCCGGAAGTGGCCTCTTACTGACGATGTCGGCTGCAAGAAAGTGCTCAATTAATCCGGACTGGACGAACCCGTATATTTTGTATAATGCAAGTTGGATTAAATCCGTGCAGAATGATTCTCACAGTGCTCAATGCCTTGTGTTATAATGGTCTTATATATTTAACCGCCTCTACAGTGGTCAGGGAATTTCACCTGAAATTGTCAGGGAAAACATGGAAAAGTCAGGGAATTTCAAAATAAAAATTTGCGAGACAGCCTAAATGTGTCATGTTTTAGAGGTGCTTAGACTAGATAGTTAGTCGTAGCAGTTATTACAATAGAAAAGTTTTCATGGTGCCCACTCCTATTCACTTGTTTTAAGTATGGCCTCATCATGAAATAAGATATGATAGTATTATAATAACAACTGTGCCTGAAGCTTTTCGTTATAGTCAAGTATGGCTTGGTTATTGAGAAAAAAAGTTATCTTAATTGGATTATGATTGCACAGTGTGGACACCAGTCAACCACACTGTACGCTTGTAGCTTAAAAGGGCAAGAAAAGTTAAATTCACATGGATGAGATATTGGAATGCTGAGGGAAGTCTTGAGATCTAGTAGAAGTGTTAAAATAGTCATGCCCCTCCTGGTGTCTACAAGTCGGTAGTCTGCATCACCACAGGGCAGTTTCTGGGGAAATAAAACTTTCCCTATTTTGCATAGAATGCCAAACAGGTCATACATTAATTGCGCTATCCTCAGGTTGAAAGCTGCCCCTTATGAATATTTTAGCAGGAAGTACAAAAGGACTTAGGAGTCATTAAACATGGTGCTTGAGGGAATTGTGTTTTGTGCTGTCTTATGTTTCATCTCTCTTTTGCAGGTGGTGTGGTGTAATAAAAGAAGCTTACATACATTGCCATGTTATATGTAGCTTGTAGAAATGTTTTTGAAGACAAATTTTTTTCTTCTCAGGTGGTCAAGGGGTTTGATAGAGTGTTGCTGGATGCCCCATGTAGTGGGACCGGTGTCGTTTCAAAGGATCCTGCTGTGAAAACCAACAAGGTATGCTGTGCAGCTTGGGGGAGCTCTGCTCATACCAATCTCGGATCATTTGATGTTCTCTAATTGCTAAAAATTTAATGCAGCATCTTTGTGGAGGAAAAGGTATTGTGTTGTGAAGTTGGAAAATAGGGTATAAAAAAGCTGCCAGAGCCAAGTTGCTTTTGTATAAGCAATGTGGCCGTACCCCCTCTTTGTCGGTATATTGCTGTAAATATGAAAAATAAGGTACTGAGTAATCTTTTAATATACGAGGGGTTCTTCGAAAGTCCGGAGACAAGAAGACTTAGTATTATGCCGCAGCTACTCAGAAAGTCACAGAAAACTTTTTATTCTCTATAGCCAGCTCCAACTTCAGCTCTTTTCAACATATTCACCAGCCACCTCGATAATTTTTTTCTATTAGTGAATCCAATGGTCAAAACAATGCTGGAAATCATCCGGTTTCAGGAAAGAAAATTGCTCCTCAACTGCTGAAATGAGGTCTTGTGTGAAACATTTTTCCACATTCCTTCAGTTTGGGTAATAACCAGAAGTCGCAGGGTGCTAGTTCAGGAGATTAGACGGGTGGAGTCAGCAAATCAATTCCAGAATCAGTAATGAAGTTCAACGTCCTGCCAGATGTGCGACGATGCAGTTCCTTCTTGGAGCAACCTTTGAGCAGAGGTTGGCATTTTAGGTTGCCCTCACTCACCCTCACAGCCAACACAGTCACCTAAGCCCCTCACTCACTCTCACAGCTACACTCACCTTCAGCCCCTCACTCACCCTCATCCTCACAGCCACACTCACCTTCAGCCCTTCACTCACCCTCACTGAACCTCACGGCCCTCACGCACTCACTGCCCTCACGCACTCATGCCCCTCACGCACTAGGGTGATTCCACTTCAGTTCATGCAATGATGGTCCGGGTCATAATTTTGATATTTTTGTTAAAAATATATATGAAAGCCATGTTCTTGGGATGAACATTAAGCTATATATGAACGCCGTAACAAATTTTTTCGCTGAGATATAAAATAGAGAAGCTCGTGGCGTGGAAATCAAGAAGATTTCACTATGCTACTTTGCTCAGTCGTCATTTTCTCATCAAAGCTTTCACGTCAGCATAACTTTTTCAATGCATTTTACAAAAGATATACAACACATACACAAAAAAGTAAAGATATCAATAAATTATTTCTATGCAAACAAAACTACCAAACATGGCATAAAAACGCGTTTCAGAGACATATTCACAATTTTTTTTGCAAATAAACCATTTGTCATAATACTTCACAAAACATATTAAAATGTGCACCCATGAATATTGTTTGCGAATGTATAGAGATAATATGCCTACCCTTAATTGTCTTCTTGTTATTAACGTGGAAATGCAGCTGATTTCTCGAAATGTGGCAAGATTGGGCGTCATATTTCAAAAACTCCATCTTTTATTTTTTTTTAAAACTTTCCTTAGCACTTTGCAGTGACTTGAACTAACTCGTGATGGCAAAACATTGAGTAACATATGACCTCGAAACGGGAAAAGCTACGACACACCTTCACTCGGAGCGAGCCGACGTCTTCGTCATAGCGGCTTTGCCGCACAGCACCAAATATTTTGAGCGTGAGTTATGGCATGTATTTTATACTTTTCAAATTCTTTTTTTCAGAAGGGGTTAGTATAACTTACACGAAAATGTACTTTAGGCTGGAATAGCATTACTTAGCTTACAATTCACAAAAACAAAACGGCCCCACTCTGCAAATTCGCTAACTATGCATACCTAAGCTTAAAACTCTCAGTTGCGCAAGTGGCCATGTATACATCCGGCCTCTCGGCATATGATGACTTCCACAGATGAGATGCCTGGATTCCTCTCACAGGTTTTACGGTGGCCCACTCTACTTGCTTCACCGCACGAAACTCTCGAACCCGTTCCGCAGACAGGTGGAACATGCAAACATTTGTTACTTTTTCACGCAGCACTTCCACAAAGTCTTTAGCGGTGACAATCGTTGAGTTGAGCGAAGATCTCAAGTTGGTGAGAGTTGCGTGGTGTTTAAGAACACCACCTATTCCATCACAAGCGCTTTTTCCGTGTCCAGTGGCTGAAAAGATCCATCTTGCCAAAGAGTACGGCTTCCGAGATAATTCGTGCAATTGGAAGCGATTCTTGAAATGCGCCGCCGCTCCGTCTGATACAAAAATTATTTCAGAAAAGAGCGGGTAATGTTCATCAACATACTCTTCTATGGCTTTTGTGGCTAGAAAAGCGTGAGCTGTGTCATGTGTCGTGTCATCGCTGACAACGGCAAAGCTTTCCGTGCCTTGCGTGGACGTAACCACTTATGTGAAGAGAGACACTTGAGTTTTTTTCCAATAAAAACTCTGCACTTCGGTTGGGAAGATGACTGTCCAATTTTCCGCAAAATCGAAGTGGAACATCACTGCCTTGGGTGGTAAGGCAGTTCTTGTGTCACGTATCAGGCTTCGTTGAAGGTAACGGATGTAAGAATGCCTCATATACTTTTCGCTCCATGAATCCAGTTCCTTTAGGAAAGCGGAAGTGTCCATAACCTTTTTGACGAGTTCGCCGGCGTCCGATAACACGTAACAGATCTCTTCGTCTTCGTCGAGATGGACCGATTGCAGCGAGATGCGCTGCATTTTTGGGCACTGTTCGCAACGGCGCAGGAAGCAATCGTTTTGTGGAGCGCTGCAGAGGTAGATGCGCTTGAAGTCGTCTTCAGTAAATGTTTCCTGTGAGGCATTTGTTATTGCCGTTAAAAGCAACTGAAAATTGACGCAATATATGCAAGTGCACACCTCATGCTCGGGACTCTTTTTTACCCATTTTGGTCGTAGGGAATAGAACTTAGAGATGCCTAGTTCTTGATGGGGATGGTCCTTCCTAAACAGCTGGTAAGCTTCTTTAATAGAGCGGGTCATAAACCTTTTTACGACTTTGGTCTTGTTGTCGTTGATCATGGATTTGACGGCGTCCTTTTTGTTGGGGCTTTGAATAGAGAATGCGAGGTCGTCGCGTGTGTAGTACTCAAGTGCAACTCTCACGTCTTTGGCATTCGCCTTTTTCCCCATTTAGGGATCAGGGGTTGCCCATAGACCACCTTTACGCTTCAGTTTTCTTGTTTGATCAATCATGTAGGCAGTCGCTTCTGGCACCAGACGCAATATTTCTTTTTTCGAGATGCTTAGTGGCAGAAGCGTGTACAATCGCTTGCTTTCCTGGTGGGAACTGCATGCCTTCAGCGGTTCGCGGAACGCGTCAAACCACTCCGTGCAGTGCTCACAACTGTCTTCGCCGGTTTTCATGCCATTAACGCCTGACAGCTTTCTTCTAATCGAAGAACTCACTTGAGCTTGTTTTTTCTTCAAATATGCTTCGCGCCTTTTTTTTTTTAATGGTTTTACGTGGTTTCAATGGAGTTACCGACGGACTAGCAGCACACAATTCTTGACTCACTTCAGCCAGAACTTCATCAGAGTCCTGGAAAGAAGAGTCTGATGTACTCACGTTGTGAGGAGAAGCAATCTCATTCTGGAGGTATTTGCAGCAATGTTGGCATAAAAGGTCAGATTCGTTCACTGTCCGTGGAGCCAGTAGCTTTTCCAACCGCACTTTGTTGAGTCTCCCTACCGATACGAGGTGCTTATCGCTATACACTTCCTTCTTGTGTCTCCGTAGATAGTCCACACAGAACAATCGCACGGTGCTGAATCGTAGGGCCATGGCTGTTTGATTTGACAATAGACTCTTACTCGCTTCGTAAATGACAGAACTTCAAACGTCCTCGCAAACGCCTATTTGAGAGGTTCTGAATTCCTCTCTCCCGGCTCCGAATATCCGGTCAGAGTTTGGAAAGAAACTGTCCTTGTGGTTATCAACTTCTGTCTTCCATTGTAGATATAATCGGTGCGTCGCGCATGGTTAAGCTGGTGTTGTTTGTTTGTAGTACCACTTATTGAGCACCAAAGACACCGAGTCTCCTGTAAGCATAGCAATAGTCAGCCGTCTTTTTTTCTTTTTTTTTTTTACCTTCTAAAAGTTTTTTATATTGTAATGTTTTTGGGGTTTTCGGTGTTGGAGTGTAGTTTGTGTGTGTGAGTGTGTGTGTGTTGGGGAAGGGGGTTACGGCATTAAAATAGAAGAGGGGGTTAGGGGTTCGGTCTCGGTCGGTTCGCATAGCGTGGTGCAACCCATCTGTTCAGGTCCTTGGGAGAGGTGCCTGTTCCCGTTGCTGTCCTTAACCTTGGAGTGATTTAGTTTGTCTGGTTAGGTTCGGTCAAGTCTTTGCGGTCGCATGTCTTGATCTTCCCTATTTTATTTCTTTCAGCGTGGACATGCATTTATTGTCGTTCTTCTTGTGAATAAGTTCAGCTGCGTTTGAGAGTTCGTTTCACACTCTCCGTTATTTTTGTTTTTCCTCGTCTCTGGGTTTAGATTGAAATGTTTTCTGACCAGCTGACATGCATATTTTCCCTTACAACTACTCTCGCCTTATTTTGCCATAACTGACTCTTCACAGCTTTGGGTTTCAAGGCAATGTGATGTGCTTACGATTACTAACTACCGCAAGCAGTGGCGTTCGCAGGCGTTTCTTGCTCGTGTTAAGGGGCGGGAAGAAGAGGGCAGGGCGGGGGAAGGGGGGGGGGGGGGGGAGGGGGTTATAGTCACACAACGATAAAGCAATGCTCGGAACAGCACGACTTTCCGCTCACTACGACAGAGTCCCGCTTTCCAGCTTTTGACGCTTCCATGAATGGGACGTTATGCGGCAAAGCCGCTATAACGAGACGTCGGCTCGCTTTGAGTGAAGGTTTGTCGCAGCTTTTTCCGTTCGGAGGTCATGTATTACTCAATGTTTTGCCATCACAGGTTAGTTCATGTCATTGCAAACTGCCAAGGGGAGTTTAAAAAAAATAAAAGATGGAGTTTCTTAAATATCGATGCCCAATCTTGACACATTTTGTGAAATCAGCCGTATTTCCGCGTTAATAACAAGAAGACAATTAAGGGTGGGCATATTATCTTTATACATTCGTAAAGATAATTCAAAGGTGCACATTTCGATGTTTTGTGAAGTATTATAGAAGATAGTTTATTTGCAAAAAAATTGTGAATATGTCTCTAAAACGTGTTTTTATGCCATGTTTGACTTTTTTGTTGGCATAGAAATATGTTATTGATATTTTTACTTTTTTGGGTATATGTTGTATATCTCTTGTGAAATTTAATAAAAAGCGAAAAAAAAATGTTACGGCGTTCATATATAGCGGAATGTTCCTCCCAAAAACATGGCTTTCATATATATTTTTAACAAAATTATCAAAATTATGACCCGGACCACCATTGCATGAACTGACGTGGAATCACCCACTAATGGCCCTCATCGCCTTCACGCCCCTCACTCACTCATGGCCCTCACGCCTTTACCGCCCTCACGGCCCTCACGCACTCGTAGCCTTCACGCCACTCACCGCCCTCACGCCCCTCACACCCCTCACGCATTCACGCCACTCACCGCACTCACGCCCCTCACGCACTCACGCCCCTCACGCACTCATGGCCCTCACATTCCTCACGCGCTCACCACCCTCACAGCCCTCATGCCTTTCACGCCCCTCACGCACTCATGGCCCTCACGCCACTCGGGCCCGCTTCAGATGGGCAATTTCGGCCAGAAACTTAACGTCGCAAAGCCAGCAATACGCATTCACTAGCAGCAACCAATTTATGCAGTTTGCCTGCATCATTAGGAAATTTTGTTTTTCTTGCACTATTTAGACACACCATTACGCGCTATAAATGTGTTTTCATGCTTTTAAATCTCGTTGAGAATACTACTGCATCTTTCTGAAACGGTCAATTTCCAAAAACTATCAATTTAAAACCAGAACCAAGTCATTCGGTGTCATCATCACCTGCACGAGGTGTCACGTGAAAATATCACGTCCCTGATTGGATGCAGCCGGTTCAAACGTCTTCCAATTGCTCCGAGTTGCTCGCTTGTTTCGAGCCGGACCCGATCTCAGCAATTTGTGTCGGTCTAGAGAAAGCTAGGGAACAGCCCGCCATCAACACCAAATTGCTGCGAAAGTTGCTCCGTCTGAAGGGGGCCTCACGCACTCACCGCCCTCACACACTCATGGCCCTCACACACTCACCGCCCTCACGGCCCTCACACTCCTCACGCCCCTCACACACTCATACTACTCACACACTCACGGCCCTCATGCACTCATGGCCCTCACACCCCTCACGCACTCACCGCCCTCACACCCCTCACGCACTTATGGCCCTCACGCCACTCATGGCCCTCACGCCCCTCACGCACTCATGGCCCTCACACCCCTCACGCACTCATGGCCCTCACATCCCTCACGCACTCACCACCCTCACGCCCCTCACGCACTCATGGCCCTCACGCACTCATGGCCCTCACGCCACTCACCGCACTCACACCCCTCACGCATTCACCGCCCTCATGGCCCTTACACACTCACGGTCCTCAGATCCCTCACGGCCCTCACTCATCCTCACCTCACCTGTGAAGATGAGGGTGAGTGAGGGCCCTCATGAGTGAGGTTTGCCGAGGTATGCCTTTCAGTGGTTTTTCGAAAAACTTTTGGCAGGCACACCTTCATCTATCATTCAGAGTTCACATTTCGCCTCTCCTCAAAGGGGACGGAGACCACAACTCTCTCAAATCCGAAGAAAATGGCAAACATTGTGCCAGCTGACCTGGCGCGGCAAAAGTTTTTCGGTGGCGGCCCTTTTTCTTCAACCGCACCATGAGTCGAGACTTGGTTTCAGGGTCATTGGTGTAAGACCAGGTCTCACGACCGGTCAGAATTTGCTTCCAAGCACCAGACTTGCCTTCCTTGAATCTTTGGAGGCACTGGTGGCAAAATGTCACACCGGATACCTTGTGCGCTGGTGTTAGCTGGTGAGAAACCCGTTTGGCCAATTTTTTGCTATAACAAAGTTTTTATGTCCAAATTTTCCAAATTGACATGGCATCTATACCAAGGGGTGCCTTAATTTTCTAATGCGAAAGCATTAATTTTCCCATGGAGTGGGCCGACATCATCAGCTTTGAAGCTGCACCAAATGGCACCTAAACTTCTTTCTCCAAGTGAAGCCGGCTCCCAGCTTTGAAACCTCACGAAAAGCCTGGCCAAATGGCACCCAGTTTCCCCAATCCCAAAGAGCAAAGTGAACGTGATGGATTTCGACTTCGGTCCCATTGGATGGCGCGCATCATAGTTTCAAGAAATGAGGCTCCCACTGGCCGCTGCGCGTCAGTTTCAATGACCGCCGCCCCATGACGCTGTGTGTCTGCGAGGCAGCAGTTCTACCGCTCCACTCCCAAGGTCAGCACGTCGAGAAGAGCTAGCGCGCGCGCTTGACCGTCGATGCAAGTGCGCCGCAGACGGAATAAGGGAACGGAAGAGCGGCATGCATGCTTTTGCATTCACAACTCATAAAGAAGTGCTTAGGTCTACCTCGAGCCTTTTTTTCAGCGTAACTCGACCATCTGCCTCAACTGCCACTTTCACAGCCAATACATTTATGTCAGGGGTTGTCATTTTTGGCCGCCCTTCACGGGAGACATCCTCCACAGAACAGCCTCCACTTTGAAAACGATTGAACAGCATGGCAATTATTGAGAAGGTCGGGGATTCCTCGCCCATAACAATTTTTAACCTGTCAATACATTCTGCAGGTATTACAGAAGACAGGCACTCGTAAAGAATAACCGACCGCATGAGCTCCTTTGTGAATGCCGGTTTATTCATCTCGCTGCCAGTACTCAAATATTCGTTTCCAGTCTCCATAACTTCCTGTGGTAGAAAACAATGGCTTAAATTAGTTTAACAAGGTTGAGGAAAACAAAAACTTGTGTTTCCATGTACCGCTAAGAATTTAAGATGCTTGAACGATCGGTGTTTTGAAAAGAATTTCATACTTCACTTTTCAAAGGTAATACAAATTTAGTCTCCATAGTATTGTGATTACCACATGTACTTTGCTTAATTGCGACAAGTTCAGATTGAAAAGATCGCCGTGTTTGTTCCACTGCTTTGGATCCAGTTGGTCACTGGCTAGAGCAGTGGTAGGGCTACGAGAACACTTGGCAGTAGAGGGATAGCAGTCGCCTCACTCCTGTTTAGCTACACAATGTTGCGAAACTCAGTACCTGACAGACTAATGCTAGGGGCTCTCAATTACTGATGTTTCAGGAACCCCTTCTGGATCGGCGAGTGATGGGGGACCCCATCCAGCGGGGGAGAGGCTGCGCTTATAGACACAGACAAGAGGGAAAAACAAGACAACTCAATGTCTTGTTCTTTCTTCCTGTCCTTTTCTATACGCGTGACCATGTTTTTTGAGATTCAGCAACTACTCGCCTTTGAGTCAGCATTGGTATTTGACGATTACAACGACAAAAGGGTAGTAAAGAAAACTAAATGCATGCAAACGAAGGTTGAAGCTCTGAAACAAAGAATATTCAACCCTACTCGCTCGGTGCACATGGTTTGGTCTAGGTATTTAACTTCGTAAAACAACCAGCATCAACAAAAAAAAATTTTATTGTTTGCTTATTGTAATTGATGGTCAAAGGCTTCACGGACCGTGAGAAGGCCCTTGGGGACCCCCAGGGTTCGTGGACCCCCGCTCGAGAACTGTTAAACTAACTAGTGAAAAAAAATATTTGTTGTTGAAATATTTGCTCAACAACCGGAAAGTTAATCTCTCAGTGTCCCGGTCCTCTCCATCATGTTTTTATCCTTCGAATACATATTGATTCGAGAATTGTAAAAAGTGGCCGTGGTGGATAATCTGTTGAAATTGTTTGCTTTTGATGTGAGTTTATGGTGAGCCACCCTTTGGGCACGCATAAAAATGGTCAAAGACGTAATCTTGCTGGCCCTTTTGTTGCAGGAAGAGAAGGACATCTTACGGTGTTCCCAACTCCAAAAGCAGCTGATCCTTGCGGCCATCGACTGTGCAGACTGTAGTGACAACAAGCCAGGCTACATTGTATATAGTACATGCTCAGTCATGGTGAGTGGACTGCCTTCACCTCACAGTGTACTTTTGGGAGTGTGAATGTCGATGTCGTTTTGTTTCACAATCTAGTGCACCGCAGATGACGGTGCCAACCGTCATCTGCGGTGTTCAGGGACATGCCTTGGCAATATGTGGTGTTTTGCGTGAACTCACTCATGAGCATTTTGTGAGGTTGGCATTGTTTTATTTTGACTATATAGATAATGAGTTAAGTTGTTTGCATTTGTTGTTCTCACAGCTTGGGTTTAAAGGGATGGTGAACCAAAATTTGGATTAAGAAAAAACAGTGCAGCAGATGTAAGCGGGACGCTACAAACCCTACAACACTACTCGTAAGGCAATATCTTGAACGAACGGCCGTATTTTTGGAAAAAGAGGCCGAGATTGAACGAGGCTGACAAGGCGCGTGACGTCAAGATATCTCGTTTCCTCCTCTCTTCGCTTCGCCCCCTCAAGGCGGCGAGGCGGAGAAGAAGTGAGGCCATTCCCTCTCCTTCTCGGAGAAACAAGACATAAACATATCTGTCAAATGCGCCTCCTTTTTTTGAAAAATACGGTCATTCGTTCGAGAGATCGCTGTATGAGTGATGTTTCGGAGTTTGTAGCATCCTATTGCACGCTTTTGTCGCCATGTTTCGTGGAATCCAGATTTCGGTTTAGCATCCCTTTAAATTGAAATTTGGATTGAAATCCCCCAAAAGTTTATTTCCCAAAAGTTAAAAATCCCCCAAAATTTTATTTCTGGAAAACCACTCTTTTGGGTTGTAAGTTCCATAAGCTACGTCCTCCGTAATTATTGGCACCTAATTCAACGAGAAAATATGTTTGAAAAAATACTTACGATGTACTAGCAGCTTCCAAATCGCGCCAGAGACGGAAAATTGAGCCGAACTTCGAGCGATTCCCACTCTCTTTTGACTTGGCTGATGGTCGCCATCTTCGTCTTGTTTTGAAGCCGAGTATTTTTCCTTTTTGCTGGCCTTCAAAGGCATTTCCCCCACTTCGCGATTGTGAAACGATGATTGGCCAAAGCGCCCGCCCGGAAGAGCACACGACTACCATTAGCTGCGACGTTCGTCCTCCTTCCATTGCTGTGGCCATCGCATCGTTGGGTCCTCGCCAGCCTGTCATCGTCTGCTTGCTCTCGCACTTTGTCAACTCCACTTCGCCATCTCTGCAATCGTTTGCAGCCCTTTGTTTTAGTAGTTTCGCGTACTTTACCTACGGGTGTCCGAATTGCACGTGAAGTGGGGAATGAAGTAGGAGGCGGTGCACGCATTCGACACACGGGAAGCGGGTCATGCATTCAGTGGTGTATCCAGGGGGGAGGCTTATGAGGCTCCCGCCCTCCCCGAAAGACAGCCGACCCTATAATATACACATGCACTTTGACCTCCTCTCTCCCCCCCCCCCCCCCCCCCCCCCCTTTGCACCCCAATTCATGGACATCCAGCCACCTCAGCCCCGCGTCAATCCCTGAGAGGGATGGAGGGCAAGGTGCATGGGACGTTGCGTTCCTCTCCCTCCCCTTCCCCCTTGCTTAGCGAGGGGAACGCTACAGGCGCGAAACTCGACGTCCAAGGGATGCCCGAGGGATGTGCGCAAGAGCGGAGGCCCCCGCGGGCGGGCCGTCAGCTGCTGCTATTTTGGTTGTTTTCGTGCATAAAAAGCTTTTTGAAGCAAGAAGCGGCGGGCGCGGCTCTACGGCGACGCCGGCTACGTGACTCGATAGCTCCATGCCCTCGGTAGGGTCGCAAAATTAGGTCGCGAATGTAAGTCGAAATTCTTTGGTCACAGAAAAAAAAGGTTGACTTATATTCAAATAAATACAGTACATTGAAAACATAGTGGGACAACCAAAATTTTGAAATTTGTTTGAATTAACCTCGAGTGTGAATTATCAGAGTTTGAATTATCGCGAGCCTACTGTGTTCATTTCACAGCCAACTCTGTGCCTATTTGCAATGGTTTAGATCTGACAAAAATGTTACTTGGAGAACAGAGTGAAAATAGTCACTAGAAAAATGATACCTGAGGAAACACTGCCAAGTATGTTTTGCTTGTGTTTCTTTATTAACACAGCACGAGTTGTTGGAGTTTTTAGTTTGCGTGTCTTGGAGGCCAGCTGGTTTTAACACACTAGATGTTTCTAAGTTCTTTTCTTTTTGTGTGTGGATGCTGAGAGGTTGTGAACTGAATGGAAGGGCACAAACGAGTTGTGTTTGAGACCTTTTGGTGTATGTGTCGTTTTTACACGCAGACTGGATTTTTGTCCTGCTTTTGAGAGGCCGCATATTTTCTTTCTGTACAGCCCGAAGAGAATGAGTGGGTGATCGACTATGCACTGAAGAAAAGAAATGTGAAATTGGTGCCGACCGGGTTGGACTTTGGTCGGGAGGGCCTAACCAGGTATGTCTCCAGATTGTAAATTATGTGTTATGTGGTCTCTTTGGAATGCAGTGCATTGCCCAAGTTCATAGCTATTACCAGCACTCTATTCAGTTAAATTGAATAGTCTCAAACTGGCTTTGGTGTGGGCTGTTTTGCTGGTGGTGTGACAGAATTGTGGGCCTCGGAAACCATTGACTCATGGTAAACTGTGGAAGAACATACAGTGCTTGCTAGTTGCTTACCGTAAAATACTGCAGAAGCACCCATTTTGTTCAGGCGCACCCATTATTAACATTTTTCAAACTTGAGAATTCTGCAAATTATATGTTAACCACCCGATTTGACCGGACAAGCGCTCATGTCTAGATTAACCCAGTTTACAGTGAAAATAGGGTGGGTACTTCCCCAGTATTTACGGTAGGTTTAGAAGCATCAAATGAAAATATTGAAGGTGGAAAGTTGGCACCTTTTTTCCATTCAGTTTCATTTTGGTGCACTCGCTTCTATGACATTCCAGCGGCTTCAGATTCCTAGCCGGAGGTACTTTAGAGAATGTCTTCGTCGGATCATGCGCTCTAAGCGTTGGAAGTCTGAATCAAAAGAGCCAGTGCTCCTGTTGGCACTACTGTACGATCCAATTATAACGTTACCACATATAACGATGTACTGCTTATGACGATCAGTTTCTAGAGTTTCTAGTGATAGTCTCCAGTCCATATACATCAATAATCGGTTATAACAATTAAATTTTCAAGCTTTCTTGTTAACGTTATAAGCAGATTTCACTGTACTACCAGAGCAGTTGGTATGCAAAGCTAGCATCACCTGCACCAAGCGTCCAATTTGAGAGCTATAAATAGCCCAGCAATGCAATACAATGTGCTACTATAACGTTTATAGTTTGCCTAAGACATAACAAATAGCAACACCTCCCGCGATGTGTGCAGTTTCGCATTTAGTAGTAGGTGGACACTTTCAAACGTGTAATCACCGCCATACATCTACAGTGACAACCATCAAAGCGTTAAAGGCCCCTCTTTCCAGGTCCCTTTAAGTGCATTAAAGGCACCTTTTTTGGGGTGCCTTTAATGCACTTTGAAAGCAGGAATTTGACAAAATCGAGTCACTCTTTTTTAGGTAAAAACTTCCCAAGGTTTTGTGTCTGATCAATATTATTTGGGTCAACCCTAACTCTCGACTGCTGCTCGCAAAAGTTCACAACAGCAACCTCTGATTGGCTCGAAGATTCGTATTGTGAGTGGGAAAGACGAAAAACAGTACCGTAAAATACCGAGCATCCATTTATTTCATACTAAGCGCCCACCCCCGAATTTTGCAACATCTGAAAAAATATGCACAGTACATATATAGGTAAAATTGATGGCCTAACAAGTGCCCATTCCTCAGTTTTCGCGATTATCTTCATATTTTGAGTGGGCGCTTGTTCAGTATTTTATGGTAAGTTGGATGTTTGAAGTCTGTTCTCAGCATCATCACACCTTCCATATACTTTTGATATGTCCGATAGAAGTTTGCAGGAAGCTTCAGGACTGCTTGCGCCCGCATCAGAATGCTCCCTCATTGAATTCAGACCCGCTTCAAGTATGGTAACTTTTCTTTAAGAATGTTTATTGCCACGTCTGTTGATGATTGGGCATCCTGAAGCTTCTTGATTTCGGAGAGCATGTGGCCTTGACCAAGCTCGATTCGAGTAAAAATTTTCAGAATTTCAGCCACTTGTTCTTTTAAACCATCTGGGCTGGGGTTGAACTCAATGTCACCTGACATTTGCAGAGTTGGTAAAGCTAGACAGACAGTGTGAGCGCACCCTGTTGGGCCATTTGGTGGGATAATCCAACGGCCGTTGCAGCCGACGGGTGTTGATGCGCACACAGCTGTCGGCATAACCTGTACGAAGACAGTAGGGTTTGACATTGTTGGTTCCAATGAGGTGCCTTGTCCCAATTGGTCTTGCTGACAGGCATGCTTATGTAGGCATGTGTCAAGATGGTTGCTAGATGAAGTCCCTGGTTGCCCAATGCCGTACACGTTGCCATCCAAGACTGGCGTCTTGATCGTCGATTCCGCTGAGACAGTTGTTGTGTCATTTGGCAAGATAATCCAAGGTCGTCATAGCAGATGACTGGGTAGCGTTGATGTGTATGCAGCTGTTGGCATAACCGGTATGAATACAATAGGGTTTGACATTGTTGTTTCCAATGCGATGCCATACCCGTGTGTTATTAATAGTTACCGGTGAATTGATCGTCTAAATTTGTATTGCAGGTACCGAGAGTACAGGTTCCACCCCTCGCTGAACCGGACAAGACGTTTCTATCCGCATGCCCACAACATGGAAGGATTCTTCGTGGCCAAGCTAAAAAAATTCTCAAACACCATTCCTCTCACCGGTGAGGGATAAGGCTTTTCAGGCTCCTGGGGGGGGGGGGGGGGGGGGGGGTTCTTTGAGATTGTCTTAGTATGTAGCGACATTACTAAAACACTCAGTTGGGAAACTCACCTTTGAAACCTGGACCACTGGTGTCCACTGAGACCAAGCTTACCTGATACAATAACAGCACCACCCTTAGCGACGAGTTGAAACTTGAAAGTTGTTTTATATGGATACTGCTAGAGTCACTGAATGTTCCCAAGTACCAAAACTCCCAGGCTCGAGGTGCCAACATGGCGGCTCAGTGTTGTTTCTGTAGTGTGGTCACCATGAGCTTTTAGAAAGCATGTTATTGGGTAAAAACAAATGGAAAAAGCTCTTTTTGAGTACAAAATGACAGGAGCATGATGTTTGCATAAAGTTTTAGTTTACTGGGTTTTGCAGCACAGTTAATTTTGTTTTTATACAGCTATGTCTCAGCAGTGACTTCAGGTAGCGCGTCCCGGCCTGGGTGCGTTCTAATTGGTGCGTCTGCTTGGGAGACGGGGTTGGCAGCCCTGAAACCCCTTCCACTATATACGTTTTGGCGCCAAAATGGCCGATCAAAGCCAAAATTGATAAGTAACAGCAGACGCTATCGAATGCGATACTCTGGCTACTGCGAGATGGTGCCACCGGCCTTTGCGCGACTTGACCTGAACAAATACGTGCAGTTCCCGGAGTGGCCACTGCGTGAGAAATGGCGGAGTTGCGATCACGTTTAATTTTGTTCTCGAGTACTGATCAGAGCCACTTTTTTAATGCAGGCTTCTATGGCAGCTTTCGAACTGAGTATTCTAGTAACGTTGGTATGTAGTTTGCTGTAGAGCAATAGCTCCTGCATGCTATTGGACCTCATTGCTGTTGGTGTGCTGTTTCATTTTGCTTGGGCCATATTGATTGCTAGAGCAAAGTAACCTAATAAGCAGGAGTAATAGCTGTTTATCATTAACTTGTTTGGTTAAAAATCTAGTTTATTTATTCCTTTAATTCTAAATACAACTAACCTTTTAGCGTCGATCAGGCATTACGAGTTCAAAGTGCCTTAGCTCAAAGGGATGATCAGTAAAAAATATTGAAAATGCAGCTATCTTTTCAAATTTTAATCTTGATTAAAAGGTTGCCATTTATTTTAGCTATCAAAGAAGAGAAAACAAAGGAGAAAGATGAAAAGTGTGTGGAAAAGGTCGACGCCAACAATCAGAAGGCTGAGCCGTCAAGAAAAAAGGTTCTCAAGAGGAAGGGCAGTGAGGCGAACCCAGAACCATCTGCATCCCAAGCAAAGGAAGGCAAGCACAAAAAGAAGAAACTTCAGCAGCCATCAGGAAAGATGGATGATGCCACATCATCCAGCAGAAAGAGTACACAAGGCGGGAAAGCCCAAAAAAGGAAACTTCCCAAGATCGTTGGAGAGGTTGACTCTCCTACAGCCCAGAGGCAAGAGGTCAAGCTGAAGAAGAAGAAGGCCCACCAAGTCAGGAAGGGCAAGTTCCAGAAGAAGGACACCGTGGGAAAGAAGACCAGGAAACCACAGAGGAAAAAGTTTGCTCCTGCAGAATAAACTGGCCGCCACCGAGACAGTGGTCTGGCATGTTTTATATTCATGTATTTTTTCTGGTTTAAAATATCAGATTTACACTGATACAGTATATAGTATAATGCATTCTTTTCGGAGGTTCATCTTGCAGAGTAAGAGTCAAAAGGACGTCACAGGTGTCCCGAACAAGAATAAATATTATAATAATTGTGTCACCCCATGTGCACCCTAGAGCCACTACATGAGCCACATTTAGAGTATCGGCACTATTCATGTGTACAAACAAACTGGAGCGCCCCTAGCGGCTTTCCACCAGCGCTGCGCGTGCACAATGGGGTGCCAGCAAAAAGCGCCACGTCCCGCATCAACAAACCATTGGAATGTGATGTCAGAATCAATGTCAATCCCGATGCTCCTTTTTTTTTTGTGTGTGTGTGTTGGAACTGTTGATTTTACGTTTTCCTAGCCGCGTCTTACTACTTCAGTGGCCTGAGTGAAGTTAATGAGGCTCGTTATACTGCAAAACTTTGTGTAAATAATGTGATGTGCAACGATTCATTCTGCAGAAATCTTGCAGAGTGGATGCTAAAGCCTGATTCACAATGTGAGATTCTGCTCACTATTTTCAGTCGCAACGTCGCTCAGGATGCAAAAGCATGGACGGTACTTCTGATGCTTGATGTCGATGCTGAGAATAGTAAGCAGAATCAAACCAAGTGATTCAGGCATAAGTCAGTAATGGCCACTGGTAACAATGATCAACATCTTTTATCTACTGTTTATACCAAACCTACTTACCCCTAGCAACCTTTAAATACTTTCGAGGCCTGCACTTGTCGCAACATTTGATCCACAGGTTGCTGTCGTTTGATTAAGCAGACAACAGTTTTAACGATAAAACTGCCGTTTGAATGTGAAGATGCACTGAACATGGTCCTTGGGGTTCTGGTCAACATGACGGTTTTCCCGCGTTCACGTTGGAGCAAAAATAAGTCCGGCGGCCACAAGCATCCGTGAATTCAACCCAAAGTGCTTCCTGCACCAGCAATCGTGGTTTGACGGTGTCTGGTTTTCCCTTTTCACGCCACCTATTCACATTCTCAGACGAACTGCGCAGGCAGGAAACACATGAAAACTGATCTTCACACCTTTCCCGACTCTTTTGGTACCAATCGCGGCATTTTAATGAGAAGGCAAGTTTTGATCTGGTTTGTTCTAAAACAACACATGAATGCCCGCTCCGCATGGCGATTTCTGCTCAGACCTTTAGACCCCCTAGACTGAAGGTGCTCCCGAAGCGTCGCCACCAACGTTGCACTCACGAACAGTATTCTTCCCTCTGCCCCCACGACTCGCCTTCCGTCGTTTGACGCGCCGGATGGCTGCTATGGTAACTTTTCCAACTTCTCTAGAAGTTGGAAAAGCGTTTCCTGCAATTTCGGATAAAGTTTCAGACAACTGGCAACAACGATTTCAAGAACCGAGATGGCTGAAGTACAGTGTTCTAGAAGCGGTGTAGTGGCAAATGCGGCGCGTCCTTTGTGAGGCCTTCAAAGTGGATGCCGCTGTGTGGCGCTGGCGTAGTTTTCCTGAGCAGTAGCACTGGCAAGATGGGGCGGCTCGTGGTCCTATCGTGATGTTTTTATGCAGCACACCATTTTATCAGCTCTACGGCAGTCGGACTGAATGAAAGAGTTTCAAATGCTTGGAAGGTGTCATGCAGTGGTGATGCATTTCTTTTGTGTTCAACTCGATGCAAGTGGCAAGTTTGAAAGACCATGCCTATGCCGCTACAACAATATAAACCATAGGCGAATGATCATTCAGCTCAGTCTCCACCCGAATGTGGCTGTTGAGACTGGTGAGGTGCTAAGATTCAGAACTGGGTGTAATATGAGTTACGAGCAATGTCTGAACATTTTTGATGAAAAAATGGCCCGCTCCTAGAAGCAGATGCTATTCAAGCTCGGTTCCGAAATCTTCCATTTTGCTGGTGCCTCCTCTCCCCCCTCCCCCTCATACAGCAGTTTATCATAGGTGCCCCCCCCCCCCCTTCCCCCCCCCCCCCCCCAAACAAAATCCTGGCTACGTGCCTTTGAGCAACTGTGGGTTTTGTGGTGATTTTGTGTCGACACTGATTAATCGTGTCACGTGTTCACGTGACGTTATGTCAGGTAATGTCACGTCACGTGACTCGCTGCGTCAATTTGGTTTAAATTGAGAACGTCACTAGATTCATTAGCGTTGTTGACACCGTGACGTCACATGATATCACGAATTCGCATTCTGAGTCACATACACCGTGACATACTCGATTGTCATTAGCTTGAGTCTAGTGCTCGGGCTCATGACAATCGGCATCGCCAAACATTCGGGCAATAACTCGTGTTCAATCAAAGATGAGAATACCCAATCTCTAACAATGTCTGAAGCCCATCCCATGCTTTATGTTTGCCAACTTCAGCGGATGATTATGATGAACACTGACGATATATAGTTAGCGCCAGATCAATGGCCAGTTCTAAATGCCAGTTGAGGAGAGAAAAGTTGTTTCTCTCCTTTATTTTTCCTACGTCTGCCGCTGCGTGGAGAGGAAAACTAATTTCCGACGTTTTTATCCTCGATAAATATGCATAATTGATTTGGAAGAGCCTTAGCACATTTCTGACCTTGAAGCTGATTAGATACCTATGTGTTCCTGGCACATATATAACTTCTAAAACAAAGAAGTCTGTTACTGCTTCTTTTATGTGATGATAGCAATGTTACGTGTCTGTGGGCTGACAGAAACAAAGTACACAGCGGCGCGAGTGGCGGAACCATGATGATTCCGCACGCAGACAGCCAGAAAGAGACTAATTAAGTAGCTGCCATGTTGAGTAGAGCATGAAATACTTTTTTCTTATTTAACAAAAACTTATTAATTAGCAAAAGTGGTGCTTATCTGCAAATTGAATTCAGCGGCATCTTGTCAAGAACGAACCCCTATGCCAGTTTATGTTGTATATAAAAAAATGCTAACTTGAGTATGCACTATTTTCGGCCAGATACGATCTGAGTATGAATGTGCGTATGAATTAGAGTGAACAATTTTGATCAGTCTTTTCTGCGTGATTCTTCGTCTGCATCACGGTGCTGAGCGTAAACAATGTTGGTTAGGAAAACAAGCGTTGTGATTGCCACTCAGTACGCGTTACTCTTCTTTAAAAGGCAGTCTGAAAGGGTTTGTCTTAAAGTATGGTGCTTAAAGCTTGCGTGACATTTTGAAAATGTTGGGGCTCTTATCTCAGTTGTGTCGTCGTCATATACCGGGCGACTTTTTTTTTTAATTCGAACAGATTTATTACAAAAAGATCCGTAAAAGATGCACTAATACGGTTTATGCAGGTGAGTTATATGGCCAGGGGGACATTATGGGTGGTTAATCTTTTCGATAAGTCAGCTCATTGATTAAAATTCGTTAAAAAATTTAGGCTTACATGTGATTCAAATTCCCAAAGCACTACTAAACAACTCTACGTCTTCGGATTCGCGAAATGTGGACTATTATTTGTGTAATCTTAATTTAAACATCAGCTGATACCGAAACCGAAACTTCGGTTGCGTCAGGCAACATTGGTCTCAGGTCGTCAGAGTCATGGCACGTCACGTCGAACCACGTGATCTTGTGGTACGTTCGGGAGGGAGCGAGGGACAGGACACGCGACGCAGGCAGGTCGCTTCGCATGGCTTAGACCAGGGGTGGCCAGGCTGACCCGGCCTAAGAGCCGCAAACATAACAACGAAACTTTCAAGAGCCGCGGCGAGGGGAGGGGGGAGACAAACTTTTGTTTTGAGCAAGAAACGAAACTCGAACGACCTTCAATCTATCCAAGTCAAACGCAGTCCAACTGTACGTAAGCAACCAGCAGCACAAGACTACCAAACCTCAATTCTTTCAATTTAGACAGCGTTCCATTTCTCTTCCTTTTTTTTTTCTTATTTTTTTTTTTTTTTTATTGAGGGCCGGAGGACGGGGGGGGGGGGGGAGGGTTGGGGAGGGCGCTGTGAGCCGCACTTTAACACGCGAAGAGCCGCATGCGGCTCGCGAGCCGCATCTTGGCCACCCCCGGCTTAGACGGTGATGGCCCGGGGGAGAGGGGAAAGAGGAGAAGGGGAGCGGAAAAAACAGACCGATAAGCGCGCAGGGCAGCGCAAACTAGCGCATCCGCGTTACGGTGATCACGTGAATGCCCGGTCAGCCCACACCGGGAGGTGAAACTCATGACGTCATCGTTCAATTTCGCTCTGAGAAGTAAAAACAAACAACTTGAGAATGACGTATCATGCCTCTGACGTAGTGGCTCAACGTTGGCGGCTCCAACTCCGTCGCATTGACTGCGCTGACGATTGCGCCTCACGTCGCACGCTAGAGTTGGCAGATTTCGGCGACTTGGCTCACTTAAAGATTTGCTGGCCAGTTTATTAAATATATAAACGGAATTAGATCGTAATATTTGACATGGGGTCTTCTTAGGGGTGCATAGTTTACTAAATATCAAAAATGAAACGGAGTTGCCCTTTAAGGAGCGTTATCGAAAACCACTAAATCAACTCTTTTTAGAACGACTTGAAGCTCGTGGTAACTCGGGGGCGCGCCAAAGGTATACCGTCCACTCCTTACTGACCACTCCTGAAGCAGGTGCAAAACTAGTGGCGGCGGAACGCGGATTATTAGATCATTATCGCGTTCCGCCACTGCTACCTCCCTTCCCCTTCTCCTCCTCAAGAGCTGTGCTCCAATTCGGCATTGCAAAAAATTGCAAACGTCTTCATTTTCTTTTTTTTTTTTTTTTTTTTTCCCGAGGTAACATTGAATTTTAGAGGTTTTGGTTACATTTGGGTTATTCCCTCCATCCGCCTGGCGGTTTGTTTTGCGACCATCTGACAACACCGAGGAGCACTCGCCTTTAGCCGAGCACTGGGCTCGGCTAAAGGCATCAGGTCTAGACATGAAATTAGTAAGATTTTTACAAGAGGTGTACAGAAATAACACGGTAACTATAACATGGGAGCATGAAAAC